ATATCGTGTGTGAGCCGGAGACAGACAAGCTCACAGTGAACGCATTTTTTGACCACACTGTCCTCCCGTTGGAGCAAGTGCAATCCATGCTGCAATCCATGGGGCATCTGCTCGGCCTCATTGCTGATAGCCCCCATGAGAAAACTGGAAGTATCCTTGGGGAACGACGTAGATCTATGGGAAAGCGTAGTGTATTTCAGGAGAACAAGCTACTTGCATCAGTTGAGAGTGCAGCCAGAGGATACCTTGGGACTAATACTCAGGTCGCCGCCGAGTGGATAATCCCCAAATCTTCACGAACTTCAAAATTGGCGTTGTTTATCGGTGTTAATAATTCGGGTGTTGCATCCCAGGGTTCATTGATCTTGACGAGACTAGGCGAAAACACACGAAACCGGCTATCACAGCTGATGCTTTATCTACGAGCTCATTTACCTCGTAGCTCAGTCCCCTCGTGCTGCATCCCCGTCCAGCTTCAGTACGAACCACCAAAATCATGTCTTCTGGGGGAACTTGCTCGGTTGCGGGAAGCCGCGTCCAAGACGACATTGGTCACACTGAGATCGTGGGAAAACGCCAAAGAAGGCCACTATTGTCGGACCCCATCACCTGTCGAGTCAAAGTTGACCAGCGTGCTGGCATCAGTCCTGCGCTTGGAGTCGGATGACATTGATGCCGATGACGATTTTGTGTCTCTAGGATGCGATTCCCTCGTCGCCATGCAATTTGCAGCAAGATGCAATCGAGACGGTTTGATGGTGACTATCTCTGATATTTTTGAAGCGAAATCCGTTACACGACTTGCGTTGAAGCTCGGCAATACGCCGCCAACTTTTCCATCGGTGTCAAATGACTTCTCGTTAGTGCGATCAGTATATAAAGATCTCCAGCGCGACGCGAAAGGGATTGAGAAAGTATCAAAGATCGCGCGAATTGTCGATGCTTTTCCATGCACTTCACCTCATTTAGGATTGCTGCCGCACGATACCAGTCTCCAAGCACACACAATTTGGGAAGTGTCGGCCTCTGGGGATGTAATCGACCCTTTTCGGCTTGCTGAAGCATGGAATAAACTTGCGGATCGTCATGCGGCCCTCAGGACTGTACTCCTTCAGAGCCGTTTTAATCCTCCTCGAATGTTTCAAATAGTGCTGGCCTCTTCCCCCGTCGAGGTAGAGGTCGTAACAGATGTGGAAGATCAGAACATCTGGCCAGTTGTTCGGAAACCTTTTTTGTCCAGTTCTGACAGAGATGAATTGCCATGTAAATTTACCATCTATCGAACGAGTACGGGACGCATCCTTTGCAAGCTTGAGGGTCGACATGCATTTTTGGATGCTACGTCTGTATTGATTATTCTCCAGGAACTCGCGTCAGCCTACAATGGTATCGTCTCATCTTCGGAGGTTTCTTACCTGTCATGGGTTTCCTATTTGCGTCAATGGGCCAAGGATAGCTCCCATTTACACTTCTGGAAGTCTTACCTTGCTGGCATCAAGCCTTGCATTCTCACTACTCATCCGCAGGAGAGTAAAAAGAATGGCATCAACAGCAGCCAGCCGCACCAAAAAGTACTGCAGTCACATTCCGCGACCCTCATGCAGACGGACGTACTGCGCAGACACTGCGAAAAATTCAGGTTCAGCATAACCAACTTCTTTCAAGTGGCATGGGGACTCGTACTTGGAAAATATACGGGCCTAGGTGATGTCTGCTTCGGGACCTTAGTCTCTGGTCGAGACGCTCCAGTTCCTCACATCAATGACATCGTCGGGCCGCTTTTTAATGTTCTCGTATGTCGCCTGTCAATGCCCGAACACAAGAGCTGCCATTGGCTTCTCAAAAGAAACGAGGCGGCTATTCGAGATAGATTATTACATCAGTATTGCTCCCTAAAAGATGTGACACGGGCATCTTGGGATTCAGACACTCCACTTTTCAACACGTCTTTGTCGGTCGAGCAACCTTTGTCAAGTGAAGCGGGAATTTGCTTCAAGGAGCTTGAAACACATGAAGAAACAGAGGTATAAAAAAAATCAATGGTTATCATTTAAAGAAGTACATGCTAACGGGGAACCCGCAGTATGATTTAATTGTGATTATTACCGTCACGCCGGATATTATCCGTGCCCAAATGATATACTGGAGTAATTTTTTGAACAGGACACAGGTCTCTGATCTCGCGAAATCCCTCAAAACGTCTGTTGACACCATCGTTTCGTCCCTAGAGCCGCTGGGCGACGAGGTCCGACTGACTGCAAATTGAGAGGAAGTTGAGGTTGGCCGTTATGGAGGAAGGCCAACGGATCAATATTGGACCAGAAGTCTCTGGCGCCATCCCTAATACAGTCGTTAGCATTATCATGTTAATAGATAGAGTCATAGATCAGGATTTAGTTTATTCATGATGTGATGGGTTCGCTATCGCGCAGAGTTGTACCGAGAGTGTCATCTCACTGACCAGAGATAGGAATGCGGATAGATGAATAGTGAGTTGGCAATCCCATGGTCGGGTGAGCAACTCTTGAATATTCCTTCCGCCTTAGCTTCCAGAGGTCAAAATGTGTGAACAGCGTCCCCGGCGCGCGCCTTGCATCTATCATACTGATTGCAGCCTACGTATGGGAGCCATTGACGTTTTGTGAATTTGGGGTTAGGAAAGCAGGCGCCGCCTAAACCAACAAGATCAGCCTGTTGCAGGGCCGGGACCCCGGGAGACCATCAAGATAACATGTATTCGCGATTCAAAGAGCATCTTGGTAGAATCAACCCTGTGAAATTGAGTCCAACTAAGTGCGCATGGACCAATAACTGTCAATTGTCGAATGGCGATTCTTCCTCCCACACCTTCTCTTCATATTGATCCCGGGCGAATTCTCGTATGATAAATTGTTTACCCTGGCGTAGAGCGTCTTTAGCCTCCTCATACTGCTCTGGTCTAACAATCCCTTGCTCCGGAAACAAATCCCTTAGGCTTTCCTTGGCGCTCTGCAATGCTTGCATACCGAGTAGCGATCCATTGACGTCTCTTTCGATCTCCGCCTTTTCTTCATCGGAAAAAAGGAACGGGTACTGACAAGCCTTGTCATTCGAGGTTATGAGAAGGTCTGCCCATGTGCTCTCTAGCTCAACGATGCGAACAAGGTAGGTCGCTTCACCGTCGATCAGAAGGTTTCGAGCAAGAAGCAAGAGGTCAAAGGTAGGGCTTTGTCTCACTTCTAGCGCGCAGTACAGTCGTGGGTTCGTTTTATGGATGAACGTTCTGTATAATGCACATAAGACTTGTTTAAAGTAGAGAGCTATGGCTTCCCTCTGAGCTTCAGTGTCCAGGCCGGGCAGATCCTCCGGTAAGCTGGGCCGTTCGAGGCCATGAAGGTGAGGCCCATCATAGTCCAGAATCGGAGGCTGCCGTGCATGGTGGAATAACGGAGCTAGCTCAGTGGATTGCCAGTCAATGATTCCGACCATTCCTCTGGGGGATTTAGAGTCCACGAAAATGTTCTCGACATGGATATCACCATGCCAGAGACATGATGTTATAGAATTGTCAACTGGACGCAGGTTTTTAATCATGGTGAGATAGCTCTCCAGAGCTCGGAGTTTCTTTGCCTTTGTGGGCCGGTACGTCCCTGGACCGTATAGTGGAACCGATGATTTGGGCAGAATCGGGAGCGTTTTGACACAAGCGATCTCTCGACGGCCTATGGCTGTAAGGTACTCTACTGCTGTCGACCCTATGTTGTCTTTAGATTGAGATATCGCACGTCATAATAAAGGGGCTTACATGGTCCACAGTCAAATTGAGCCATACTCCTGCCGTTATCAATATTCTCTCTCCCTGTGGATGGCCCGATGCAAACGTTTCATCCAATTTCGTGACTCCTCCCTTTTCGTAAGACATGCTTTCGTGTCTTAGGTCATCGAGGTCTTGTGCGAAATACAAACCACCGAAGTGACCGAACGAAACAGACATCCACGCTTCTTGATGCCGGGCAATGGATTTTACTACCGCAACGCGGTCCTCGAATTTCATGCTAGACCATACCGAATCCAGCGGCACGCCTGGAACTTTCTCCATAACGATATACTCCGCACCTACGGGGTTTGGTTTCGAGTTCCATGAATATACTTTGGAAACAGGTGTTTCGCATACGGTTCGCACCTATACCACTCAATCAACACTGGCTGAGTAGCTAGGCGAAGAGTCGGTAGTCACAAATTCCATTGTCGCGACTTCACTGGCCGTAGTGAGGTGCGGAGGGCCGGCATTGGGGTTGGGGATATTCGCCACAACTTGCGTGCCGTTGTCCATAGTAAGCAGCAAGGTTTTATTGTACAAGCCCTCAGGGTAACTTCTCGGTGCTGGTGCAAGATTTGGCACCAACAGCGGCCGCCCCGATACGGGCCAACTCCTCAACGTCAAAGTAAATGTATCTCTGTGACATCTCATTAGCCTCGTTCCGGGCGAATCGGCCACGCGTAAAGCGAAAAAACTCGTGGTCCGGGCTTAGTGCTATTTAGATCAACAGTACCGAATTGAAAGTTTTCTGTAGTGGCGGACTCACCCGTGAAGGACGAGGAGCAGGCTTGTGAATGACTTGCAGACATGGTGCGGAATGGCATCGGCCAAGTTAACACGCGAGATACACATTATCGACTGATGATGCGAAACATGGCACAAAATATTCCATCTGAACATAGATCATTGCCAGGCTTCCAGGTGAAAGATGTTTTCGGGCAGCAAGACTGGTTTGGGTATGGTTTGTTATCAAACTAGTTAACTAGTGAATCTTTTGAACTAGTAAGGGGATTGAACCAAAATCTGTATGTATTCATCTATCAATCTGTCTGCTTGTTGTATCATCTTCAAGGGATCTGTCGAGGCCGTACGGAGACTACCAAAAAGTCACATGACCAGTTTATCCCATGTCATCAGTGAACTTGGGAACAACGCTGTTGCTTTGAGCGAGCGCGAAGGCTTGGGATGCCGCAAAGATTCATGGATGAGCTGTATTTAGTTTGAAAGAGAGAAACTAGCTTATGAGCCCCGAGCCAATTCTTGATTCTCTTCCTTGAACGCTCCCAAGGCCCCAGATGTCTGCTCCATGACAGCTCCAGTACCTCAAGATGCGGAATACATCGCTGACGTCTCCAACTTCTCTCACGACAACGAGGACGATGACCCGCTCACGCCACAGCTGCTCGACTCCCGACTGCGTCGCAGAAAGGAGGTCAGAGCAAAAGCTAAGACTGTCTTCCTCGACCGCTTACTTCGCGACTTTGATCTTCTAATATACTGCCAGCTCTCGTCACTGTACTATATGGAGTAAGCCGCTTTTCACACTAAACTACCCACGTTTTGCACGCAAGCACTGATGAGTTGTCTATTCCGTGGTACCGCAGTTGCTCAATCATCAATTTCGCTATTCGAGCAGTCGTCCAGTTTGCCTTCTTCACCCCGAAATCCGGCTTCGAACCCCCTAGAGATCAACCTTTTATCGGCGTCATCGCCACGACGAATATTCTCTGTATCTTGCTCCATTGCCTATCTTCTTCTCCTTCAGCCGGCGAAGTCTCACGCGGCTACCTCCATGGGGGCCTTTTCATCGATTTCATCGGACAAAAAGGTCCAATCCCAAAACTCCGTTTAATTACGCTTGATGTTCTAGTTACTATTCTACAAATTGTTATGATGGGTGCCATATTAGAAAAATGGAAGATGAAATCCTTACTTCCCGGTGAATCTGTCGGCTCCACATCACCTTCAGCAGAGACGAGTGCACCGCAGGACCTGGACTTTGAAGAGCGCGGCGTGCGTCGGGCCGAAGAGCATGCACCCAGTCCCGATGGGATTGAATTGCAGCATTTGCAGCCATTGGACTCGCAAAATGATAGCTTTGCAAACGAAGAGAATGATGAAAGGGACAATGAACGGGGTGGTCTCTTATCCGGTTCCGCGGCAGAGTCTCGGACTCACTTGGACAGGGACATACATCCTCGAGACGAACTTCTTACAGGTGACATAACGATTATGGAGTTGAGAGTCTTTCAAACATTACGTGACCAATGGAATCAGAATCCCCCTGGTAATCCTCCTGAATCCACAAACTCTACTACGGAGATTTCACCACATATTTATTTAAGACGGCGGTTCGGTGTTCACTTTGGAACTCACCTTTGACCTTATTTCTTCTTCTGTATTTTATACCCTTTAGCATTCCCTCAAGGCTCAACGGTGCATGGCATTCTGTGATGGGTTGAATATATTTCCAAAGTTAGAACACGGAGTTGGAGCTTCATAAGCCAAGCTCACTATCTTTAGTATCCACTGTAGACACTGCATGGTATCGATGAACCGGGTTGATTTTCTTTCCAGCATCTCATTCTGTCCTTTGTTGCATGCTTCCTAAATTACAAATTCCCGACACATAGGGGAGAGTTCTATCATGACTATCATACTAAACCGGACTGGCATAAAACCTTGCAAACGTCTCACAAGTAAAGGCTTTGTATGTCAGCGAGACTCTTCTTCCTTCGACTTTGTCCTCCGGTCCATAATCCCGTCCACAATCCCCATTCCTAGCGCCTCACTTGCCCCCATGAAATAATCTCTTTCCATAAGCTTTTCAATCTCATCTAGCGAAATCTCCTTGGTCAAATGCCTCTTGTAAATCTCGTTCAGCTGCTTGCGTACTCGCAGGATTTCCTTGGCGTGGATTGCGATGTCAGTTGCTTGTCCGAAATAGCCCCCGGACGGCTGGTGAATCATGATGGAGGAATGTGGGAGACAGAAACGTTTTCCCGGTTCACCTCCACAAAGGAGTAGAGAGCCCATAGACGCGGCTTGGCCAATGCAAATGGTGCTAACGGGTGATTGGATGTAGGTCATTGTATCGTAAATAGCGAGGCCTATGACGAAGGGGAATAAGTTAAAAGGCACGGATAGAGCGAATGACAAAGGAATTCAATGGGCGTACCAGCCGTCACTGAGCCTCCCGGCGAGTTTATGTAGAGGCTGATCTGTTTCTCTGGGTTATCTGCTTCGAGGAAGAGGAGCTGGGCGACTATCGAGGCCGAAACACTCTCGTCGACTTCTCCATTGAGACATATTATCCGCTCCTGTTGCAGCCTTTTAAGCAATTATTCCGAGTATAATGGCAAAGCATCTCGAGTAACCTTCTCCTACCTTCAATAATCTTGAAAAGATGTCATCTTCTCGGAATTCACACGTCAGCTAAATTGTTCCTCCACGCAGCCACCTATTATTGAAGTCGTGCAATGCGCGTACATGTATGCCAGCCACCTCCCTACTCCGTACACAATTAGCTTCCGATCTCCTAGTATTCATAAAACGGTGATCCGCAGCAACAGCATACCAGTGTCTCGGTCACGAACGGTGTCGGGACCCATCCTCGCGGCGGTGAAAACTTGGGCGCGCTGGAGTAGCTTCGCATTGAGGATCGGAGGGCATGGCGAGTTGCCAACGAAAAGAGGCGGGAGGAATTCATGGGTGCACGGAGCTTCTGGAGCAACTTAAAATAGATAGAGATGAAACGGGCAGCGAGAATTAATTTGCGCAATCAATAATGTCAACTTGTTAGTTAAACGGTGATGCACGGATCATTGAAGCTCCAGGTGTGAGAAGCTCCTAAAATTAGCCAGAACCACGGATGTTATCCAATTCCATACAATGCTTCTCTTGCGAACCAGCAATAACCTCCGCAATGACAAAGAGATGCCTGTTGGCCTATAGCGCATTTCAATGGCCTGTCTTACGTCCAACCTGTTTTCCCTACCCAGCCGATCAATGTTCCTCCCGTCGAAAGAGACCCCAATCCGGCGCAACGCAAGGAATCCGGAACTTCAGCTCTCATGGATTTCGCGAGGTAGAGGAAAAAACTGATACCGAGGCCAATTTTACAAGCACTCTACCCCCGCAAAAGCTTTCCAGCTCCCTTTCGCCATCCACCGGCATATCACTTGAAAAAGGTGCTGCATCCGACACCCCCAAACAGCCTACTACGGCCTCCAACACTTCCTCTCCCAACCACACTCCAGATACCCACGAGCACGAACCCCTTCCGCCCCGCGAGACAACAGTCGTCCAGTCGCCTGTCCTCCTCCGTAGAGCAGCGCGCGCGAAACTCCATGAGAAACTTCCCCGCAAAACGGACTTTGACCCTCTCCGCCGCAACCCATGGGCTCAGATCCTCGCAAGCCCGCTGCGAATGTGCTCTGCAACGAACGCGCGGCTACCGGCTAAGCTACTTGGGGATTTCAGCCTGGTGGAGCATCCACAAACAGGGCATCCATGGATGATGCCTGTAGACTTGTTGAAAGATGAGATTTGGCAAATGAGGATGCAAGCTGAAGAGAACAACGATGCTGACGGTGGTTGTAAAGAAGGGAAAACCCAAAATGGGCAGTCAGATGGGGTACAGACAGCTGCTACACCTGTTCGAAGACGGAGACTTCCGCCCCTCCCAAAGATTCGTCTCGTGAACAATTCCGCAGTGCTGTCCCGGATAGTAGACATGCAAAATATACAGGCCACCCGCTACCTATTGCCCTATAGATGGAAGCATCCTCACGGGCGTTTGACCAAAAAAGAAAGTGAGAATATCGTATGGCGGAAAGACTTACCACAGTACGTCCTCACTCATATGAGGAAGAATGTAGTAAGAGGAATCAAACATTGCTGTGTGGCTGGAAAGGACCATCGGTGGAACGCAATGGACTTGGATCCAAAGTCTACGGTGGTAGATGGCCTAAAATCTGCATTGCAGTCATTTGGGGACTTGGCGAATATAAAATGTGGTGCCGTCTTGCTCCTTAAGCGTTTCCCAGAAACGGAAAACGGGGGCAGTCCATCTATCCCAGAACGAGTGAGAATCCCGCCGCTGGGAACCGAAATCCCCGTATTTTTTTTGCCGAAACTCCTCACAGTTGAGAATCTGCAGGAGCTTCGAGAGCATCATGAGTTCTTCACGAGAGACGCGCTGCTGTTTAGGCCTGCGGGTGATAAGACCATTTATACCATACAGGGTCTCTGGAAATTACAGTCATACATGACAAATGGAGTTAGTTGATTCTCAGGTTTTGTATGTGAATGTTTGCATTATGCGAGTAACAGCATTTTCCTGATAAATCTTGGTTAACACGGCATGTTGATTGCTAACTCTAGCTTTATGAACAAACATCCCAGTGGTAACTAACGGGTATCCGTCCAAAGTACCCAGTTACTAGGCACCGCATGCTTAGCACTGGTCTTGAGCAACATTACCATAACTACTCCCAAAAGAGTCATCTATGCATCATATCTTATCTTACTTACTTCATATTACCGAACTATCTACTGCATGGCCCGTCCAATACTTGAGCTAGATCTGGGGGCCAGAGGGCCATAATCAAAGGGAAGAAAGGCTCTTATGATGTAGCTGGTGCACTGAAAAAATCAGTCTCCAGGGTGCAAATACAAGGGACTTCATCACTATTGTCGTTTTGCCGCTTCCAATTTTATAGAGTATAGGGCTTACTACAGTTCATAGAGTTATCATTTAAACAGAAGGCCATCCTACTATCTACACGCAAGAGGCCAATGCCCATGAATTTGGTTGTATTCGAGAGTTGCCGTATATCCGCAACTTACGTGAACAGATCCATGGCCAGGCGGCTAGATGTATGGTATTCGAATGGATGACCATGACCTATGCTCACTAGGGAAACGGGAGAATCCATTCCGTTTTGTCGAAATCAGAAAGTACTCCATAATTGGGTCCTTTTTGCCCTAGTCGTGCGCTCCTGGATTAGCCATAGATTCGATAAGTGGAAATATACACATGTGAACAATTTGACCCATCCTTCCCTCGAGCCTCTCTTCAGCTTGCACAAGCGCCATATTACGTTGCTAATAAGGACACGCCTCTCTTCTTTGAAAAGTCCAGTATTAAATCACATCCTCGTAATGTTGAGGTCGACATAAGGTTTCCTGTTGCGGGAAGGAAGATCTTTAGGCCGTCTCCGAAAATGTGCGGGATGTTTGTCATGTTTGCAGGTGGGGAACAAGGTGGGGCTTGGAGAAAGCGACTCCCCTTTGGCTGTCAAATTATTAGTTTCTTTGCTTGAAGATATTCGTTAACTATAGGAGGTCTTAGGCATTGCCTGGCTAGCAGAGGAATGGCGCCAAAGTACCTGACTGGTGACAGCCAGGCGATCAATGATTTTCTTGATCGGTTCGATGTGAGGTCTCCCCCAGTTCCTCCGCAGGCGCGGGTTCATTATGAAGCCGCTAGCTAACGGAGCAGCCAGGTATTTCTGTTTGACTGCGATGGTCAGCTTCTTCTACCCCGAAGGCACCTAGCTTTATAGCATACGAAATTCTGACAGGACGAATGGCACAACACAGGCGTGTTATGGTCCGGGGATATCGTCTTTGATGGAACTGTCGAAACTTTGGAAATGCTGAGAAACAAAGGTACGACTTTGCTTTACAACCTGGAACTTGACCTTTAGCCAGCTCTAATCACGAAACTTTCATAGGGAAGCAGGTCGTCTTCGTAACCAACAATAGCACCAAGTCACGACTTGATTACAAGAAGAAACTGGACAAACTTGGAATTCCCGCTACTCGCGTGAGTGGAAGAAACGCTTTAACCGTGCGATATTCTCGAATTGCGCGCTGACCAATACTCTAGGAGGAAGTATTTTCCTCCTCTTTCAGCGCAGCCGTTTATATCTCCAGGATCTTGAACCTACCTCCGAACAAACGCAAGGTGTTCGTCCTCGGAGAGACCGGCATCGAGCAAGAACTCCAAGCTGAGAATATCCCATTTATTGGCGCCACAGATCCGGCCTACCGTCGCGACGTTTCCGCTGAAGACTACAACAAGATCGCCGCCGGCGACCCTTCTCTTCTCGACCCAGAGGTCGGCGCCGTCCTCGTCGGCCTAGACTTCCACATCAACTACCTCAAAATATCCCTTGCATATCACTATATCCGGCGCGGCGCACTTTTCCTCGCCACCAATATCGATAGCACGCTTCCCAATGCTGGGACCCTGTTCCCCGGCGCAGGCACCATAAGTGCGCCATTGATCCGGATGCTCGGGGGCACGGAGCCGATATCCCTCGGAAAGCCGAGCCCAGAGATGATGGTGGCTGTTGAGGGGAAGTTCAAGTTCAATCGACAACGAGCGTGCATGGTGGGTGACCGGTTGGATACGGATATTAGATTCGGGATCGAAGGAGGACTAGGCGGAACGCTGGGAGTTTTGACCGGCGTGAGTTCCAAAGATGACTTTGAGGCTGCGACGCTTCCACCAATGGCGTATGTGGATAAGTTGGGAGATTTGCTTGGGGGTGCATAGATGCATAAGTCGGTCAGGGATAGTGATGGGTGAGAGAATGTGTGGAAGCGACGTGTCATGACCACGCATTGGATGAATTGATGAATAATTTTCCTTTTGGTTTTGGATATAGATCTGATAGATATAGAAATGACACATGGTAGACAACATGGACTCGAAATATTCTATATATGTGTATACATTTTTATAAGGGAGCAGTTGTTCACTTGATCTGTGACCTAAAGGCCGTACTATTAGCTGTAGGAAATAGGAACGCTTAGCAATTTCAATTCCCTAGAGACTAGGGTTGTAAAGCGTTGATGAACAGGTGTCAACCAATGCATCATGTCCTCGATCAAAATCAGCTTCGGGTTTAACATACGTTTTCATATTCAATAATTGCTGCTTTTGTCGTCCTTTCTCAGCTACACTAGGCATGTATGTACGAAACAATGTCTCAACCTAGGACGGAAGCTTTCAAATGCATAAAATCTGCGCACATGTATGTATGTACAGTACATTCTTTCATCCCCCCGCCAAAGCCAGCTCAGTCAACTAGAATCTTTTGTGACAACTCCGAAAAGTTTTCAAAGAAGCTCTTGAACAACCGCACTGCATGCAACACATCCTTCGTTCCTCCCGTCTCGCGAATGCTATGCATACTCAACTGCGGATTGCCCAAGTCTACGGTCCGCGTTCCCAATGCGGCAGATAACATTGGACCAATAGTGCTTCCACACAAGGAGTCATTGCGCACAACGAACAGCTGAAGCGGCACACCGGCTGAAGCAGTGGTGCTACCGTCACTCTTGGCCAGCCGGGCCGCTTCCTGCACGAGAACGATACCCGGGGAATTCGTCGCGTAACGCGCGTTGGCATTGATTTTGATCACGACGCCTTTGTTCATTTCTGGCTTGTGATCTGGTTCGTACTTGAACGCGTAATTCGGGTTGACGGAATGCGACATATCGGCTGAGACCAGGAAGGAAGTAGACAGGGATTGCTCGTAGGCAGTGGAGGTATCTTCCTTGCCGGAAGCCGGGAGGACAGCGAGGCGACGCAGAATCGCGGGCAGGGCGTTGGAGTCGGCGCCTTGGGCGGTTCTGCTGCCAATTTCTTCATGGTCGAATAGAGCAACGAGACGGATGGAAGTTTCATTATCGAGAGCAGAGGATGCGGATAGTGACTCAATCAGGCCCATGGTAGCGCAGTAGGACATGTTGAGGTTGTCAAGGCGGGCGGAGAAAATGAATTCGTCCAGGAGGCCGCCAAAACAGGCCTTTTGGGTGTCGTATAGGAGCATCTCAAAATCAACGATATCCTCGGGTTTGATGGAAAGTTCGGAGGCCATCAGTTCGACAAGATATGGGTGATGACGCTCTGTGATAACTTTGAGGGAGCCGGCAGGCGCATCTTCCTGCTTATCTCCATCCTTGGGTTGCGCTGAGGTATCCTGGCTACCGCCTACTCTGGCTAGCTCGGCTTCCACCAAGCCCGCGATAGGGAAGAGTTGAGTCTCTTTATTGAAAGAGAAAGTCTCCTGTCGTTCAAAATGAATCGCCAGGGTCGGGATTCGGAGAACTACAACGATGTTACTAAAGTTCATGCAATGGATAGTCATCACCAGATCTCACTTGGACGGTCAATATGAAGCAATTTGGCCGCAATGGTGCCATCCTTGTTCCTGGCCATGACGCGACCGGCGATTCCTAGATCGCGATCAAACCCTGGGTTGGAAATAGTCAGCTAGCGCTCTACCTCGGAATCCAAGACTCAGCTAGAGCCGCATACATGTATGCCACAGGCCGCCTCCATAGGCCTCAACACCAACTTGGATGAATCCTTCGGCGCGCTTTTTGGAGACGGGCTTGACTCTCAGACACGGAGAGTCCGTGTGCGCACCGACCATGGAGATGGAGTTTCCAGGCTGTGTTGAAATCATACTTTAGAAAATGCACTTTCTAAGGGGTCGGAGTATCAAGTGCTGACCTTCCACTTGCGCCCAATCGCGAAGGCGATGATGGTCGACCCATTTCGAGTCAAGTAGTACTTGCCACCAGGTTTGCAAATCGACGACCAGGTATCCCGTTCCTACGGTATCGGATCAGCATCGAGTCTCTGTGGTTTGCCAGTTGGAGGTGGCTGGCGTACCTTGATCTCCTGGAAACCAGCATCGACGAAGCGCTTACGAGAAGAAGCAACAGCATGAAAAGCTAGCAAAAAAAAGTCCGGTCAGCCCATCACGGACCCAAAAGCGATGTTTATACTCAAGCATGATCGGTGTGGTTATTACGTGTTGGAGAAGCATTGACGAAGGAACAAAAGTCCAGCGCTTTCACTTTGAAGTCAGCCATGGTGGAGAGGGCCCTGTAGGTGTGATTTCTTGTCCCGAGAATGGCGGCTTGGGAAATTCGGCTTGTCCTTGCAAGCTGACACGGGTTAGAACGAGATGCTGGTGAGAGAGATAACAGGAAGCACGAGGCGCGAGGCGTGTGGCAACGAGACAATACCGATGATTCGAGGATGTTCAATCTCATGGATAACTACGGAGTAGCTGATAAATGTTCAGGTTGTCGATCCCTTCCCAGCAGCCCAATTCCCCTCTCTTGTTGGCTCTCTGCAGTGGTTCTCCCCTCGAACGTTGCATCAACCATCGCAAAATAACGTAAGCAACCACCGAGCTGCTAGTTTACTATGGAGTCAACTACATCACTCACTCCTTGCTGCACGCTTTCAATCCAACTAAAATGATCCAAGTTGCGGAAACTGTAACCCATTATCAGAGTTATTTACTACTGCCTGTAGATAGATATACTTACTCTCTCCATCCCGCTCAGCGAGAGGCAGCGCCAAGAAACGGTTTGTTGACAGTGTCCCGAACCGGCTTAGCGTCGACACGAACCAGTCGCGGGGAGAAACGTTGTTCCGCGTCCCAGTCCCAGTGCGGCCTAGCGGGCGTGCTTTTCGGGACGCAAAAGCGAGCAAGTCGAAGCCAAACACTGAAAGCAGCAAAAAGCGATCGTCTGCGAAGCGCACGGGCGGAGCTCTGTGTCGACCGTCGCCTCTGTTCACCGGCCTGCGCTTCCTCTTCATGGCCTTGCAGCTCTCCCCGTACCAATGCTCCTTCACTGCACCCCGGACGACCCAAACCACCGCTCTCTTACACCCCCCTGTCTCCGTTGCTAGGGCGCGACATCACCCTCGCAGACGAAATCATTGATTCCCGCAAAACAACCATCTTCCCTGTCGCACTAGATCCCATCTTGCGCAGAGGCGTCCATCATCGCCTTCCCATTATTGCGCGCAGTCATCTGATTCTCGTATCTATCCTTTGCGATCCCCGCGCGAGCTTCGAGTATAGGCTTGCTCCGACCGGCAGCTTCGTCGTTTTTGTTGTTGTTGCACGAGCAGTTCCACGGCGGGGAAGAGGATAAGATGGCAGAGAGGAGAAGCGACGGCAATCGCGTAAAGCCTTCCCATGCGAGGGCGAAGTCGGATCGCGCTACTATGCCTGGGAACCTCGTCTCCCCACCCAGCTCCAATACTCCTCCGACAGTCAGAACGAAATCACATAGCTTACACACCGGCCCCGAACCCGCGAAGTTTCGATCCCGGCTTGGCTCCGAACCCATCAATGCAGGCGCCCTCGCCAAAGCGCTGAAGGACTTTGAGGATGTGGGTCGACAAAGGGAAAGGACACCGGGAACAAGCCCTTGTCGGAAGAGACAGAGAGTCTACGGCGATAGGTAGGATTCGCAAAAAGTTCTCTTGGTAGCTACCAGAGTTGTGATCTCTTTGCAGACAATACTTCTCTTCTAGCTCATCACGCACTTGGCCTGTGACAAACCTGACATTTCCTATACAGATTTATTCCCAACCGCGAAGGCCAAGATTTGCAAGCGAGTTACAGTTTGCTGCACGAAGATGGTTGCCCTTCCACCCCGTCAAAGACAAAGAGGCGGCCTCCGCACGGGGAGATACATTTCCAACGAAGTAAGGGCTCTATCCGCATTTTGGCGAATTACTTGTCTGACGAATTTGATGTAGCGGAAGAAGCCAATCGTACATATTCTCGAATTCTTCGAAACGAATTCTTTGGCGACAGCATTCCACAATCCGATTTAAACACGCTCTCTCCCGAAGCAACGACCACATATACGACCTCACACGATCCTACTCGCTCACACACCCCACCCTCATACAAAGCCGCTTCTTCTTTACCTCCTGCAAGCATCACTCCCTCGACGCCAAGCAAGAATCTCTTTTCCTATTCCTCTCCTAGAAAGGCATCTGAAAACCCCACGCCGTCCAGAACTCCCCATAGTGGCTCCAATTTCAATGCCCGTTCCGACATCTACAGCTTATCCCCAATACGATTCGACAGCCAGCGAATGTTACAAGGCCTCCGTAAACAACCAAGATATATAAACAAAGTACCGTTTAAAGTCCTCGATGCCCCAGAATTAGCAGATGACTTTTACCTCAATCTGGTCGACTGGGGGAGTACCAACATCCTGGGTGTTGGACTAGGTGCAGCGGTTTATATGTGGGATTCGGTGAATGGCAATGTCACGAAGTTATGTGAATTAAAGGATGACACCGTCACTAGTGTCAGTTGGATTCAGAGAGTGAGTCGCTCTACCCTGCCCTTGCCCACCTACGAAGTATTAATTCCATATAGGGGACGCACCTGGCTATTGGTACAGGTCGAGGCTTTGTTCAAATCTGGGATGCCGAAAATTGCCGGCGGTTACGAACCATGACTGGCCATACCCTTAGAGTAGGGGCGCTTGCTTGGAATGATCACATTCTCACGTCTGGCTCACGGGATCGAATAATCTATCATCGCGATGTTCGCTCGCCCGATCAATACCTTCGTCGATTGACGGGCCACAAACAAGAAATCTGCGGGCTTAAATGGAATACCGAAGATGGGCAGCTTGCCTCTGGTGGGAATGATAACAAGTTATTAGTTTGGGATAAACTCAGTGAAACCCCCTTGTACCGATTTTCCGACCATAACGCTGCCGTGAAAGCTATTGCCTGGTCACCGCATCAACATTCGTTACTCGCCTCCGGCGGGGGTACCGCTGATCGAACCATTAAATTCTGGAATACCGCCACTGGGAGCTTGATCAAGGAAGTCGATACAGGAAGCCAAGTGTGCAATCTGGCCTGGTCAAAGAATTCCGACGAGATTGTGAGCACTCATGGCTACAGCCAAAATCAGATAGTTGTCTGGAAGTACCCCCGCATGGAGCAAATTGCGTCGTTGACGGGCCACACCTTCCGCGTCCTTTATCTGGCAATGAGTCCAGATGGTCAAACCGTGGTGACAGGCGCCGGAGATGAAACCCTCCGGTTCTGGAAGATATTCAATAAAAAGGGGCTTAAGGATCAAAATCGCGAGAGCAAATTGTCTGGGTTGACGACGATCCGGTAGGACAAACGGCTCTGCGCCCGCTTCTATATACCACGCTCCCCCAGCTCCGGCCCTCGTTTCGGCAACCCGTAGCCAAACAATCGATGACGAACCGACAAGTTTTAATGAGTTTCCTTTACCTGTTTTGTGGCAATCTAGCATCACATCTTCCTTTATATGGCGTTTACGGGGCATTTTGTTTTTGCTTTATGGCGAGGCATGAAAAATTAATCATATTTTGAGCGCCGGCGATGGTTGGTGGGAGTAGGATGGCGTTTTAGGTGTTTAACCCACCTTTGAGGAAGAGATTGGGATTTGTGTCCCTTGGATGGAGGCTTGATGACGGCCCATGGTTTTTCTCTAGGGACCCTTTTTCAACCGTGGCATGCAGTGAGGTTGGGCGCTGGTTCGGCGGCATGCCCTTGGGTCTACAAGCTTGTATGTTAGTTGCGTGATTGCGTCTGTTATAGTCAGAAACAGAAAGTTTCCATTGACATATGGGCGATTCTATTGAATTTCATATATGTGCAATCTGATGAAGGATACCAAAAGCTTGGAGATTAGGTGATCAACTTAGGCAGAGTGAGATTCAGGCTAGTCACGTGCCAGTTACCTATTTACTTCATCGCGAAATTCTGAGCAACCATCACAGAGAAGTGAGCTGTTGTAGAGAGCGATGGAGGTGAGTAACTCCTGGGAGAAGCGTGGACTTACCTTGCTAACTGCTCATCCAGTGATTTGCCATGTCTGCGGAATAGCCCTGACCGTCTATAGGTGCTCCTTCAACATGCTTCTGCGGACTCTCCCTCGACTCTCCGCGCCTCGCTCCCATGCTCGCCTGCTACAAGGCCGTGCGTCCAGCATCTTCAGACGACATGCATCCAGCAAACAGGCAGCTCTCAAAGCCGCCAAACCCCCCTCATCCACTCCGAACCCGCCCGCGCTCCGTTTAAAACCCGCCGCCCCTCCACCGCCTCGCAGCGACACCCGATTCCGCAAATTCAACTTTGACCTCTCCCAATCCTCCGGCCCGGTAGAGCTCTTCAAAGCCCCCTCGCACCGCTCCTACATATTCAGCGCCTACTCCACCGCATTCTTCTGCTGTCTCTTCTCCGGCTACAACTTCTGGGCCATCTCCATCGACCCCATCATCAAGCCCGACAGGTGGCAGGAGTATACCTTTGGCGGCATCTGCGTGGTCATGTCCGCCATGGGCGCCGTCTTCTTCCGGCGCGGCACCAATCTGATCGCGTCCATCACGGCGGCGCGGTCGGAGGGCCAGACGCGCCTCTCGATCAAGGTGCGGCGGATCATCCCGTTTCTGAAGCAGCGGGAGATCATCGCGACGCCGGAGCAGGTCTCGTTCTCGCGGAAGCTGGTGGTGCCGAATCCGAAGATGACGTCGGAGGAGATGGCGGCGACGCATCGGCGCTGGGAGGCGGAGCGTGTGGTTGCGGAGACGCCGTTTTTCAAGGCCCCGTTGAAGAAGGTGAATCTTGGGTTTTGGAGGTTCTTTAGGAATACAAGGAGGTTGTTTACGCAGGAGTACTTTGTGTACGTGACTATTGCGGGGCAAAAGGCGGAATTTAGAATGGATGGAATGGGCACGTTTTCACCGCAGATGTTTGAGTTGGAGAAAAGTGCCCGGGGAGGTGTTTGATCAAGGGGAAAGCTTTGTCTTTTCTCTCATGAACACATCTCTGGTCACGGAACCATCCATCCCTCTTGTATACCAGCTTATCCTTCCTCTACTGTATTATAACAGCAAATTATACGTTCCCAGCCGCATGTGCTTACTGTCCTTGTCATTGCTTGCACATTTTCGTTTACTTTCTTTTCCTGGAAACATTACGAGCTGAGTGCTTATACTCATGGCATTTCGGCTGACCACGCCCATTGTCTACCCTCCCAGGCCCTATCAGAGAAGGTATGGTGAGCCCAACTGGACCTTCCGCCCTTTGTCCGTTGACGACGGGCAAAGTGAATATCGGCCATATGCAGAACAAAGCTTTGAGGAATGGCTGGTGGAGTTGAAATCACTGGGGTATGTCCTAATCTCGAATTCTTTTTGTCACAGACGTGATGCTCAGTGATTCCAAGGGCCAACAGCCAAGGAGGTGACCCCTTTCCTGCCATCTGTGAAGAAAATCCGCTTGCATTGTGAGTTATAGCAACTTTTTCATTGTCTCTTTGTGCTATTCTGCTGACATTTAAAAAGACTCAGCGGCCGCACCACCATGGTTGATATCATCGTTGGCGAAACAGCAGAATTCTGGCACCTCCACGAGTCCCTCCTCTGCGAGGCATCACTCTTCTTCAAAGCCGCGATCCACAGCTCATTCCGAGAAGGCAAAGAGAAAAAAGTGGGCCTGCCAGAGGAAAAGAATCACATCTTTGCTCTCTTCGTCCAATGGATCTACTCTGGAACTTTTGCCGTTCATGGAATGGACCTGCTTATCGAGACCTATCTTCTCGGCGACCGTCTACTGGCAACTGACTTTAGCAAGCTGGTAATTACAAAGATCTTCGATGCGTCCAAGTGGCAGACATTCACGGCAGTGCAGGCTGTGTATGTTGGCGAGAACACAACCAGGTCTTGTCCACTGCGGAGATTGGTCGTGGACACGATTGCGTATTCGCTGCTGTCTGGGACCGGGTTTTCTCAGGATGGCTGGCATACAATGAAGGGCCTTCATGATGAGTTGTTTCAAGCCCTTAACAATTTTACAGCGTGGAATGCCCCTGGGAAAGTTTTCAATCCGAAGCCGCTGTGCTCATATCTTGACTAGTTAATAGTTTGGTTTTCCCATGCATGAGAGGGAGGGGATGAACGCTTTGATACTGAATTATGTTTTGGCTTGTTTTTTTCCCTCCTATTGAAAGAAAGTGTATCAATATATCCAATTGAATGAACAAGCAAAATTGCTAAAAGGAAAAAGTTCTTTGATTCATCCAAGGTTGGTTTGCGCCTAAGCCATGTCATGGGGAGTGGTTGAGTGCATATTGCACGTTGAGTTGTATTTCGGTTAGAATACAACTACGGAGTAGACTCTCATTTATTCACATTTCATCTAGTTAATCACTCATTCAAATTACCTAGAAGCTGTATCCGGTTTGTATAAATGGCTTCCTGCCTAGCGTGCACATTTGCTTTCTAGATACAGCTTTGTTCTTGCTATTAGGTAGGGGCCGTCTGGGAGTGGCGCTATGTTTAACAGTAGCACCCGCGAAGGCGGATGGTCGAGACCTGCGGCATGCCGTTCGTTTGGTCCTGGAAGACGCGTTTCTATGTCGACTTTGGAGGGGATTCCCTTTAAATCCATTAGGTGAATTCGTTCGCCGCGTAATATACTCGGAAGTGAGGCAGCCCGCATCTGTTTTCGCCGCAAATGCCGACAGAAGTCGAGTTCGTTTGCAATCTTTGTGTCCATACCCTTCTCGGTGCTCTAAGGTTGGTGGGTGTACGACATCATGTCCTCACTTGGTAAGAGGATGAAAGTCTCATATCTCAGGCCTCTTTCATCCGGTATGTCATTCGACGCTGAATTTCCCCGAGACACACTTGCCCAGCCATCCCATAACTCTCGCCAATAACACCCTTCAGCGGCTGCTGTAAGATAGCGCTGCCGGAAAATCTTGACACTGTTCTCAGCGATCCTCCTGGCCTTCTCGGGATCTGCAAGGAGCTCCTCCATCTTCTCAGAGAGGTCAGAAAAATCCCGCTCGACTTCAACAAAATTTTGATGTGGGCCACCGGATTGAAGGAGATAGTGAAAGTGTTGAATGTACTGCAGTTTGTGTGCCACCACAACCGATCGACAGGCCTGGCGGTATTTGAGAGAGGAGGAGAAGGACCGACCTTTTGAGGTCTCATTAGCACTAGCTTCCCCACTAACATGGCCATCGAAGCACCATCATTATGAAAGATGTGGACATACCTTCAACATGGGCGATGAACATGTACCTACAGTGATCCTCCATGCTGACAAAATGATGCTTCTTACCCCAGATGAGCTCCTTTACATCACCCCAGGGTTTGCTTCTAGCGGCGTCAAGCAAACCCCGCCTGAGCTTGGGTGCAAAGCTCAATTTTCCCCGCCAAATCAGCTTCGGATTTTTGGAAGTCCATGGCAACGTTTCTTCAGAGTCGAACCTTTCTATGTGCTGCACCACCTGGTCATATGGGCCAATGTTGCTTGCTGGGTTACCCCATGCCCAAAACCCAAAGTCAGGCATTAACCATACTGATTCTTCACTGGCTTTCCTTGCAAGTACCCAGAGGGGATGGCCAGCGCCGGAGACATCATCTACCTTATCTTCAATGGAGAAGGCAAACTCAATATTAGGTGCATCAACTCGAAGCGCTCTGTGAATTGAGCTCAAGGTAGCAACAATCTTCCGCCGGTGATCTTCCTGTGCAGCGCGCACTTTGATAATGTAGAGTCGTCCATCCGAAATCATTGCTCGTGCCATTCCGTTGTGCAATTCGATGCTATCCAACGAGTTCTTTGACATAGGCCCCTGAGCAGTTCAGAAATTAACAGCACGGGTCGACATCCTCAAACAAACCTGGAAAGGATGTCTGGCACTCCGTCTTGTTCAGAGCCAGATTGCGATCATCTCGACCATATTGGAAGGCCCAGGCTGGGGTAGATGGTGAGGGCGCGAGTGATGGGGTTCCAGATGTAGTCGCGGGTATCGATTCTATACAGGTTGCGCAGTTGAATGTTGTCGACGATTTGCAAGCACAATGGCCAGCGGGAATAAGTTGGGTGAGGATCGGAGGTACATTGTCAGAATCCGAGTTCATGCCAAACCAAAGAGCAAAGATACTGATGCCAATCAGTACACACAGGCAAGCTGAGGTAGTGATCACAAATAATGGCAAGCCGCGAGAAACGCGGCTCAATAAGCAAACAACTGCCATTCTCATGGCAAGTAGAATCAAGACTTGAGAAGAAACGCTTCAAGCAGGACAAAGGTCCTTGGATGTTCAATTAATACGGGACCCATTATTATTTTCAACGGGACAATTTTCCCTTGCGGGAGGAGCCCCGAGACGCGTTCAGGGGCGGGATGACCCCAGGTCCAGGAGTTGGACAAGTCGCGAACTTGCATGCCCGCAAAAATAGGACTGGGGGCGATCTGCTCTTGTCATTTGAGTAGGCGACCCACCGGGCTTTTGTTCCACTAAGTAACATTGAATTGCTGTTAGTTTTTGCTCAAAATATTGAATGTTGCATGGAGGTTTTATTAAACTTCTTTATTCACTTGCAACCTGCAGGGGTATTTGGTGGAAATGTCTCTGCGTGTTTTGCGTAGCTGAGCAGCCGTTAGGAGGCCTCGCTGCTACCAAGCCCGTCAAGCTCGATTCCGAAAAGTCAAATTAAGGCGGCTTAGACAAATTGGGGCCAGCCTGGGCCCTGAACGGTTTGATGGGCTGTGGCTGGGGCATTGCGACAGGGCGAAGAGTTTTGGTTGCGTCACACGGCAAATGTTGAAGTTTCACGGTGTGGTGACGACTTGAGACCTGGCCCACAGGAGTCAAACGAGCGTCTTGGAGGCGCCCAGACAGAGCTGGCGATGTGGATGCCAGGCAGGACAGATGATGATAGTCAGAGATGAAGTTGAATCTGGAGGACGACTTGCCCCCCTTTTCCCGCGGTGGACGTTCCACCCTGCTTAAGTAATGCAACTGGCCAAAACGGGCTAATTGCCAAGCAATGCCAAGCGGAATGCCGTTTGCGCCCTTGTGGTCCTCCGCACCTGGACTCCCCATCGTCGTTGACACCCAGTCGGGGGTATCCCGATCAGCAGCGCCCAATCCAAGCTGCCCCAGCGCCGTTGGCTTTGTTGCATCCACATGGTCCACACGTGCTCCTCAGGCGCCAATAACGCATTGATGGCCAAAGGGCAACTCCCATTAAAAGCCATCGAGACATTTGGACTCGATGAAATTCGTGTTTACAACTAGGTCCGGATTTACCCTGAAGGCAGGCTGCTTTGAATCTCCCCGGCCCTGAATCGGGGATGGAGAAAGATGAAGCCGGGTGAAGGCAGTGAAGAGCAAGGGAGCTGTTTGGTTTTTGGGTGCTTGGAGGCAATGCCTCGTCTCTTGGGTAGACTCTCCTGCTACTTCCAGTAATCAGTCGGAGGGTAGCCGGATTACCTACATAACACCCCAGCATCTAAATCGACTAACTTCAATATCAAAGGCCACGACTACGCGTACTGCGCGCTTAATATTGTCCCGTGCCCTCTCTCCTGCCTTGTCTCCCTGCCGCCCGCCATCCGAATGCCGTGCTGATCACCTCGACGCTATCTTGATATTGCTACGGGTGTTTTCGATTGCATCTAGAAAGTGAGCGTACTCTGCAGCATCCACCGCCTTTTTCTCGCGGGGGTGTTTGTTTCCCCAAGAGGCTCACTCCGCAATCTGAAGTTCGAGTGAGGAATGCGATGAGCATGGTTTGAGATTCTTCAGCTGCTGGGTTGGAGGCATGCGCAGATGGCACCGCAGCTCTGCGGAAAAGATCAACTCCGTTTCTTCTCTCACTCTACTCCCGCCTAGCAGAGACTGTCTCGCTGTTACTACGCCACCAGCAAAGCCAGATCCTAGCAATTCGGAATGGGTACAGTCGGACAGTGCTGCTGAATCTAGACACATGTTGCAATCTTGTAACGAAGTTTCTCCTCTGAATTGCACGGTTCATCTCTCCGGTCCTGTCAGGAAGTGCAAGTCTGAAAAGCACCCTTCTAGTAGTAGTACATATGCCAGGAACCTGTTCTTCATGTTAGATAGTATCAACCTAGATAGACTGACGTCATAAGTCTTTACCATATCCATATACTCCGGAGACAATGCTTTCTTCCTACTACTTACTGCTCGCCAGAGTTAGGTTAGTTTTCACAGCTCCCCTTCCCATCATCGCATCACTTACAAGCAGGTAGTTTCTCTGGTCAGGTCAGATTACAATGGAACTCGACTTCAATCCCAATCTCCGCCTCCATTCAACCTTCTATGACGTTCCAGGGTACGAGTCTAATTTCCACGTTCTCACCTCCCCCAGCCCTCCCCCGTTCCTTCGACGCGACACCTCGCCTGCAATGAGCAGCAGCTTCGAACCGGAACAGACCCTGCAATCGGAAGCGTACTATGGGCGCCTTCCAGTCGTGCTCGTGCACGGCATGGTGGTCGCTAGCAGCTACATGCATGATCTCGGACGACATCTCGCACCATGGTTCCGCGTCTTTATACCGGACTTACCTGGCTTCGGGCGTTCGACAAACGCAATGCCGAAGACCGGCGAGAATAGTAAGGTGTCGATAGTCCAGCTCGCGCAGGGCCTGCACGACTGGATGGACGCCGCAGGCATACAAAAGGCGCATCTCATCTCCAATTCCTTGGGCTGCCAGCTCCTTGCCGAGTTCACGCGTCGCTGGCCAGAGAGAGTCGGGCGACTGGTACTGCAGGGTCCGACGATGGACGGAAGCCACCAGCCCATACGCAAGACTTTGCGTGCGCTGGTCACGAATAGTCGGAACGAACCGCTTTCCATGTCTCGTATCATGATTCGAGATTACTGGCGGGCTGGGTGGCGGCGAGCGCTCGCGCTATTTAGGGAGGCGGCTGATTACCGTATATCGGATGTACTCCCGAATCTGAAGAATCCGACGTTGCTACTGAGTGGTGAACTGGATCCCGTCGCGCCGTGCAGCTGGGTTGCGGAACTAGCGGAGACAGTGCCCAACGCGGTGCACTATGTCCTGACGAAAGCTGCGCACACGGCAAACTACTCGGCGACGGAAAAGATGTCGAGAATCGTTTGCCGCTATTTGCTGATCCAAGATGATGACGAGATCAGGCGCGCGGGAGGGGAAATCTTGGAACAGGTGACGAGGATAAATCACACAAGGGAAGCGGCGGCAAAGCAAAAATCCCGATTACTCTGCCTTCAGTCGGCCTCGGTGCTGCTCTCTGCTGCTCTCTTCGCTACACGGAAGGAGTTCGTCGGCAGCTGGCCATTTCTTGTGGGACTCTTGTCGATAGAGTCGACGATCCTCTACAAATTATACAGGATCCGCCCGTCACTCTCCTTGAGCCGCTCAGACCACTTGGACCCCGTATACGTCAAGCTGCCAGGCATCGCCGACTTCGACTCTGCATCCTCAATGCTCCGCGCAATAGGGCGGTACCTGCATTTCCGCGACTTCCCCCAACTCGGCGTCCCGACGCCCCTCGCCGGAGCCATGCCTCTCGTCAACAAGCTCCCGCCCTCGTTGCGCAACACCGTATACTCGACTGTCGGCGCCAACGAAGCCGTTGCAGAGCACGACGTTGCATCGACGTTTGATGCAGAAAGCGTCACGCATTCGGTCGTTGCGCACTTTCCAGCGCATCGGAAATACCCCGCCGTGGCCATTGGAAGCACAAACGGCGCGTTGACGCATTTATATGCAGCGATGGGGATTCCGTGGCTGCCACAGACACTGCTCATGCCCGTCAAGCGGTCGCGGGACGCGTCGATCCATCAAGGGCTGTTGGACATGACGGCGGAAATGGAGTGGGGGAGGAGCGCGGGCCAGACTTTGCTGGAGGGCAACCCGAATATGATCGAAGTGTACCACATGGCGGATCCGAATCAGGACCAGCTGATGATCCAGCGAATGGCGTACTTTAGGCTGAAATTCATAAAGATGACTCAGGCGTATCGGAGGTTTCTTCTCGACGCGTTGGAACCGAACAACGGCACGATCGTACTCGTTCGGTGCGGCTTGAAATGGCCCTCGTCCACAAAGGTCGCTGAGCGTCAGTACTTTCAGAGCGGAGCTCTTGGAGGGTTAAGCGCGGAGGGATTCGTCAGGAGTCCAACAGTCGTAAATGAATTCGTAGAGTCGCAAAAGTCGACATCAACCAAGTTGCGCGAAACAGTGCTGGGAATGGAGCGACGAACGGACTGGAATGCCCCGCCCCCGTCGTCTGAAGAAGAAATCTCCGAAGCAGAATGGGGCTACGCAGAGGCGTTGACGGACGATATCGTTGCGTTTGCAAACGAGCATGGGTTTCAGATCAAGTATCTTGATTACGATCATCCCGAAGACGCCAGTCCGCTCGTTGCGGATATGTATCGCCAATGGAGGACCTCAGCGCAACTGCACCGGGGCCATCCGACGGCTGACTCCATCCTCGTCGAAAACTTCGTTGTACTAGAGCCGTGGCTAGCGATGCGGTACAATCTGATCCCCTTTTGGACGGTTTTTCCCGTTAAACCGTCACTCGAACGGCTGCAGAGGTATCTAAACCGATGTAGTGAGGCGGGAAGGGGGTTTAAAGACGGGTTTCTGTTTTTGTTTTGCTCTGGGGTGCATTCGATTGAGCTTATGGGGGTGGAGGCCTGGAAGGAGGTTCTGAGGAGGCACTTTGCTTCATCATCAGCATCATCGAAGGATATGGATGCGGTTGTGGAAAAGAAGCCGTCACCGTTGCTGTTGGGAATAGACAAGAACAAGTTCCCAAAGGACTTTGGCTTTCCAGCACTTTACCAGGGTCAACTGGCAGAAGCGGTTGGTGAAGAAGGGCAATATGTGATGCCGCCCAGTTTAGCGCTGGTTGTGCTTGAACGTTTCATGATGCGGAATGCTGAGAACTATGGAATGTGCTATAAGGCTGATAATGATTAGCTTTGTTTTGAACGTGAGTAGCTGTTGGCAGCCACTCAAGTCCTTCCTCCGAGAGTGGAGGAAATGATATCTGAATATCTCTCCCCCTGAGTGAGTTACTCGTTATCTCTCGCGGACTAAGATCCTGGAAACAAGATAGTCGCTTTGCATGCCACCCGCGACTTACAAAAGAGCCTTCCTCAATCCGGCCCGCCAAAGAAATACTCTCCTAGAGATGAGCAAATGGTCCTATGCCTTGCTCATCAAAACCCTAGGCCATTCTCGTCAAGGCTGTCCAGGCGAGCACAGGCCCGACATCCATCAGAGAAAGGTAATGAATACAGTTGCTAACGTTCAGGACGCTTTATCTCCCAGGTGTATGTCCACTTTGAAAAACTAGACAGTGATGTGTCAACTTATGCCCAATGAATCCAGGCCAACATACCTCTATCGGAATGGGGGAGGGCACTAGAGATAGCCATCGTGGAAGGCGGTAAAAAAGAAACACCAGTTTCAATTGTTGTCCAAACTTTCAAGCGAGCAATGGTTGGTGGAGTTTGAGATGGGCCTCTGATGTTGGGTAAATAACCATGCTTTTTATATAGTTATATTGCCCTCGAATTGAGATAAATTAGAGCCTCCGATATGCTAGGGTCATCGACCAAAGGATGACTGCACATACTTCCCTCTGTATGTCACCATCAATTGCCCGTTGCTATCCACGCAAATCCCCAAGGCCGAGTCAGGAGAAGCTTCATTTCGCTTGGATTGCAAATAATCTTCCCGCCTTTATTCGTGAGAATTTGACGGGTGTGATGCGATTTCAAGTAGTTGTATCGGTGTCGCTGAAAGGGCGGAGAATTCCTAAGATGTGCAGTTATAATGTACGGGCCACAAGGATTACAAGTGCCACATAATAAGCTTGACGAGATTTTCAATATGGGTATATATTTACATGAAAACACGTACGCACGAATCCGCGCTACCAGTCGCGATGACACATCGAAACCCGGTAGTTCCATGCTCTGTGCCTTTATTTCCTTCTGGACGTTCTGCGACTGAGCTCTGAACAAGATTGGCGGGATCTGGCGCCCATTGAATGCAGCTAACAAAGTGCTCGTGTGCGCCCTCCAGCGTCTTTACTAACTTTCCCTCTTGAGAAAGATCCCAGCAACGTATGGTTTTATCGTCACCGACACTGAACAAATACTTGCCACCAGGATGGAAGACCAGTCCCCTCACCCAATTGTTATGGCCAATCAAGGTCTTGATTAATGATCCTCGAGAGTCCCACAGCTTCACAGTTTTATCCCTGGCGCCTGTCGCAACGAATTCAGCCGAAGAATTTGTGGATGGCGGTTTTTTTAGTCCAGCTAAAGTTGCTAGATAACCATAGCTTGAAGGGGGTGCAAATGTGCAGCATTCAATGTAGTTTTCATGGCCTAGCAACGACGCTCTCGCCTCACCGGAAGATACTTCCCAAATCGTCGCAGCTTGGTCACGGCCGCCTGACACCAGCCACTTGCCATCGAACGAAGGGAAGACATCGCGAACCCAGTCGCCTTGTGTATGGATTGTTTTCACGCAGAACCCGGTCGAGGTATCCCACATGCGGAGGGTTGTATCTCTACTGGCTGATATAAGAATATTTCCGCCTGGTATTAGGAAGCGCACAGAGGAGACGGAATGGTCATGGCCGAAAAGAGTTCGAATATTGGCATAGTCATTGCTCGGATCCCAGAGCTTGATTGTGAGATCATTTGAACAGGATGCTAAAAGAGTCCGTCCTTTCTGTCCCCCGAAGTCGAGCCCCGTAACGGTTCTTGTATGGCCCTTGAGCGTTCTTTCCAACTCCCCTAGCTCCCAGTCCCAGATTTTGATGCTGTAGTCTTCTGAGCCTGACGCGAGTGACGAGAAAACTGGATGAAACGCGACGCATGTAATCGCGCCTCGATGTGATCCAAGGGTATGGGTTGGCGAGGTTCCAGGCAGCCAGCTCTTGGGGTCGCGATTTGCTCTGGATGTGATTGTTGGTGCGGAATCGAGTTCCGCCTGCAGACTCGCAATCTTCGACTCTAGGTCCAATATCTCAACTTAAATTAGCACTTCTTGTTTCGTGATATTCTCCCATTCCCCAAAACACATGGCCATACTCACCCTCTTCTGCAGTCGTACAACGCTTATCCACTTCTTCTCGAGAAACCCCTCATACTTTTTGCATGCTGCGTCGGTAAAATTGTCGCCAATCTGGAGCTCTTCTCGTAGGGTCGTGACACTTTGAGAGGCGTTAATGGAGGATAGGTACGCGATCAAGGATTTGTGCCTGATGCTGCGTTAGCACGTCAACAGAATGCCTCGAAGGTGTGGAACAGCTGACAGCTCCTCTGCCTGTCGCCCTGTTAATATCTGGCTCATCGTATTCGTAAATGTTAATGTCTTGAGGAGGATCGTATTGCAAAAGCAGTGTGCTGAAGCTGGCAGAATACCCAACACGATTGTTTCGCCTTGACAGCATGTGGTTGCGAGGAGTTGAAGCAGCACAGCGCACTGAGTACAGCGGACATACCTGGGGAGGTCCCTACGTGGACAGCTAACTGGGTGATTACCTCTTTCATATGGTCACATGATCGCTTTAGTGAGCGGGAGCTTTGTTGACAACAAGCCTCGTTACATAGTACTCGGACGGAGAATTCAGCTCCTGGCGGTTAGACCCCGTTTACGAGGAGTCTAACGGCGTATGCAGGTGATAAGCAGTGAGGTATTCACAAGTTAGGCTATGCGTAGGTAGCGACCTGGTACCATGCAAACCCCGCTTCCACCAGCCTGATCCCCCAAGCTTTCCACCAATTCCACCGATGTCTTGAACTCGCCATGAGAATAAGAGGTACATACAAATAATTGTACTATAAAGGATGAAGTACTTTATTTCTTTGGGTACGCATGTTGGCAATGAACCTAAACTTGAAAAGTACCAGAAAATAATACACAAATCTTTTGAATAGAATAAACTGGGGAATCGTGCAAAAGGTCGGAATTAAGGCCGAAGCCACTCATGAAAACATAGCCACGGCATCAGCAGCCTAAACTGTCATCAACCTTTCGGGCTCATCTTCCAAAATGGCTTGCATCCGGTCCAAAAATGCTTGTCCCCTCAACCTCTCTGATTCGGGAACGGTGATGCTAAACATGGGCGCTTCATCCTCGCTCTCAGCAGGTGACGTCGTCCTTGGGCGACGTGAATTTGTCTCGACTGACGCCTTTCCCGAAAGAATGTCAATTATATCAGTCGCCTCTGTACTCGACTGCTTGGGAATAGAGTCAAGTTCTGCGGCCGAAATAATATCCGGGATATAAGCCCCTTTACTGGTTGGAAGTGGTTTATAAGTATGGACGCCGACTAACTCGTCAAAAAGCTGGTCGGCAACCTCTTTTCGGGTATAGCCTTGAGTCGCAGGCAGCTCATCGTTCGCAACATCTATTGCACGCACGACAAACTTCTCGAGCGGGATCGTGACTCCGGTGGCGGAACGCACTCGTTGCTGTACGCTAAGGACACGGGACAACGAAATCGGAAGCGCAAGTGTGGTTTCCAGATCCTCTACTGGCGTGGGTTCTGGTGCAGCTTCTGCTACTTTCTGCTGTTCCGGCCGAGGCTTTGCCGGCGGAGCGGCCGGCTTGACGTTGCTGAGGTCAAGGTGTGCGAGTTTGGAGAGCCGAGAGGAGAGGGTTGATGGGTAGTCCGATGGGATTGCACCGATATAAGAGAGTATGTCACCCTTCAGGAGTCTTCCTTGGGGACCGGTTGCAGGGATCTTTGGAATCTCTGACTCTGGGATGTTATTTTCATGGAGGAGTTGTGCGACGGATGGATAGAGCGGTTGAGTCTGATGGGCAAGTGTAGCAGCACTGCTTTGAAAACCTAGCAAGCGTACGGTCAGCGACACGGTTCATATTTACTCTGAGCGGCACGAGATGGTACGAACATCGGACGGAGCTACCGGCTCCAAAATAGCGTGGGGAGATGCATCGTGATAATCGTGCCGCCGAGGTATGGCCAGCCATTGCACTTGAATAGCACTTTTGGCTCAATTCCTCCTTGCAGTGCAGTTCAAGTCAGGACTCTTTGTCTGCCCTCAGCATTTGGTTGTGATGAGCTCAGATCTTGGCATTGTTGGGTCAAGTGAGAGATTAGGTTTACAGGCTAACTTTATCGGGACTAGTGCAATTCAGCATATCTGTGGGCCTATCTATATCAGCAACAGGAAACCTCTCCTTCAACAAATCTCTAGGGAGAGAGACCATGCAGCGTTGACATACATCACAACGCCAGCCATTCAAGGATACAAATATGGGACACAAATATGATTTGAAAGAAGCTCAACATGTTTGTTAAGGCATCGCAATCGTCATTATCAACCTGTGGGACTAGCAATTGCTCGAAGGTTCAAACCTAAGAATTATATTACAACGAAAGGGATAATATTGTGAAGGGTCATTGCCAAACTAATAGACACCAAATCAATGAGGGCAGTTAGCGGAAGAAACAAACATTATGGGTATCGCGTGCTGAATCAATTTAACGCTTCAAAAACTAAGATTTTACAATTCCTGTCGAAACCCCCGTGTTGTCAGAGGCAGCAGCAAGCTGCCCGTTTAGTCTTGGCAACATATCAGCAGCTTGGTCATTCGCTTTGTCTGACGTTCCCACAACCAGGTCATCAAGGCTCTTCGTTACGCTGCCGTTGGCGTCCGGAGTCAACGCACCGTCGGCAGACGGTTGCCACTTGGTAACATCTTTCCTCAGCTGCTCCAACTCATTCTGGAATCGCTTTCCAAAGACATCGATGTAATAGGTCGCCCCGTTGTAGATACTCCACGAAAACACGACAAAAAGGAACGCCCCACTGGCCCACTGGTACCAGAACCACAGAGGGCAGGGGATTAGAGTCAAAAGAGCATAACTATACTGGATGAGCATGAATGCAGGTTCCTGTAGGGGTACCGGCAAGCTGAGAACCAATTTCCCAATAAAGGTTTTGGCGTACGATCGACGGAGCCATGTAAAACTGGTCGGTCGACCGGCCGCAATTTTCTCCCGACGCCGGACAGTGATAAGAAAGTGGTACGAGAGTTGCCATACTGCGTATGGAATAGAAGCCCAAAGCATCATTGCCCCGAGTGAGTAATGCCCTGGTGAGCCTGGCGAACTGAACTTGATGTTATACGCAGCCGGGAAGCGTTTCAACAGCACATCAGGCGGTGTCAAGTGCACAATGCAATGGAGGGTCACAGGCGGCATGATGTGGATGAACAAGCTAATTGTTATTGTCATTTTTTGTTCGAAAAGTTGAAGGTGGGTGGTGCTTACCTAGTGACTTTATCTAGACTGTGAAAGACCATGGAATTTCTCCACATTGCAATAGCAACTGCGTTGTTGCCGTAGGCCAGGCAATATGTACTCAGAAACAATCTCTTGGAGCGTGGAAATACCCACAAACTCAGGACCGTCAATAAATTGACAAAATAGCAGAGGTCGGCCAAGAAATAGTGGTATCCTTTCCTATGATAGGTGTAGAAACGGATGGGCATGAAATAGAGGAGCTGACCAGCGAACCAATAGTGAAAATAAGTTGGATATGCCCCAATGAGGTAACCGCTGATAAAAATATTGAGGACGCCAGCAATAAAGGACAGCTTTTCACGGGCGGTCACAGTCGCAGTATCGTTCCATCGAGCACCAAGTCGTTCAACGGAGTCTTTCATCCGTCTTCGATACTTGTCGAGTTGCTCTTCTGAGGTGGGCATTCTCTTGCGCCACTCACCCACCACTCGTTCCTTGGCCTGCAAACTCGTGGATTTGAACCTCTCTTGCTGTTTTTTGACCTTTGCTTTTTGCGCGGTCAACGTGTTTTGCCATTTCTCAAGCTTTTGGGGAAGCGCCAGGTTGCCGAGGATGTCAAGCACCGTCAATTTGTCCAGCGGAGGGAACTCCCAATCTTCTTGATACGAATTGCTGCTCCCAGACGAATAGGATGCTGTCCGTGCAAGTTCATTCGGATAGGACGGTGTGCGCATGTCATTGTGGTCCTTCAACATTTCCTCCACACTATCGGCCGTTTCCATGATCGCATGCTCTCCGAGAAGGTCCGGCTCAGACCTACTTTTGGGAAGGAGCATTGATTCGGACATTGCAGGCACTGTATCGGATATGCAATCAGTAGACAATTAGGAATATGAGCGTGGCCTTCGTTTCTAGTCTTCTCCCGTCTTTCTGCCCTCAAACCACACCGATTAGTCCTTCGGAGCTTGGTTGACGGAACGTGACATCACTTACAAAGCTTAAGGTAATGTGTTAACTGCTCAAACGTAGCTTGGCCAGTCTACATATATAAGGTCATCGTAGTTTGGATAAAGAGCAGCACCTGCTGGCGAGGAAACACAGTTATATTCATTGAGACCATGACAGACAGGCTGTCTGAGAGCTTCTGATGATGAAAGAGTGTTGTGACGGGAAATTTTATGGAGGGACGTGCATTGCTCGGAGCCCGTGGTTGGCGCTTTTTCCCCAGTAACACTAGGCACTAAGCTGTCTCCGGACTAGCGTAGGCAGCGCCAAGGTCATCTGACCGGATCATCTGTTACCCCCGCTCCCGGATGACTAAGGGTATTATGTAATCCAGACACCATCGCGTCTTTCTTTCGCTTCGACGCGCTACATCAGACAGCGAGCTTGTAGACGTCGAGCGTTAGAAGACTCGCATGGTCAACTCCTGCACACCCAATTGCACCGCACCACCATTGCTCTTGCTAGCAAGGCTTTGGTCACCAATGCAATTCTGAACCCGTCCTCTCAGGACTCTGATAATTGTTCCCCGAGCAACCGAGGAATTGAGCGTGAATACCAGCAAAATGGGGAAACTGATACGCCTCGAGCTTTTCAGTACGCTGTCTCTGACGTTGCGGAAAGGTCAATACTGACAGAGCTTGGGTAGATTTCAAATCCTACAAAGGCCACCACACCCTACTTCTCGGTGATGCGTACTTTACGTCCATCATTGGGCCCAATGGCTCTGGTAAATCAAACTCGTACGTAACACTTATTCCCCCCACAAAGCTGCAACTAATGTCTGTAACAGAATGGATGCCATCTCATTTGTCCTCGGAATCAAATCGTCACACCTTCGTTCGACCCATCTTCGCGACCTCGTTTATCGTGGCAGGGTCCTACGCCACTCCAAAATCAATAATGATGGTTCGGCATCAAAGGATCCGGCGAATGCGGAAGATGACGGCACCGCCGAGGAACCCGCGGAGGTCAACGATCCCAAGACCGCATGGGTTATGGCTGTCTACGAGGATGATGCCGGTGAAGAGCAGCACTGGAAACGCCTGATTACAAGCCAAGGAGTCAGCGAATATCGTATTAATAACCGTATCGTTACTGCGCAGCAATACAATGAGGCTTTGGAGGCCGAGAACATCCTCATTAGAGCACGGAATTTCCTCGTCTTCCAGGGTGATGTCGAGTCTATCGCGTCCCAATCACCGAAGGACTTGACTCGATTAATAGAGCAAATCTCCGGTAGCTTGGAACATAAAGCAGAGTATGAGAGGCTAAAACAAGAACAAGAGGAGGCGTCGGAGAATCTAAATTACCAGCTCAACAGACGCAGAGGCATCAACTCTGAGATCAAACAGTATCAGGAACAAAAGAGAGAGGCAGACAATTACGCCAGAAAGGCAGAAGAACGTGACGAAGCGATTGTAACCCACATTCTGTGGAAATTGTTCCATTTCCAGCGCCTCATCAAAGAATCTAGTGACGAAATACAAAGGCACCATGATGAGCTGAAAGAATTCAAACGGGGCGTCGAAAAATATGAACAAAAACTGGAAGAGGCGAAAAAGGACCATGCACAAGTAGGGAGGGAGGTGTCGAAAGTCGAGAAATCTATCAAAATGAAGGATAGAGAAGTTGAAGAGACCACCAATTCATTGGTTCCTGTGGATGAGAAGATAGAGATTACGACGAAGAAGATTGCTAGATACACTTCCAGAATCGCGGAAATCGCGAAAGAATCCGAATCTCAGTCGCAGACCGTGAAGCAACTGGAAAAAGACCTCAAGGTTGTGGGCAAGGCTCAGTCTCAATGGGAGAAAGAATTCCAACAAGCTGCGAGTATTCAAGGGGTTAAACTAAACGATGCCGACCTTCAAGAGTACAATAAGCTCAAAGAAGAAGTTAACAAACGCTCGTCCGCTACACAACTCAAACTCGACAATATGAAGCGTCAAAGGAAAACGGATGCTGAGACGGTTAACAGCCTTAAAAGCAATTTCGAAAGTTCAGAGTGGCAAGTCAAGAACTTGCAGTCTGACATGAACAATATTCTTGAGAGAAAGAGCAGCATACTCGAAACCATCGAACTCACTAGCAGTGAAATCGATCAGAGAAAAAAGGAACTCAATAGTCTCACCTCGGAACGGCTACGTGTGGCGCAAATGCGAACAGAACTCGAAGAAAAACTACAAGTTACTCTGAAAAAGCTGCTAGAAGCCGACGATGGCCGTCAACAAAGTGAAAAGGAATTGCGTACTAAGGAGATGATCTCAACCCTGAAACGTATTTTCCCTGGAGTCAAAGGCCGCATTAGCGAGCTATGCCAACCGAAACAAAAGAAGTATGCAGAAGCGGTGAGCACCGTTTTGGGACGTCATTTCAATGCTATTGTTGTCGATAATGAGAAAACAGCAAAGGAATGCATCCAACACCTTCGCGACCAGAGAGCTGGGCAGGCCACTTTCATTCCACTTGAGACTATCCAAGTCAAGGCACTGAATTCAAACCTCAAGGGTATGCATCGTGCAATGCGCCCGGCGATTGAAACAGTTGACTATGACAATTCCGTTTCTAGAGCAATCATTTACGCCTGCGGAAACGCGGTTGTATGCGATGACTTGGCTACCGCGAAATATCTGTGCTATGAACGAGGTATCGAGGCAAAGGCGGTAACCCTGGACGGCACTGTTATCCATAAGGGTGGGCTCATGACCGGTGGCCGCGGTCCATCGCAGAAGCATTCTAAGCGCTGGGAAGACACCGAGGTTGCGAATTTACACAAATTAAAGGACAAACTTATGAATGACTTGAGTAACCTTCCGAAATCGCATCGCAAAGGGGCTGAGGAAGAAACCCTTCAAGGCCAACTTGCTGGCTTAGAGCAGCGCCTTGCTTATGGCCGCGATGAACTTAAGGCCCTTGAAAGGAATTTGGAGAGCAAAGCCAATGAATTGGATCATGCCAAACGGCAAGTAGAAAGCGTGCAGCCCAAGTATCGCGAGAAGCTGAATTCGTTGGAAGAGTTGAATAGTTCGATCCAGGAACTCCAAGAGTCTGTCAGTGGCGTTGAAGATGAGGTTTACCGCAAATTCTGTCGCCGTTTGGGCTACAAGAATATCCGAGAATATGAACTCCAACAAGGGACACTTCAACAAGAGGCAGCAGAGAAGAAACTCGAGTTTACGACCCAACGAAGCAAGATTGAGAACCAGTTGAGCTTTGAGAAACAGCGACTCCAGGGGACAGAAGACCGAATAAAGGGTCTTCGAACGCAGGAAAACCGTGACCAAGCTTTGATTGCTGAGCTCGAGGCCGAAAGGGAGACAATACAAAACCGCCGAGATCAATTGAACGCAGAGATAGATCTCCTCCAGGAACAGCTAGAAGAACAGAGAACTCGCTTCAGCGAATCCGCTGAGCGCTTAAATGATCAGAGACGTGAAGCGGCGAAACGGAATAAAAATGTTGAAGGCACGCTTAAAGCTATCAACGTCTTGGAAAGCGATGTGCAGCGCCATTCATCGGATAGATACGCATTGCTCCGGCGCTGCAAATTGGAGGATATTGATATTCCTTTAAAGGAAGATTCGACCTCTTTAGATCAACTACCAATCGATGATCTTGTCCAAACGGATCCTGATGCAATGGAAGTTGATGAGGATGTCAATCTAGGCACCACAAAGGCACCAGCCGTTCATGATTACGGGCTGGAGGTGGATTTCACCAGCCTTGGTGACACATTGAAAGAGGTACGGAATATGCTTTTGTACCTACGCGTTATTGAGACTAATTTGAGCAGGAGTCTGATGATAAACTCGACGACGAACTCCAAGAACGAATTCGCTCCCTCAATAGTGAATTGGACAAAATGGCACCCAACATGCGCGCTATGGAACGCCTCGAAGGCACAGAGAACAAACTTCGAAGCATTGAGAAAGATTTCGAAGAAGCGCGCAAGCGCGCTCGTCGGGCAAAGGATGACTTCGAGGATGTAATGCAAAAACGTTCAGAGCTCTTTAACCACGCCTTTTCTCATATCTCTGAACAAATTGAGCCCATATACCGTGACCTCACCAAAACCGAGAGTTATCCTATGGGCGGTAAAGCGTGAGTTGGACCAAAGGCTGTTCCGTGTAGCCCCCTTTCTTTGCTTTGTTTCTGATTGTTCTGGCTCTAGATATCTTGACATCGAGGATTCGGAAGAGCCCTATCTCGACGGTATAAAATACCATGCAATGCCTCCGCTTAAGCGCTTCCGAGACATGGAGCATCTTTCAGGTGGAGAGAAGACTATGGCCGCTCTTGCTCTCTTGTTCGCCATCCATTCCTACCAGCCTTCCCCATTTTTCGTTCTTGACGAAGTCGACGCTGCATTGGACAATACCAACGTTGCCCGTATTGCGAACTATATCCGCGACCATGCGGCCCCCGGAATGCAGTTCATCGTTATCAGTTTGAAGACCGGACTGTTCCAGAATAGTGAGGCGCTCGTGGGGATCTACAGGGACCAAAGTGCCAACAGTAGTAAGGCGCTGACATTAGATGTAAGTGATCTTTTCCGTTTAGACATTCAATAAAGTCCAGATTTGTGCTAACATATTTGTGGTTATGGCTATAGCTTCGAAAATATCGCTGAGATCGGATATACCCTCATATGTACACCTTTATCAACTTTTCTATTGTTATTCGTTACGCTTATATTATGTTGCTCAACGCCTTCCTTTGTGTCATTCCATGTATATTGATCGATATCTTAATGTAGTATCTGAATCGAAGCTGTTCGGGCTTTCGTGCTTCTATTTTCCACTAGCATCAGGTCCAGATCTACAAGGAATCTTGTGTTATAGACAAAGAAATCCTTATCCAATACCCTTACACGGAGACATTCAACAGTAAAAACCGGATAATATACCGAATAACCATTAGTCCGACGCGAGAGACAGCTATTTCTTTTTGACATGGGATATTAATTACTATTATCAACTATCATCGACAGCTCTAACTCAATCTTTATTAGTAAATACAAATCTGTAAGGTTCAACAGCGGGTTGCTGGGCCGTAGAGTGCCAGTCAACTCCAACCATTTACCCTCAAAACAAGAGAACAATAATAATAACTGTACAAAACATTAGCCAACCCACCAGATACAGACCACCCGTGCCCCAGCTCACAGCCAAAATACCCCATTCTCATCCCGAATCTGCATCGGCGCCGGTGCCATCATCACAATCGGTTCTCTGAACCGCTCATGGTCAAACTCCATCCCCATCTCTCTACCCTTTCCCTTGACATCTCCCCTCATCCGTTCGGACTTTGCCCGACTCGCCTTCTCCCGCGGGGTATTTAGGCTTTGAGCGCCAATAGTTTTCTCCAATCGCGCTTCTAATCCGGCCCCATTCCTCGGGCTGGGTGGTAGCTATGGGGCTTGGAGGGGATAGGTTTGGGTGCGATGGGGGTATGAATCTGCATGTTGGCGTTGAAACGAGGGGGCTGAGGGTGCAGTGAACGTGCGATGAAAGGCAGGGCTTTCGGGTCGTGGTCGTGGAGGAGGTGGAGGAGGTAATGGCGATGGCGGACACGGAGCGGATTCAGAGGAGAATGCCTTGGGAAGAAGTTTTCGAAAGTAGCGTGGAATGCAGCTGATACCGCGCTTTTGTTCATTCTTCTCTTTTTCTTTCCCTTTTTCATCTCCTGGGTCCTGGCTCTTGTTTGTCTCTTTGCCCTTTTCTTTAGGCTTAGGCTTGGGCTTCAGCTTAGAGTTGGGCTTGGACTTTGCTTTATCTTTCGTCCACGCCTGCGGGCCGTATTTTTGGTAATCTGTTGGTGGAATAGCTATCTGCTTTTGCCGTCGTGGATGCCTCGGGTGTAAATTTGGAGGCGGGAGGGAGGATGACCGCGACGGCCGTGGAGATGGATACGGTGCTCTGGGAGGTTCCATATCCGAGATACCAGAATCCTGTGGTTCTTCATCTTCAACGATGAGCTTGCGAGTGCTCGCGGTAGTGGAAATTGAGTAAAGTTTGGTGCAATTAGAATTGTCGTTTTCTGTTGATTTTCCGATCTCGTCGTTGCCTTCATCTTCGTTGTGGATTTCTTCTGCTTCTTCCACTTGCTTGACTGTTTCAATCCCCTTTTCATCTATGGGACTATAGGGAACCGTTGCCTCAAGCTTCTCGGCCTCGCAGGGGGAAACAATAGCCAGGGACTCCTGCGATGGGGACGTTATTTGTTGTGCCAAGTCAATTCGCGCAACATTCGCAAGACGAGATACAGACATCACTCTATCATGCCGAGGATGCGGAGAATGGCAAAGGCAAATGTCCGGGTCGGAGTTTTCCACCAAAAGAATAGACGGTATTTCCTTGGCCTTTCCGGCCTCACTACCATCTTCATCTTGAATTTGGTCGACTCCAAGAGGCCGAGGAATAAGCGAAGCGTCAATGGAATCAACGGTTTTCGGCGACGGCGGTGGTACAAGCGTAGGGATCTCAGGGAGACTCGCGTTTGCATGCTCAAAAATCACTGTGTCACCGTGCACAGAGGCGTTCGGCACGGGAGGCGAGGACCATTCTGCTTGAGGAGGCGAGCCCCCTTCGGCCCATGGGTGATCGTGGGACAGCGCCGGAGATGAGCTTTGACGAATTACCCAGCGCCCATGGTGGCCACTGGTTCGTCGATATTTTTCCCTTAGATTAGCCGTGGGCGTTTGACGACGGGCACGACTTTCGTGATGCGAATCTCGATAAGATCGATGGGGAGAATTGTGACCTCGAGGCGAGGGTAAGCCACTCGAAAGATAGCCATATACCCCGTAGCCGAAATTATAATCAGAATTCCTCACGGACCGGCTGTATTCGCTGGATGCCCTCCTAGGCAGTTCTGGCAGCGGTTTGTTCTTCCAAGAATCGTTCTGATCGGCCGGCCATTGCTGATGCGGATGGACAAACTTCTCCAAGCCCTCGAGCGATGCAGCAGGAAGTAGAGGCGGTCCTTTTTTCCTCCGATTCTTGAAGGTGAGAGGCATGACAGACCGACGCCCACTCGCAGCTACGAGGGGGATATCAATCCTGCAACGCGTAGCACACAGTGAAGGTCGAGTAGTATCTTCATACCTGAAGGAGTGTTGTCGAGCGTCCCAACCTCGCAAGTTGAAAGAGTATAGGCATTATTAACTGGAAAGCTAGGATCAAGCACATTCTCTTACATGTGTCCAGATAGCTCTCGATGGAGAATTTGCTCCGTGCGGTGTTTTCGATAACAAAGAACCAGAGGCATTTTCGTTCCCCCTTGGTTCGTCTCCGAAGCATAAGATGCACGCTGTAGGGACCGGGGAGAAGTCGCCGGACGCAAACTGCGAGGCATCTGTAGTCAACGGTTTCAAGAACTGAAACAGACTGAAGGGAGAGAAAGGAGGACCTTGAGGAGCACCAGAAAGGATCGCTGGAAGAAATATATATATCACAATGCAGGCACAGTAATAAAGACATCTACGCATCGAGTATGATTGGAAATACCTCGAGTGCATCGTCGCCATTGACATGCGAATCACGTCGGACAAAGAAAAAGAGAATCAAAAAGCCACCGTTCCAAGCATTGCTAAATGAAAACGCTCAAAACGCCGGGATAGCAGCCAATAATAAGCGTATACCCAGACGCTCCAGCGGATGTACCAAGTATGCTGGCTCGTAGATCAAGAAATCGACCATCTGCAGTCTAAAAATGAAGAGCCAAAAGCCGGAAAGAATGCAAGAAAAGGCAACGCTAGGACAGCTTAGAGGCCTTTTCGAACATCTCTTGGGTCAGTAGATCTTCTGGGTCTCTAACACTGCTGAACCTGCCTAACTGTTTCAGTCGTTCAATCATGTCTTCGTCGCCGAAATGGCTGTTGTGCTCGAATTCTGGATCCTCCCCATAGGCCACCCTGGCTGCATCAACGAGGATCCGGGCCGTCATACCAAAGACTCGGTATCGCTCGAGGCCAATGGAGATCTCTTCTTCGTCCAATTCGGCGATTGCGGCGTCTTGCTCCTGACTTTTCCGTCGGGGCTTGGTGACGTTCTGGTTCGTAATTGGGACGAAGAAGTGGTGCACTGCAGGAGAGAGAAGAATTGGTAAGCGTCTTCACATTCAAGTCCAGCCTGGAGCGATATTGGGATGATGAGAACATACTCCTCCACCAGGTTGTGTTCCAATTCGTCCAGGTTCCTTGATACCAATCGGTCGGGGAACCAGGCAGCCGCTCATCCTCTCCACCCCGAGGCTCGTCGCACGGCTTCAGGAAGTTATGAAATGGCCCAGTGAAGACTGCCGCCACCTCCTTTGCATCCAACTGTGGCATAAACGCCTCTTCAGGGTCGGCATCTTCACCTGTAGCTTCGTCGTAGGAATGTAACAGCGCGACACACGGCCGGACGACTAGCTCCGTTCTTGCCAGGTTAGCCGGTAGCTCGCAGAGATGCTCGACGCGAAACGGAGGCGGGAAGCTTTGGTTAATGTTCGGCAGGCCGATTTCTTCATGGGCTTCTCGCCGTGCCGTTTCGAAGGGCGTTTCGTCGAGCGAGTCCGCCTTGCCGCCGGGGAGCGCCGCCTGTCCAGGGTCTACCCAGAGTCAGTCGCGTTGACCTCAATGACCCGCATAGACGGACCCCAGAGCAAACGTACATGACTTGAGGGTATTGGCACGAATCGTTAGAATCACCCGTAGATCCCCACGCTTATCGGCGAAGAGCAGCAGCAAGACCGCTGCCCGCCTCGATAGCGGGACGGAGCCATAAGTCGTAGGCGGTGGTGCAAATGCTCGTAGGCGTTCAATCGCCTTCTATTGACCGGCGCACGCAAAAAAGAAAGAAGGGTCAGATTCAAAAGCCCGATCAGCGCGTTGGACGGGAGTGTGTGGTTTCTTGCTAACCTGCGATGCCGGCGACAACGGTGCCATGGTTCTCAACAACCTTCCAAACCGCTTCACGCTGGTCAACAAGACGGGTTTCACGACCGGAGTAAACCGAGTTCCTCTCGTACATGCGCTTGCGATATGGCTAGGCAAACGGTGGTGCATACCTCTTATTCTGCGCGCAGGGCCATATTTAACGGGAGACGGTTCGGTATTCTAAGCCCAAGGGCGCCTAGGATGATTGCAGGCTGGGGCGCAGTCTTGCCGAGGTTAAGCCCGTGGGTTGTTGCCATCTATATAGGCATTGCATTGGAGGGAAAAAGAGCAATGAAGGAGCAAAATCCATTTTAATGGCTAGTTACCTCTGTTGAGATTCAGGTCAGGATCCAACCCTTGGATCCTGTTCAGGATGAGCAGGTATATATCATGCCTATGTAGCTAGGAATTTTACTGCCCAGTAAGTGCAAATAAATCAAAATACACTGTCCAACTTCCACACCGCCGTCTATAAGCCAGCCACGGCTAGAACGAAACAAACCCTAAGCACCCCAGGTTCCCAGAAGAGATACGGAATAGTGTCGAGATTGAAGTCGAGAAAATGCAGTTTGCAGGGGAAAGGGAAGAAGCAGACAACAAGTTATCGATAAGCATACACATGTAGAAGAAGGACACCAGTTGCAGGGACAGTGCCTCAGTGTTTTAGTAAACTGATGCGCAAATGCATAGAAGGGTTAGAAAATCATTAAAACTGATAAAAATGGCCCACTAAATCCTTGCGGTCGAGCCAACGCCTTACTCTGCCTTTTTCTCTTTTGCTTGGTTGGACAGATCCTTTTCTGCCTCGGACGCTTCTGACGTTTGAGCTGAGTTGGTGGATTCGCTGGCTGCAACGACCTTGTCTTCCTTCTCGTCAATATCTTGATTATCGTTGGGGGCAGCCATTCCCTGTTCCTGCGTCTCGGTATTCTGTTCATTCTCCTCTTCGATCAACTCCTCTTGCTCCTTGATGACCTCAAGACGTTGCTTGTTGGTGGCTGCTCCTTCAGCATTATGGACTTCAAGTTCGATCTCGTGGAATAGTTCTTCGGGAATACTCGACAAAACTGCCTTGAGCGCATCAATCTGTGAGGAGATTTCATATTCTTGGGATTGCTGGGTATACATGTAGGCGTTGCTCAGGACCAGCAACGTTGAGGGAACTCCTTGTTTGAGGCGCAAATCCAGCCACATCGACAGGTCCTCCCTTAGTCGGGCAGGAGAAAGGCCGTGTGTCCTCAAACCGCGCGATGCGCAGGCAGTCTGAAGTTCAGGCACAAGAAGAGAATCAACGCCCTCAAAGGATATAGCTCGATCGTCCCGCTTGATTTGCCGCATCCGATGGCGAATGTTGTATCTCAACATAGCGTCGGTGCCAAATGTGTTCAAATTCATATATTTGCACATCCCCACCAACTGAGGCCGGGAAAGGTTGTCCAAGGTAAGGTCGTCTTTGAAAATCTTGCATACCGTGATAACTTCCTCTGCGCTTGGATCCTCGCCTGTTGCCCGGACCTTTCTAAAAAATTCCGCAAACTCTTCCTTCTTTGCATTTGTAGGACTAACCGGAAGTCCAGTTTCTTTCAGAGTATCGCGGAGGAACGAAGAGACCTCCTTTCTGGTAACTCGTAAACTTGCCGCCTTGGCATCCTTGGATTTCTGACCTTCATATGTGCTCGGGAGGAAATTAGGGAAGAATTTGATGACGACAGGAATGAGTAATTCTGCGAACGGGATGATCACAAATACTGAAAATGGTACAAGCCGGCCCAGGTCTTTGACGGTACGTTGAAGCTATGTAAATGGTATAAGCCCGAAGCTCATCGCGATCACTTATCGGGGGTTCAAAACAAACCTGTCGGTTTTCTCTGCGGCTAAGCTCGTAGCCGGCAGCCATCTTCACAGCCAATCTCGTACTGATCTTAACTTCAGTGGCCAGAAGTTTGGTACCATCCCAGTAATGTTGAATTTCCTTCTTAATCTTTTGACCAAGTGTGAGCTTCTTGGTCTCTTTTGGCTCTTCAACCTGTTTTGCCGCCGCCTCCGCCTCTAGGGTTTTTTCCTTAGTTTGAACGACTCCCTTTGCGCTTTCAGTGGCCTTCGGGCTACTGGTTTGCTTCACAGCCCCTGTAGCCTCAGAATCTGGAACACTCGTGCTGGAGGTAGTGGGCGATGAACCAGTGGACTCTTTCGGAAGAGGCTTTTGAGCCTGCTGTGCGTTGAACCCCGGCGGCGGGAAGTTGGGCGGACCGCCGGGGCCATGGGACGTAGAGGGGCCTGTGGCATACGATCTTTGCTGTGGGATCAAGATGGCCAACGCGGGGAGCCGGGACGGTGCGCGGCCGTTGGCAAATCTGGTGTTGAATGCGGAATAAGCGAAACGACTGCTTGACAGGCGGGGAAGAGCTGGACAGCGGTCAGCAAAGGGGTAATCACGCCGGAATAGGAATATCATACAGTGCAAGGCAGCTCTCTGCGTTGGCACCGCATTGCGGGCAACAGCTGTTAATCTCATAGTAATGATGGGCCAAGGAGCGTTGGTTGAGCAGGGTTGGGGGGCGGGCGGGTTTGGAGCGCCGAGAAGAGAACGACCGCAAGAGCGTCCACAAAGGCGAGTAAGGCTGCGTCTGAGCAAGGTCCACAGAGAAGCAGAGATACAGACAGCTGGGAAAACAGACAGGATCAACGAAGAGTGCAGTCCTCGAGCGTTGGCGATCGACTTGGGAAGAATTGTTCAGCCTGTGAAATCCAACGCCGGATCAACCTTTCTCCATCCCTTGCCACATTGCGCGTGTTTGAGATTTGCGAGCGAAGCGGTTGATTGCACATCACTGGCGGAGATGACGGGGTGCGATCCGGAGGAGGCACTCGAGCAGGTCTTTGCTACTGGCCTTTCCTGTGCTATTCGATGGGAAATTGTTGGCTAACACTCAATTTACAGCCTGTTCGCCAGGCATACAGAGTCCTGCGCTCCAAGGCGAACACGGCCCTGATACTCCACCTCAAGCAGAACCGGGAAGAAGGGGTTCCACAGCGGAGCAATAGACGCAATCAAGGCCATCAACTACACGAGTACATCGGAATGATGTTTGCCACTGCAGCGACAGACGCGCCTTCACACGCTCGTGATTTACGATACGTGATAGCACGACAGCGATTTCACACCAAGGTCTAGAACTTGGTCCTCCTTGGTCTTGTGTTTCCTAGTCTTATCAGAACAGACAAAGCCCTCCATTGTTCATGTGCCCAGTCTCTGCAGGCTGTTACACAAAACACCATCAACCCGGTCATCAGCGGATAAGTTGAGGGGCAAGGATTGAAACGGTTTCTAGTCGGCATGATGATTCCTGCTCTTGTCGATCATAAATCTCCCAATTGTCAGACAGGTGACCAACAAGAGTCACGGTTTGAGTGCCATCTCTAACCATAAGGCATCAACAGGTAGTGTTATACCATACGGAGTAGATTGTTTACGTGTGTCCGGAGGAGCGATCGTGGGTTCTCGACGGTAAGTCGGGCTGATTTGATGAAGCGCCGGGACAGCCCACCGCACGTAGATCCTGGAGAACGTACGGAGTATATGAGGAGTCGAATCTGGTTACAGGAAGCTATCCAGCGTAAGCACACTGGGTAAACATATAAAAACTTCAGCATGCAATTTTGTAACATACCTTCAAAAAGATCCGGCTCTGCAGCTGATACACTTGGCCCTGGGTCTCGAGTCTTGAGACCACACTGCACCCCTGCTCGACTGGGATCGTGAATCATGAAGACGGAGAGCCTGACGTGAGAGAAGCCGCAATGGGGACCAGGAGTGAGCTAAGTAGCTAGTTAGTTAACCCCGCTTTTCGACAGCTGGGCCACGACTCTCCATCACTCTTCCTCCAACGCAAGAGACATATAAACCGCCTGCCGTCCTCTCTTTCTCCCCAGCTCTCGATCGCAGTCTCAGACGCCATGAGAGCACCACTGTTGGTCAATTGAAAGAGCATCAAGTTGTCTTACAATTCGTGGATCAGCAAACACCAAACCAAGCACTAACCACCTACCTACTGGCAACCATGGGCGGGGAGGCGCCGCGAGGAGCTCCAAGCAACTATCCGCCCTTCGCTGAAAAGCCAGTGGGTCAAAAGATCAGTGGCATCTACAAAGATCGCCTTCGCCAGTTTACAGCAACAGGGCAATACCAGGGGCATAATCTGGTTGCGTACGTCATCTGAAATCTCGTATCACTGCTGCGTCTGCGCTATCAGTCAAGGTTGCTTTGTGATTGACTACTTGAGAGATCTTAAGCTAACCAAGGCCTCGCGATTGCTTGTGCTTTGTGGCGTCTAGCAAGTATTTCGAGGCTACAAATGATGACGAGCAACATGTCAAACTCTCCGTGTATTCGGTCCCGAATCTGGAGAGGCCGGCTTTCAAGCATGTCGTGTCCAAAGAGTTCAAGCCAACGAAAAGGGGGGAGGTTTTCGGCCCTAGCTGGTCGACTCATTGGTTCAAAATCCGACTCACAATCCCGGAAGACATGAGGAAAAAGGAGCGCTTGGAGTTCCATTGGGATGCCAACAACGAGGGTATGGTCTGGTCTGAAGACGGCAATCCTCTGCAGGGCTTAACTGGTGGAGGCGAAAGAGTCGAGTGGATAATACCTGATGGCTTTCGAGACGGAAAGGAGCACGTATTTTACATTGAAATGGCATGCAATGGCATGTTTGGAAACGCGAATGGCGATATCATTCAGCCACCCAATCCGAACAGATACTTCCGCCTTAATACAGCAAGGATTACTGCTATCAATCTTGAGGCTCGTGCGTTGTATTATGACTTCTGGATGATCGGAGGTGAGTTATAACTACTCGCTAATTATTTTCGTAGGTGTTGATGTACTGATCAATTACGCCTAGACGCCGCAAGAGAATTCCCAGGCGATTCATGGCAGTCGCATGAAGCGTTGCGAATCGGCAATGCTATGATGGACGCTTTTATCGACGGCAATGGAAGTCAAGAAGCTATCAAAGCTGCTCGTAAGATTGCTGAAGAATACATAGGCACTCGAGTAAACTCTCCAGATGTCTATAAAACCGAGGGCAAATCCCTTGTATTTGGTATTGGCCACTGCCATATCGACTCTTGCTGGCTTTGGCCGTTCGCGGAGACAAAACGCAAAGTAGCCAGATCTTGGTCAACCCAGTGCGACCTAATGGAACGCTACCCCGAATTCCGGTTTTGCTGCTCCCAGGCGCAGCAGTTCAAATGGCTGGAAGAGGGCTATCCCTACGCTTTTGACCGGGTAAAGGGCTGGGTCAAAAAAGGCCACTTCCAACCAATTGGCGGTTCCTGGGTGGAACACGATACCAATTTACCTAGCGGTGAATCATTAGTTCGCCAATTCTTGTACGGCCAACGGTACTTCGAAAGTCGCTTCGGTCAGAGATGTTCGACCTTTTGGCTTCCAGACACGTTTGGCTATTCTTCGCAGCTGCCTCAACTGTGTAGACTTGCTGGGATGAGCCGATTTTTCACGCAGAAGCTGAGCTGGAACAACATCAACAACTTCCCCCACACAACGTTCAACTGGGTTTCCCCCGATGGTAGTCAAGTCCTGTGCCACATGACGCCTGCGGAAACATATACCGCCAGCGCCCATTTTGGAGATGTCAAACGCAGCATCTCACAACACAAGTCAATGGACCAAGACAACACGTCTCTTCTTGTCTTCGGAAAAGGCGATGGCGGTGGCGGTCCTACCTTCGAGCATATCGAAAAGCTTCGACGTCTTCGTGGCCTGAGCGACCAAGTCGGACTTTTGCCAAGAGTCACAATGGGTGGCTCGGTTGACGACTTTTACAGTCAGCTTGAAGCGAAAGCGGCTTCCGGAACTGAATTCGTAACTTGGTATGGTGAATTGTACTTTGAATTACACCGTGCACATACACAACCCAGGCGAATAATAAGCGTAACAATCGGCAAGCGGAGTTTGTGCTCCGCGACCTTGAGCTGCTGGCAACTCTTGCTACTTTGAAAGATTCAGACTACAAATACCCCAAGAAAGCGCTAGATGATATGTGGGAATCCGTACTGCTATGCGAGTTCCACAACTGTCTGCTCGGGAGTTCTATCGAGATGTGTTACGATGATTCGGACAAAATCTACGCTGAAGTTTTCGCGACTGCCAAAAATCCTCAAAGCCGAAGCTTCGAAGACTCTCGGTTTCTCGCAAGAAAAGAATTCCGAGCAGAAGCTTATAGCAGTCAATTCATTACCTTGGAGTCGATCGGAAATTGTAAAAATCAACGGCGAAACACCAGCTTCAACAACGCAACAATATGCGTTAGTCAGAGGAGGCACAGGGGTTGTATCTGCAGAACCCCTAAGCACTTCGCAGAAGACATCGCTAAGTGTGACAGAAATTGAAGAGGGGGTGTTTCAACTGAAAAGCGATGCATTAAGCCTGCGAGTCTCCAACGGAGTTATAACCTCACTTGTGGATGTGAAAGCTGACAGAGAAATCATACCCAGAGGAAAGAAAGCGAATCAGTTTGTCATATTTGACGACAAACCTCTTTACTGGCAGGCTTGGGATGTGGAGGTTTATCATCTAGATTCCCGCAAGGAGCTGCAATCAGGCACCACTAAGATTGCAGAAAAAGGGCCTCACAGAGTCAGCGTGGTGACTGAAACGAAGATTAGTGATGCTAGCTGGATTAAAACCACTATCAGTCTGACATCTGAGTCTGGAGACGTCCCAGCATATGTTGAAATGAACTGTGAAGTGGAATGGCGGGAGAATATGAAATTCCTCAAAGTTGAATTCCCTGTGGACATTACTAACACAGAAGCATCATACGAAACACAGTATGCTGTCACTAGAAGACCAACCCATTACAATACAAGGTATGGTAGCCCCCTTGCACTCTAAGGTGGATTGTCTCTCTGACATGGTTTTAGCTGGGACATGGCGAAATTTGAAGTCTGCTGCCACAAGTGGGCTGATTTGTCCGAGAGCGATTATGGAGTCTCTATTCTGAACGATTCCAAGTATGGCTTTGCCACGTGTGGAAACTTGATGCGCTTATCCCTCCTTCGTGCCCCCAAAGCCCCCGATGCTAATGCGGATATTGGTCGCCATCACATTCGCTATGCAATTATGCCTCATACGGGACCTCTCGATTACCGCACTGTCCGCGCTGGCTATAATTTCAACAACCCCTTAGTCTTACAAGCACAATCGGGAATCGAGGCCGACGACCTCTTCAAAGCTATCAAGCTGACTGGTGCACCCAATCTTATTCTTGATACGATCAAGCGTGGTGAGGACGACGAGGACGTTTCCCGCGGAGAGCTTGAGCAACGATCAAGCAGAAGCATCATTTTACGAATCTATGATTCAATGGGCGGCAAGAGTCGTGGCACTATTGAAGTGAGACTACCCATTCGGAAGGTGTATAAATGCAATCTTCTGGAGGATGATCTGGAAAGCTTGAAAGTCGAAGAAGGGAAAAACGTGTCAAAGATTGACATTGAGCTGAGGCCGTTTGAAGTAGCAACCTACCGATTGCAGCTTTGAATGCATCACAGGAGATTGCTTCCGCGTTCGCGTACATTTTACCCTATGTATTTTTAAGGGGCTTGACCTACTCTGTGTTTTCATTTCGAAGGAGGCAAGCAGCTCTTTGGGTTCAATTAACTATGTGTCTTATCCGAGCAACAGTTAATACACGCAGACGCATAGAGAGCTAGTTGTCTACAATGGATATATATGATATCAAAACGAATTAGGGGTCATCTGAAAATCCATGTGAATACTGAAGCCAGCAGGTAACCAAATACCTCCACGCTACTTCGGGAGGTGGCTCTCTTACGCCAGAATCGAGATGAAGCTGAGAGGCCTTTGATCAACAGCGCCAAACAAACTTCCTGGGCAGAGCCTCTGGGGTTTTGTAAAGCTTCAACTTGGCTAGTAGTTTGACTAGAACAGCACAGCTCACATACCTTTACTAGGCTAATTCCTGTTCTCAAGCCATGAGTTTCTAGATTAGTTCATTCCAATTTGAGCCCACAGGTTACGTGTTCTTAATAGGTTGCATTAAAAAGGGCGTAGCAAATTCAAACTCGACGAAGCTAGTTTACTTCTCCCAGGTTGCCATCCTATCGTAATATCACCTGGGGCTTTAACGGCTTTCCTGCCGCCTCGGCCGCCATCCGTTCAAGTGTCTCATCATCTGGATCTCTGATAGTAGGTATCTCACAGGGAACCATGGGGTCCAAGCCACCGAGACTGGTATTGATCATGGGCCCTGCTAGACCCCAAAGAGGGTAATGTACCATCGGCGTGAACTTTGCAGAATCGGCGTCCTTGACATGGTATGCATATTCAAAGTCAATGATATAGCTACCGAACAGGTGAGCAACGCATGAGTGATTGAGGCTTCGGGCCACAGACCCGAGAAGGGCGAGGGGAACACAAACGTACCATTTTTTGTTTTTAGGATCCCACATCACGTTACGGCGATCGGGGTCTTCATGTCGAAATCCAAGAGCGAAAAATTCACTTAAGAAGGGCAAGGTTGCGTTAGCCAAAAATGGTCTGATTCCACGCCTGGTTTGGAAGATGAATACCGCAATGCTTTCCCAAACGCAATCCGAACCTGGTCCCTTTCCGCCATAGGCAGATCCCCAAAATTGGCAAGATTGCGCCCTGGGAGTCGTTCCATCACTATGATAGCAAAAAAGCCTCCGGGGACAGGGAGATCCTCTGTTTGAACCGAGAAGAAGCTGTCCAGGAGCTTGGGAGTGCAAGTGCAGCCCATTTGCGTCAGCTTCTCCAGGATATAAAACTCCATAGCCAAGCGGTAGCTTGAACGGGCGGGTACTGTGGAGGACGGGTCGTCCTCGTCGTCCGGGATTCTTGACATTTTGGATCAGCACAGAGCCAAAGTAGACTAAGACAAGGGGGGAGTTATGTATAAGTTACTCACTGCATGTGGATCTTTGCAATGCCTTGGAGGCCGGGATTGGGGCCTTCGACCTGTGTCACAACACATGTAGCAGCAACCTCACTGATGTATTGTTCAAACATCTCGTCATATCGAGATGTTTCGCGTTCGGCGAAGATAGGACCAAACTTCCACCGGGAGTTCGAATCTTCAAAATGCACACTGTTAATTCCCGGCACCCAGGTGGACTCCCGATGCTCATAGAGCTCGAGGAGGTCACCTTCAAGCTCGCTGACATCCATTTGCCGTGAGAGAAACAAACAGAATCACAAGATGCAGGTCTTTGGCCAGTTCACTATGCTAATTGAGGCTCTTTAAAGATCTTTGAGACGTGTTGTGAAGGTATTGTTGTTGAATGCAGTCCCCGTCCAAGAATGTCTGAGATAGTTAACTAAGCAGCCTGAGATAACTAGCTAAGCGCCCTGGGCCACCCGTTTCTGGCCGATTCAATGACCATCAACACAAGGCTAGAATTGACAGATGATCAATAATCAGGTGTCTATGCACACAGATCACATCTGAGCCACCCTGTTGGAATTCATTCTCAGCCAATGCTCCCCTCTGCCGCCTATGTCGTTGAGACAGGCCCTTTGACTAGCATTGGGGCTCGACCACATTACGGCGTCAGAGTGCCTATTTTTGTCCGTGGAACTACAGTAAGATGCCGGGGAATATGGGCCTGAACGTACCGAGTGCTTTTCCCAACATCGATGGCTCACTCGGCGCTTTCGTTGACTTCTTTCACTGGCTGGCGGCGGGCTGTTTGATTCCAAATACCCCTTTTTTATATCGGAGCGTTTCCAAAGAGGGATGAAGGCTGTGATGCTCCTTGCGTTGGCGCTTTTCCTGCAGGCTGCATTATGGCACGGCATTCAACTCCCTTCACTTCCCTCTGGAAAGACCTTGAGCCTCCTTAAGCGCCCGTTCCTGATAGGTTCAGAGGATCAATGAGTGCCTCGCTGGAACCTCCTTCCAGATGGACGTCGATGGGCCCTATATAAACTGCTATATCTCCCCCTTGGACTTTGAAATCTACTCATCACCAAAGATCAAGTGACTACAATCTATCCTTCTTTTCCAAAACCGTTCGCTGTCGGCCCAAACTGACCTCGCACCAGCTCCGTTCAATCCGAGCCAATGTACGTGCAAGTTAAGGGACTAGATCCCCGAGAAGTGACCCTTCGGCCTCTCCTGGGGTATCGCGATAACTCTACACGACATGTCCAGAGCACCTCCATCCACTCATTGTGGTACGTCGGCGAGGTTAGAATCTGGGAAGACTTCGAACTAGAGGCCATTGCCAACTTTGAAAAGGCCCATTGGAAAAACAAAATCGTCGATTTTGCACTTCCCGATGGCAACGATATATCCGAGCACCACCTCCTTGCGGGAGATCATTTTTTATGCGGTGAAGAGATTTCGATTAGTGCAAAATACGTCGCTCATGCGTTGAATCCAATGTCAGCTGTTGGAAAAGAGCAAGGGCTTAATGGCATCTTCGGAGACTGGAAAGCAACAAACAGGCAGGCAACTACTTTTCCGTCCACCCAAAATAAAATATCAGCTGAAGAAGTCGACGCCGCGAAGGGGAAGGGAAAAGGGAAAGCAAAAGCAAAACCCGAGGAGCCGACCGACGATAACGACACTGATGGTCGGAAAAGAACTCGTCTCATCCCTGACTATGCCTATATGGAGGAGAAGACGGGTATTCCTTGGTTCATCGGAGAGATCAAGACCCCTTGGAAGCACGCATTCGCTCCCCCGTTCAACAATCTTAAGCTTGCGCTGCAAACTGGCGCGACTGAAGATGAAATGAGTATGAGGCACATCCTTGGTAAGCAGCCCTCTCGTATATATTTCATAAGTTATAACATTTCTGTTTCTGACCACCTATACAGGCCAAGTCGGAAACTACATGATTGAGCTCGAGTTGAAATGGGGGTTTCTGACCAACTACACGCATACTTTGTTCTTGAAACGAGATGTACAAAACAACCAGGAAGTGATGTACTGCTCTCCGCCCATCCCTTTCGATAGAACTCCATCCCCGTCCGGATGCACTGTTCGCCAGGGTCTATTCCTCCTGCAGTCTAAGGTAGAGGCGGGCGGTGAAAAGCCATGGTTTGCCAAAAAGTTGACGGAGACCAGTATCATTAAAAAGGAAGTCAAAGAAAGTTTGCAAAGTGTTAAAAGCAGAGCCGTAGACAGCCTTCATAAGCTCCCGCTGCGCTCCGTTGATTTTGTTGAACCCGAGAGCTTTCGATCAACTCGAAGTAAGACCAAAGCCGCTGCCGCCACCGTGGACAAGGGGAAGGCGAAAAAGCGCTAAGTCTAGACGAGATGGACGGAGGAGGCTTAAGGACACTCAAGGGAATTCATGTACTTAGTTAGTAGTTCAAGGACACTCTGATGTTCACCCTCTAATTCAAGGCCTTGTATAAAATCAAGTCGTAAAAAATGAATCACAAACGTTCCCTCAAAGCATCATCATCAAGGCGAAAAGCCCAAATAAATTAATCATATACCAACCACCCATCACCGCGCGTAGCTATACACCTTCCTCAGACTCGCCTTCTCTCGACTCAACCCTACAAATCCCGTCCCGCCTTCTCCAGCATTCATATCCCCAATCATTCCCGGAACCTCACTTAGAGCCATCGTGCCCGGGTCATCCAGCTCCGTCGACCGCAACTTGTGCACAGTCTCTTTCCATTCCGCACCAAACCGGAACATCGTGAAGCCATCCAGCGTCTCGCCCCAGCGGCGCTCCAGAAAGAACCCTGGCAGTAGCAGCTGCGGTACGATGGTGACGACGGCCCACAGCAGGAGCAGCACGAGGACGACGTGGTACGGCACGCGGCCCTGGACGATGTCGTTGGCGGGCTCGAGGCCGAAGAGGCCCAGGTCGGAGGTTGCGTTGGGGGTGGAGGTCCAGTTCCCTGGGCCGGAGGCCATGGCGGCGATGGAGACCTCGCCGAAGAGCTTGTACATGGCTAGGTTCATGCGCTCGGGAGAGATGGTTGGGTACTGCATGTACCCACCGATGTATTCGAGGCCAGAGTCCGGTGGCGCTGCTTGGATGGGAGTGAATTGGGGGACTCCGTTGGTGGCTAGGTTGGCGCCAACCCAGCCATTGCAGATGATGGAGACGGTGTCGCACTTGGGAGGGCCCTGGTAGCCGACGTTGACTGTTGTGAATGCGGCAAAGACAAGCACCGGCATTGCCACCACTCCCGAGTACGAGAAGATGGACGTTAGCTTGTAACGGGCGGCAACTAGTTCCGCTGCTTCTTGCTTGAAGTCTTTAAAGGTATTTGTTATCGGCGAGATCGTGGCTTGGCCGGTTGTGGAGGTCGCGTAGCAGCGCACGCCGTATCCCAGGTAGGTCCTGTTATCCATCTTTGAGAAAGAAGATTGAACTAACGGGTGAGATGATAGATTTTTGAATGTCTGGTCAGGAATATAGCCAGTTTCCGTGTCGTACGCCTGCCACAGAACCATTTCTACCGCTCCTGAAACAGGCATGTTCGTTTCGTTAGTATAAGCTGGAATCCCATAAGATATGTCCAGGTCGCTTGCCATGACATATTGGTACTTGACGCCCAGACCTTCCCCATGCGCAAAATGCACCGGCTGTGATCCGCTTGAAATGTACGGTAAATAGGTTCCATTGGCATAGTCCTGTGACGTTATAGTCCAAGGAGTACTGGTCCAGTTATTGATAGCAGTAACCTTGAGCAGCTCAAGGTCCCGATAGGGGTGGACAGGCATACAGGAAATGTTCGTCAGCATTCCCCATGCCCTACCATGCGCTCGTTCACCGACCTCGGGACCGGAGAAAAACGTAATCGTGTGGTTTAGAGGACTGGAACTATTCAATAGACGACTCTGATAGTCCGACCGGATGACATCCTCGTAAAACGTACTGCTGACATTCTGGGTCCCGTCAGGAGCATAGAGAATGGTCGGTTGTTCGGGAGTCGTCGAACGACCTTGTCGCCAGCTGTAACTCGCCAATTCAGCGATGGCATTCGAAGGCTGTGAGTCAAAAGTAGACTGGTTGGTGCCTACGATCGTGATGGGACGACTGCCGAGCACAAAGGCCTCAGAGGGGTCCATGGATAGACCAGAAAGTGGCACCGCTGCGTAGAATAAAATGCTGCTAAATGCCAGATAGAACCAGAGCAGCCCAGGTCCTTCCCACTGAGCGGGTCTCTTTCGTATTTTCTTTCCGACGTATCCAAAGGTGAGGAGCAACACCTGCCACCAAGTGCTCAAGGAGCCCCAGCCACGGTCAATGTGCCACATGAGTTTGTGGCCATCTGCTGGCGCATATTCTGGCTTCATCAGGGCAGTCGCTTCAAATCCAGCAACGCCAGCCTTTGCCCAATCGAGGACGAAGATGCCGAGAATAAGCCATGCGAAGAACACCCCCTTCGCATCCACAGGTCGAGAGGGAATGATCTCGTTCTCAGCGGGCTCCCACAGATAGTACCTCAGAATAAGAAAGTAGAATAGAGTAACGATGACGGGGCCGAGGACGTTGAGAACCGCACGGAAAATATATCGTTTGAATTTATAGTTGGCTAGGCTCGATTCCTCCAAGGGAGACTGTGCTTCCTTATCGGACGGGGCAAGGAGGAGGCTTGACTGATCATTGCCCTCTTTACGAGGGAGTTCAGTATCGTGCACAGCGACTGACTTGTCGCCCGTGCCCGGCTCCATCTCGAAAGATAAAGAGGCTGGGGCCGAATCGACAGTGAAAAACGCTCTGTGAGTCGCAATCTGTCGGGCCTCCAGCCCTATTTAAGGACTGGGACGCGGCAGATACGAGCCACATGCTTCATTTACATTGGAAGCCCCCAAGGGTCTTGTAAGGCTGCGGCCTGGAGACCTGCAGCTGGGTTTTGTTTTGAGGCCCGCGACCAAGAGACTTGGGTTGCGGAAAAGGAGGTGAGCCGTCTTGGCAGACCCACTATATACCAGAGTTGGTTAACGGCTCGCTCTCTCAGCCAATCACGCTTCAACAACAGGAAGAGGCCTTAACCTTAAGAACATGACTCGTTCTTGGCTCTGAGTGGCTGGTTCTCAGCGCCCGGAAGACTCAGCCCTGACTCGCACTCGCGAAAAAGGGCCGGCAACATGAGAGACAACGATCGTGCAGACTGACAAGAGCCTTCTGGATCAGAACTGAGAATACGGCTCCAGCTTCAAGAGGAATCATCGTGTTTCGGTTAGAAATATGGGTAACAGCAAGGTTGGAATGAGCTGCAGGTGACAAATGTCAGGGCTCCGCACTAAACTGACCAGGGCATAACTAATTCCGGGAACGCGGAAAAGGTCTGGTTCGGGGCTGGAGGAGTTGCGTTGAGCAAGGGAGGTTGGTGACTAACACAAAAGTATTGCCAGTCTCGCAATCGAGGGTCTCTTCATTCTTTCCAGCCGTGTCCAAGACACGAGGAAATACATCCGGGATTTCGGCGCACAGGCACCCGCGCTCTTGTTTTCGTCTGAGGAATTGAAGGGTTGGTTGGATGCGGGGTTGTCCGTGCTGATTCGCATTCCGGATGCCGACAACGCATCGATTCTATACCAAAACGCCAATCATGCTCTCGTAGTAATTTGTCTGTAGCCAACTTGTAGTCGAAAGTCAGTTCTCACCACCTTAAAAAGCTGATCATACATATATGGAAGTAAAAATACCATCAATAACACCGTCGCTTATGCTTGCAACCCACAATCAGCATGTTATCCTCCAAACTAACATATCAAGCCCAGCAAGTCCCAGTTCCATTTATGTTGCCAAGAGAAAAACAAGTCCGGGAAAAAGGTGAGCTTCTTTCCCTCAATCCCCCCTCCCATATGTGATCTTCAACCGTTTAACGGGCGGTTTTACTTCGCCTTCCTCATCATCTTCTCTCTCTCGAGCTGCACCGTTGGATTTCTTCTTGTTCTTGCTCGCCGCGCTTCCTTTCACACTATTTGGTGCAGAAACATCTTTGCCGTCCTTATCAGCTTTGCCACCGGGGCCTGAGTACGTTGGTGTCGGAGCGTGGGAGGGCGTCGTATGCGTGCTTGATGGAGCTGGAGAATCCTATTCAAGTATCAGCCGGGGTCAGCTCCTCGGTTCTGTACTTCTGATGGAGAAGGATTCGCCTACTCTCATAAAGCTAGCGGAGCTCCGCGAAAACACCCTGTCTGAATCCGACACCTGTGCTTTTCTCCTTGTGGTAGGTCCACCACCAGTTCCACCTCCGATGCCGCCGAACGAGGAGCCAAGTCCGCTGGTTGCGCTCAGACCGGACGTTCCCATGGAGCCCTTGATGTAATTGTCAAACCCTTTGATTATATTCCCCGCGCCGGTTTCTTCGAGATACGACTGTTCGAAGCGGTAGATCGATTCTTCCAGGCTGCTCTACCAGTGCTGCACGTGAGTGGTTTGCGCTACATTGCGAGGCCGGGAAGTCCTTACGAGATTCCTATCCAACAATCGCTTCTTTTGTAAAGTTTCACGTAACTCCTTGCGTAGCTTTTCATAATATGGCACTCCTCGGGTAGGAGCTTGGTCTGCTGGGTTGGGCCCAGTCGCAGGTGCGGTGCCGGCCGCGACGGCGGCGGTGGAGGGGGGGATATTTTCCGCCATGAATCCTTGCTCTTGGAAAGTGCAGTAGAAAGGGGGGAATGAAGTTTGTGTCTTGAATGAAGAGCAAGTTGCGGGAGTCAGGACTAGTTACCATTGGAGTTCACGGCTAAGGTGACACTGCTTGAGAGCTTTTGAGGCAGTTGACAGGGCTGTTTGCTTGGTTTGCATGCCGGTTTCACGGCATCATCGCTTCCATGCGCTGCCGGCCCGTTGCATCTCATCAATTCTCCGCCGGCGCGCCTGTATATATATATACCTCCCGGTTGGGGTCGCGATCTACTCGGTTGCAGGATTCTATTGTTTTTTCACCTCCGGTCTTTTAACGGCATCTTTGGCTTTCCTTCTGAGTGAGGTTGGGCTTGACGAGGCTGTATATATTCTGAAACAGTTCATCGCTACTCTCAGATCGAATACTTCAGGCAGCTGTCTCTTGTGGAACGACCAGCATGGATCACGGACACATGGGCCACGGGGATATGGACATGGGAAAGGACCAGTGCAGCATGAACGTGAGCATAGCCCCTCATTTACTCTTATCACCGTTACGGGGTTAGCTAATATATACATCCATAGATGCTGTTTACATGGTCAACAAAGAACCTCTGTCTGGTATTCCGTCAGTGGCGCATCACGGGTCCCGTCTCCCTACTCTTTTCCCTTGTCGCTGTTATCCTCCTGACCGCCGGATATGAAGCCGTAAGGGAGCTAACACGGAGGTACGAGGGTGCTTGTGCCAGAGGCGCAAAAGCAGGCATCCCTGGCCCGGCTACCGGTATGCAAAATGTTTTTTTCTTCAGTGCCTCATTTCTACCTCAATACAGCCCAGTCCCCTGATGTCTTGACGAAATGTTTTGATCGTTCATTGCATCGAACTATGGACAACTCTCCTCATTCACTTCCAATCGAACAAAGAAGACTATGACCCGATAGACAACCATCATCACGACGACGAATCAAGCTCACTCCTCTTTCCAGCAAGGAATGTTAACAGTCAACATGTCGACCGGAGGAGTAAGATTGCCCTTGGCGCGCTGTATGGAGTGCAAGTGTTTTACAGCTTCTTCATCATGTATGTTGTCCCTGGTTGTGGCTCTAAATGCGAAAACCGTTTAATACTGATTGATGTATAGGCTGCTATTTATGACTTACAACGGCTGGGTTATGATTTCTGTTGGCATCGGCGCTTTCGTGGGGTATTTGCTCTTTAGCTCAGGGCCAGCTTCAAAATCCGCTTCGTGTCACTAAGATTAGCTCACATGCTCATGTATATATCGAGTGGAGAGGGTTGGCTTCCAATTTTGTAAGCAGATTATGGAACACGCATGATTCGATGAGTGGGTTGATTTATTTTGATATCTACTTTTTCACAGCACTGAATATCACGGAATTTCAACATCGCTTCCCTCGTCACCAAAACCAAAGCTAAACCCTCCGGTAGCTTCATCCTCTGCATCTTCTCCATTTCCGTGGACGATTTCATCCCATTTTCTCTTCTTTTTACCCTCCATTTCTGTAAGAGCAACTTCTAGTAATTCAGGGTACGCCTCCCTCATCCGTTCGACAAACATTCCATACGGATCTTCCACATCCTTCCTGAACCCAGAAACCTGATCATTCTTGTATTTTAGAAACTCCAGCGCCGCGCCCAGATGCTTTTTCGGAACGAAATTTTGGGTGATGGCAATGCAGGGGCTCAAATTGACGACCAAATGCCACCATCCAGACGGTACATGCAGGACCTCCCCTTCACTGCAAATCGCCTCTACACACCCTTGGATCTTGCGCGCGGCGGCATGGAAGTTCAGCAGCCATTCGGCTATGCTGAGTGGCGAGGTAACTTCGCTCTGATCCGCGGAGACGTACACTCCCGGAGGCGGAGGCAGAGAAGACGAGCTGGGAAACATGATCCAGTATTTCGATCCGCTAATCACGGCATTCCACGCACTGGTCGCGTTGGGATCCTTGTGGAACGTGCTTCCGCTCCTCTCGGGGCCGATGATCAACCACTCCTTGTCAGGACGTTGGGCGCCTAGGACCCCGAACAAATCTTCGCCAAAGCACGATGGTGGCTGAAATGAAGCATTTTGGCCGTGGGTAGACAGTCCCATTTTCTCTACGAAACTTCGGTCGAAGAGGTATAGTGGGCTTTCGTCGGAGTTGTTGTTCATGTAGTCCACATAAGTGCGTAACGGCCAGTCTACGGCTTCGGCACGGAATAGGGCGTTGCTGTATTGCTTGACCAGCGTTTCGATTGACCAAGTCTTATACACTGGCCAGTTTCTGACGGGCTCTGTCAGGATGAATGGACGATATGACCATGATTCTTCGAATTCGGTAGGTGTAAGGTCGCTGAGCCGGGTGATTTGATTTCTTGAGGGGATGTTCTCAGTGTATGGGGTGAGAGAGATATGGGCGCAATAGAATGGCCGATGGAGAACATCTGAGAAGAGATGGGAGCAATCAGGTGAAGCAACCTTGGACTCTGGTAGGTTGAGATACGTTGAATACCATGTGCCCCGCCAGGTGAAGTCTGGCGGCGATGTCCTATAATCACACTCAGCTCAATTCTCTTAAGAAGACGAATAAAAGTTTTCAAACGGCCTTCTCCGGATAGCTATCTCAAGCCAAATAGCATAATTTTGCCAAAGCCATAGAATATACTGTGCCCTTATGTATGTACCAAGGAATCGGGAAAATGCCTTGATCAAATATAGAACACATAAACGATTCAGCTCCTGGTTTGACCTACTCTATAAAGATACCTTTCCACAGCTCTTCACTCCGAGTAAATGCATACAATGCCTTGCATGTAGCCCCCAATCTTCTCAATGCCTTCGCGTCTAAGGATTCAAGCAGGAGCGAAATGAGCTCATCTGGCAAGATACCAAAATATCCAATTGAAGAGCGTAGGGTCCAGGAGGCGGTTAAGCCGTTGCCGGATGGTTTGACGCCCAGGGGATGAGTGGGGATGGCTTCGGGAAGGTCAAGGGCAGAGTCTGCTCCTGAGGCCAGAGAATGCATGCCATTCATGGCTTTAAGGAAGTGAAGAGCCGGTAGGATTGTTTTGGGGTTGGGAGAGCACCGGACGATGTGTAGGGAGCCGTGCAATAAAGTTTGTGGGAATTTTTTTTGATGTGGTTTTGAAGTATCACAGTCAACCAGCATGGCAAATGGTCATACTGAGTAGCTAGGTATGCAAGTATGGCAGCAAATCTACTGAGCAATTGCTAATGGGTTCAATGGGTGGACTATTGCTATATGCTAGATTTACTAGAGTCTACTGTCTTATCTTTCAGAGTATCAAGGAGACAAATTCGTTCCAGAGCAAGAAGCTACATTGGATACTACTTGCTGTCTATCTCTAGAAAATCTGGCAGAGGATTGTATACAGTCCGGATGGCTGAAGTTGTTCTCTCAACACTTAAGGAGCGAACAAGCAAGACTGAAAAATATGAAATTTGTACTGCCACTGCCGCTAAGCAATCACGATAGCCACCAAGTCCGAGCACCGAAATTCCTGGATCTTTGCCCATGTAGAATTTTCCGCAAGTCTTCAGTATTTTTAGATCGAACTTGGCTTAGATATAGCAAGTGCCGTTAGCATCTGCCTGGTCTTTCCCCAGCAACCTTCGACAAGAGTAGAAGGGTCAGAACATCAGGGGCTCCATAGTAGCAGGTGTTGATTTGTGTAAATGCTGAGGTCCATCACTGGTGGTTACGCACCACGAACCGACGCTGGTCCAAGTCCGATGCTCGAGGGCTGCTTGCCGAATGCAGAATTTGCTCTTCTCCTCGCCACAAAGGCTAGTAGCTCTTCATCGAAGCGGAGATGCAGCAAGTGTGGCAACGCGGATAGTCCTTCGTAGAGATTCTGCTGTGCAGATATTGAATGGCAGTGACTCAGTGAGCATCCAGTGGCAATATCCAGTGAGAAAGAAAGCAAAGCAGCCAGAAAAGCAGCCAATTGAAGGGACGTTGATGCTGGTAGCATTGGTCTTTGAGCGACGAAAACAGCCCCGACTGTGCGCATAACCCCACGGTTAGGTAAGAGCCAGGCTACAGTATAGCACCGCAGGGCACTCTGGCGGCAAAAAGCTCGAAAACGGCGCTAAGACCAGAAAATTTCGGCGTGCTCGACCCTTCGTCTGTCTGCCCAAAGAAAAAAAAAACGAATTTCTTGAAAATCTTTCCCACAACAACCCAACATCTTTGACCATCAACTTCTCCCTCACAAACAGTCTCTTCACCAACTAGAGTCCAACAGTGCTCCTGATTCCAGCGAGCACAGGCCCTAGTTTGTTACTGCTCCCCTTCAGCGCTTTTTCACCCGCCACGACCAGGTCCTGCAAGGATTCTTCGGTGGCTCTTCACTATCTGAACACTACAACCCCTCATTCGCATCAGATCACAGCCTGCGGCCTGTGGTCACTCTGATTCCAACCTGCAATCATGGCTTCCAACGATAAGGGTCTTGAAGACATCCCAGATAGTAAGTGCCCTATATTCCTCAACCGCTGCTAGACCGTTCAACAGGATGGGTGGTCGTCCTGCAAGCCGAAGTCATACCTTTTCCAGCAGCCGGTCCCGCCTCCACCCAAAGCCTACGCTGGACGTGTCGCTGACTGAATGGATCATTTTAGCCCAAATCGAGTCCAACTACGATGAAATCACCGATTCGTTCGACGCTATGAACCTTCGCTCTGAATTGCTGCGAGGTATGCACTCAACACCGCAGCCCCACCTCGAGGATGCAACAACCGAGCTCAAGGCTAATTCTCCATCCAGGTGTCTATGCGTACGGTTTCGAACGCCCGTCTGCTATCCAGCAGCGGGCTATCATGCCAGTCATCAAGGGTATGTTGCGCCGAACCTGCCAGTCGCGATTCGCACAAACTAACTCGAGACGCAGGCTCTGATGTCATTGCTCAGGCTCAGTCTGGAACTGGAAAGACTGCCACTTTCTCCATCTCTGCTTTGCAGAAGGTTGACACAAACCTCAAGGCCTGCCAGGCTCTCATCCTGGCTCCCACCCGTGAGCTTGCCCAGCAGATCCAGAAGGTCGTCGTCGCCATTGGTGACTTCATGAGCATTGAGTGCCATGCTTGCATTGGTGGTACCAGTGTCCGTGACGATATGAAGGCTCTTTCAGACGGCCCTCAAGTCGTCGTCGGTACTCCTGGCCGTGTCCACGACATGATTCAGCGCCGTGTCCTCAAGACTGACCACATGAAGATGTTCGTCCTCGACGAGGCTGACGAGATGCTTTCTGTAAGTTCGCACTTGTTTTCAGTTGCCGTACATTTTCGGCTGACGACGTATGCTAGCGTGGTTTCACCGAACAAATCTACGACATTTTCCAGCTGTTGCCTCAATCCACCCAGGTCGTCTTGCTCTCTGCCACCATGCCCCAGGATGTCTTGGACGTTACCACCAAGTTCATGCGCGACCCAGTTCGCATTTTGGTCAAGAAAGCCGAACTTACCCTTGAAGGTATCAAGCAATTCTACATTGCCGTCGAGAAGGAGGAGTGGAAACTCGACACCCTCTCCGATCTTTATGAGACCGTTACCATTACTCAAGCTGTCATCTTCTGCAACACCAGGAGAAAGGTCGACTGGCTCACTGATAAGCTCATTGCCCGTGATTTCACTGTCTCCGCTATGCACGGCGATATGGAACAAGCTCAACGTGATGTTATTATGAAGGAATTCCGCTCTGGTTCTTCCCGTGTCTTGATTGCTACCGATTTGCTTGCTCGTGGTATCGATGTCCAGCAAGTCTCCCTCGTTATCAACTACGATCTCCCTGCCAACCGTGAAAACTACATCCATCGTATTGGTCGTGGTGGTCGTTTCGGCCGTAAGGGTGTTGCTATTAACTTCGTTACCGCTGATGATGTCCGCATGATGAGAGAAATTGAGCAGTTCTACAGCACCCAAATTGAAGAGATGCCCATGAACGTTGCCGGTATGTGCACCTGCCTCATTATCATTCTGGGACCACAAACTGACGATCCTTGCTGCAGATCTTATTTAGTTTATTTAGTTTCTCACTTGGTCGTGACATACGGTTTAGCGGTAACACCGCCGAGCTGTTCAGGCTCTCTTCAGGCTCCTGACGTAAGAGTCATTTACGACTTAGGGTTTAATAATGGATGATATTGGCAGTTTGTTTCCTGTTTTAAAAGTTGATATGCGGGTTTTTTACGGCATGTATTTCTTTCTGGGTGCTGTAGCGTGGAAGCAAATGAAGTATACGCTGTATATTTCTGTCGCTTCGATGCTCAATATCCTCAGGCTTTTCCCATCTTTGTATGCACTGTCAGAGGGGCGTCGTGTCAATTTTATTCCCTATGATCATGTCTCAAATTTGCATATTCCACTTGTTGATTCCGTAACTCTTTTACCTTGTTACTCGCTTTCCCACTTGGTTAAGCATGCATTTTGCATACATCCTTGATCATCGTGGGAGAGGTGCCAAGGGCTATGGGGTACAAAATTGCCAACAGTTTCCTTACTCTTGTTATCTCCTTTTACGTTTTAATGATAAGTACGGCACGGGAAATGAGACGAGTTCCTCCAGCCCGCTTACATATGGGAATGAGACGAATTTGACGACTTAGAACTGATTCTTTATGGTGGCGGCGAGGGCCTTGTTTTATCCCGGTGTGCTTGCAGTCTGATAGATAGTTCAATGCAAAGCTGTTCCAGTTTATTGCTCTGAATGACGGTTTAGTTGTCAACGACCTCGAAGCGTTGGGGTACAATGAGGAGTGGGGAGGTTCCCCAAATGGTAATGGGCGTACTTGCGGTTCTGTCCCCTCCGCTCCTCTCTCACGCCCCCTTCTACTCAGCACTTCTATCCAGCTAACCAGGTTATACCTCAGCAAGCCACCTGGTGTCTGTTTTGTCGAAAATGGCCACTCCTACCCCTGACTCCACTGCGATATCCCCGATTTCCCTCCTTTGGGCCCACCAGCTCCGTCGCGAACACAAAGCGCTCGTGGGCCAGATAACCGCGCTCGAAACGGCAACAGATAAGGCGAAAACGGCGCTACGTGAGACGAATGAGAAGCTTGCGGCGGCAAATGCGAGTGCAGTGGGATTGGAAAGGGTTGTTGGTGATGTGAGAAGTGAGGTAGCTGCTCTCAAAGGTGAGATTACAGCGGTCAGGGATACGGTAGACGAATTCGTTAAAAAGGAGAAGAAAGTGAATGAGGAGAGGAGACGGTGGGAGAGTGAGATGGAGACTGAGAGGCTGGCGATGCGGGAGAGTAGGAGTTTGGTAGACAAGCTTGTGGAAGAGGTGAGGGTCTTGCGGGAAGAAGTGGAAGAGCTGAGGAGGCAAGCTGGTGAGTCTGATATGGATCTCTCCGATCGTCTGGAGTTTGCAATACTTGCAGGAAGTTCAGGTTTAGCTAAGAGAAGCGGCAGCGAAACCAAAACGGAGCCCCGAGACCCCGTCCCGGTCAAGATACTCAACAGCATCAGTCCCGCCCGCTGCTCAACCATCTCCCCGACAGGCGAAGCGTGCTCGGCGCACTGCTCGAGTTTCGTCAAGTATACAAGGAACGCCGTCTAGTTTCCATTTCCGCCGCGTTGGGCGCCCTCCGTCTCTGGAGCTTATCCCCGAGTCCTTGTCTGTGCGTCACTCGGAGTCATCAGTAGCTGCAGTGGATGTTGACTTGACGCAACTTTCAACCATGAGCCCACCCGCTTCGGAATATGAACCATGTCCCGTTGCCGCGGAACAGGAGTATCTTCCGGAGGCGGATAGAGAACTGGATGATGCCATTCTGGCGCTCAAGCAAAGTGATCTCTCTCTTTCGGAGTATCTTGAATCTGGAGAATTAATCCTGGCGAGGTTTGCACGCAAACGCGACGAGTTTAGAGTCGTTCAGGCGCTCTGGGAGGGACTCAGTGATGCTGGCGAACGGAAGATTATAGAGGAGAAGCTGGATAAGGACGGCTGGAGTTGGAGTGTGGTCCAAGCCGCAGTGAGAGGTTTAATTAAGCGAAAAGAGGAGGAAACGGAGAAGAAAAGGGATCAAGGGCGGGCACGGGCGCTGGATGATATTTCGAAACAGGGCGCGAATGAGACTCGTAAGAAACATAAGAGAAGGAGGATCATCCCTATCGTGTGGCCAACGAAGGAAGAAGAAGATGAGTGGAGGACTCAAATGGAGAAATGGCGGCTACAGGCATAATAAAACGGGAATGGGTACATAAAAGAGCCACGGGTTGTATTAGCCGTTTATGTCATGCGATAGTTCAAGATCTATGGCCTCCCTTTCGGAGATACCTATATATACGGGGTAGCAGATGTATGTACAAGATGTCACCAAATCTCACCTTCTAAAAATCCCCAAATTCAAAACATCCCATTGAATCTTTCACCTCGGCCTCTACTCTCCCATTCTGGAGCTCTTTTCCATCTTGCGTAACCCACGCCCTCATAATTTGTCCGGTCTTTACCTCGCCCACGCCCTTCGGCGTTCCCGTGAGCACCAGGTCACCAGCCTCGATGGTCATCACCTGCGAAATTTCCGCTAGAATCCGAGGAATACGATACAGCATCAAGCCGGAGTTGTCGGACTGGCGCATCTCGTTGTCCACGGAGAGATGTAGATCGACATTGTGGGGGTCTTTGATCAGATGTTTGGGAATAAGGTTGCTGATAGGGCAGAATGTGTCAAAGCCCTTGGCTATGGTCCAGGGAAGGCCGGCCTTTTTGGCGGAATCTTGGACATTGCGAGCGGTCATGTCGATTGCGACGACGTAGCCTGAGAGGTGGGAGGGAGAGTAGAATATTAGCCTGTGTTGATGTGGGAAGGCCCGTCAAAGACATCGGGAATGTGTGATTGGGACATGCGATTCTCCCTGTTGAAGCAGTGGGGTGTGCAACTGCGTACCCTGGATAGCAGCCATTGCCGCCTGTTCATCGTTGGGATCTGAATTCCTGAGCTCACGGCCCATGACAAGGCCAAGCTCGACTTCATAGTGAAGATTTACCCCTTTTGGTCTAAGGACGTGGCAATTTTCCGGCGGAGCGATGGAGCTGGGAGGTTTCAGGAAGAAGAATGGTCTCTTCGGGCGGGTGTTGTTGAGTTCCGTAATGTGATCTCTGCATCGAAAGCGAAGGTTAGCAACTCGATCTCGGTGAAGTGACCCGTGGGCGGAAAGCTTGACGGCCCGCTTGAGACGCACGCATAGTTCCGGCCAATGCAGATGACCTTTCGACACTGTCGCTGTATAGATGCCATTGTGCTTTGAGATATGCCCTGAAGAAACAAATCCACGGGCTTCGATGGTAAGCGTTTCCAATGCACTCGGGGCGTCGCTTCTCGGCAATGTGTCTCGGGTTCCATGTCACGCTAGGATGATCCGCATCGCGGCTACGGCGGCTAACGACGACAACATACGAACGAAATGGATTGAGTGGACAGAGGGAAGCAACCAATGTCTATATCTAGTGCAGTGTAGAAGCGGTCGCTTTACTTGGTTATCTTTGCGGTTGCAGAGTTGAATTGAGTTTCACGGAGTAACTCTGCTTCAACCTGCCATCCTTCTCCCTTCACACAGCAATTGAACAAGGCGATACCGGGAGAATGAAAGTTGCAGAAGTTCTCTCCGATCTTACCTCCCTTCGAGCTTGTGTACGTCTTCAACTATTGGGTGCACCCCTTATCTAAGGAACGCCTACTAACCTGTTTTGTAGGAACATGCAGATGCGCTTGCTCTCGTAAATGCCCACAGGACAATATCCGAATCAAATGATACCCGAGATGCTAGCCCAACCAACAATCGGCAAAACCCCGACCTTCAGCGTGCAAAAGACTTGATTGAGCTACAGAAAGAGGTGAAGCTGAGACATCAGAGGTACCAGAATGGGGGGTTGGTGGACAAGGACCTTCGGCAGGCGAGAGAGGATGTCAACCGGGTATTGAAGGAGCTGGAAGAAGCATAGCAAATGAAGCTATGCGAATGGCCATGATCATTCTTCGAGGGAGCAGCTTGGCGGTTGGGAATCTTTCAGTGATCATGTCCGGGGACGTCGTGGCATCAACGCGACAATGTTTAAGGCTACTGCAGGCGATTTGCGTTTAGTTCATGAAGTTGAATACATTCTCCCGTTGATATAGCGTCCGTCTCATTCGTAAATCTGTCATATGCACACAATTGCGTTCCTCGTAGCCCGTTGGCATCGAATACTGGTGCTTGATTTGTCAGCAAAGAGCTCCTCTTCCGGTCGACGACTTGTGTTCCCCAGCTCAACCGCGACAAACGAGACGGCTTTGAACGAGACAGCGTCTGGGTGGTCCATCATGGCAGCTAACGTGGATGCGAAGCTGCTCAAGCAGACCAAGTTTCCTCCGGAGTTCAATACGAAAGTGGACATGAACAAAGTCAACATTGAGGTCATGAAAAAGTGAGCTTTTCTTCTGCCTGGCAGACTTCTAGGTTGCCCCTAAGAGTTAATGTATGGGTAGATGGATTGCAGGAAAGATTTCGGATATTCTAGGCAACGAAGATGATGTTGTCATTGAATTGTGTTTTAATCTGCTTGAGGGCTCGCGATTCGTAAGACTCACCCTGCCCGGTTGTCTCTTGATCGCAGCGACTGACCGAGAACTGACGCGTTTATAGCCGAATATAAAGCATTTACAGATACAACTTACCGGATTTCTGGACAAGGACACGCCGAAATTTTGTAAGGACTTGTGGAGCCTATGCATCAGCGCGCAAAGCAACCCGCAGGGCGTGCCGAAAGAATTGCTTGAAGCCAAGAAATTAGAATTAATGCAGGAAAAGGTCGCCATCATATCGGCTGGGCTGTTTGAAGAATACCTATACTGACGGTCGTGTAGCTTGATGCCGAAAAAGCAGCTGAGGAGGCTCGTCGCCAGAAAGAGGCAGAATTGGCCCGTGAACGAGAAATGGAGGCGATCAGACGACGCGAGAGGGAAGAACGCGCTCCTCTAGGAAGAAATCGAAGACGGGCTGGATCTAGGGATTATGGTCGTCGAACCTTCAGAGATTCTCGCTCGCCTCCTCCAAGACGAAGAAGCCCCGATCGATTCCGTGATAGACGCAGGCCGAGAGCCGATACTTATGCACCTGGAAGAAGAGGTTCGCACTGGGAGGATGAGAGAGGACGTCGTATGTCGCGTTCTATCTCGCGTTCTCCGTCGCTTTCGTCTTCACGTTCGCCTTCGCGATCTGTCTCCCCCCCACGCCGCAGATACCGAGACAGGCGCCCGCCTGAAAGGCGTCAACGTCGCATAAGCAGGTCCCGCTCCCCTATTCGGCGAGATTCCAAGCGCATAAGAAGGGGGAGCCCCGTTTATAGTGACCGTCGATCCAGATCTCGTTCCCGTTCCCGTTCCCGTTCTGAAACATCTCGCTCACGTTCTCCTAGAAGAAATCGGAGAAGATCTTTGAGCTCTTCTTCACGAAGCATTTCCCGTTCGCCTTCTCCACGTAATCGCCGACATCAACGGTCACAAAGATACCAACCCCGCTCGGTATCCCGCTCCGTTTCCCGCTCACGGTCGCGATCTCGATCGCGGTCAAGCAGACTAGGACGCCGTAGCGGAGGTCGGTGGAGAAGATCACCATCTAACGATTTGAGACATGACAAAAGGGAATCACGAGCTGATGTTACAAAGGATCTCAAGCCTCGCGAGGATCGCCGTCTTAGTCGGAGCGGAGAGCGTCGGGAGCGTCCACGGCGTGCTCGTAGCCGATCCGAATCTCGCAGCCGAAGCCCCTTGGTCGACCGTCGACGATTCCGTAGCCGAAGCCGCAGTCGAAGTCGCAGCCCCAACCGTAGCCGTAGCCGCAGCCGCAGCCGTGATCGAGATCGTGCTCGTGATCATGACCGGGCGAAGCGCAAGAGACACCAATCTATTGAAAGATATGCGCCCGCCGCCAGAAGGCAGCGCAAGAGCTCACCAGTCTCCTCACCTCCAAGACATCAAGAAAATAAGGCTGATTCAGTAAAAGAACAAAAAGGGCTCTCGTCTTCTCCTCCCCAGGGGGAAACCAACGATAATCTTGCTGCACAGAAATCCATTGCCCATGATGAGGTAAATAAATGAAATACTACAACTAGTTGATGTTTGTCCCGAATACCCCTTTCATTGGCTGTCTGACCGATGTTTAAATATCGAGCTAACATATCTTGGGCTATCAGAACCAAAGTCGAATTGTACAAAGTCGTCTTGCTACTACCGAATTCCGGGAAAAACTTCTTAAAGAAAAAGTCAAAGCACTACGTCGCTCGAATGCGGCAGAGAAGTCTCCTTAATCATAACTAGCCCTCGAAGCGGTTTACTAACTGGCAATCCCAGTCAATGCCGTCCACCAGATTTTTTAACAATTGACACAACCAGTCAGTATGAGCCCCTTGACATATCTTGTGATCATCCTCTTTACATCATGCCGGGTGTTTTGTGAGAGTTCGGGTTGGTTTTGTTTTGCCATCAGTCTTCTTAAGTTGTTTTAAAGGTTGTCGAAAACACCTATTGATTCCTTATCGTCAATCGACATAGAAGTAAAATTCGAAGATTTCATCCGGGAATCGATGATGAAATTGTTTTCACGCTTTTAAACGAATTTTGTGTGGAGTACCCCGTAAAACACTCGCAACTCACCATACAAAATGAATGTCCTCTGTTGAAGGCAAGACATATTCATCTGGCCAACTCGATGAAGGACATTCTGATCTCTCCTTGGGCCATACTTGCATAATGAAGGCTCAAGCTGCGACAAAGCTGCCTTCCCCCCATGAGACCAAACAGTTTGCTCACAATACACCACAGTTCGTATGTGTTTGAAAGTGAGCTCTGGCCATCAAGACAAGCCGGCCCCATGAGACACCACCAACAGGAGTAGGGGTATGTATTCAAGACAGAATTGTATGCTTAACGCAGTGATTTTAAACTGTGTGATTCACCAGAGGTTTGCAATGTATGAACTGTATTATGCCGGTAGGATTAACTTGTGATGTGCATGTGTTCAGTGTTAAAAGCCATACAGGATTGAGAGCATTAAGCACACTGTCCTGGGATATCTTGACCGGGTGGCCGCAGCTGGATGCAGCCAAGAGGGTCAGGGAGCAGACACAATACCCCTCCCTCATCAACACGCGAGGCACGAATCATAGTTTAAAAAGAAAATGTTTTGTCTGGAGTAACATAAACATAAAAGGCTGCTCCATCATCAACTCGTATGGTTTTGATATTGGTTGTATCCATTCCCAAAACTCATCGAAAACCAGGGTAGTATTTCTTGATTCTTCCCCGCCAACCGTGTGTACCACAGCCCACCAGCGAAAAACCGGTCTCTAAGAAGAGTTTGAGTATCATTCAAAATCATTCAAGGTGGGGAGCTGTAACATAAACCAGGAGATTAAGTCATTCGACTCTGCTAAACAGGAAAATCGTAAATAGGGGTATCCATATGTCGAGCCAACCATCCAACCAGACTAAAGTCAAAGAGAAAACGGTGGAAGGGGGTTTTACAGAATCCATCGACGGCGCGATGATTGGGGAGGCGACCGTTGGCATAAAGGCGAATTTGGCATCCCTCCGGCAGGTTACCTCGTCAGGCAAGGCCGCGCAAGATCATCGAAATGAAATCAAAGAGAAGCGGGCGAAACAAGCACTGGAGGAAGCATTTGAAAATGCGCTTGGTGCGAAGCGTCAACAAAGCCCTATGGAAGGGTAGGATGGTATTGTTAAGCACGGCTAACGCCCGTGGGTGTCCTCGAACGCTTCTTGGAGTTGGGCATCATAATTTTCCCTATCTTTAACCTTGCGGACCATGATATTCACAAAATCCTGCGACCAATACCACGGCATGATCTGCCAGAATGCTTCATGATCGGAAGGTTTTTTGACAAATCTCGGTTTCAATTTATGGTCAAAAAGCCGGAAAATGCCTGTTGGACTGAACATACCAAGCTGGTACCAGAATGTTCCCATTTCCCAGGATTCATCCATGATTGATGATAGTTTTAATGGCTTGGGGATATTGATCAAATTGCGTCCTTGCTCTTCAGCTGTGAAAGCGACCATGAATTCCTTTCGTGCATTGTCGAAGTCCTCGTTCTCAATTTTGTCCACATATTGGTTTACAAACCAATGAGGGGGCTGGAGCATTTCAACTGGCAAAGAGCAGCCCCATTCGAGATCAACAAGAGAAGTTATATTCCAGTCCTCGTCCACAAAGATATTGCTTTGATGGATATCAGTGAGCGTGAAAACAAACGGTCCCCTGCGTAGGTCGCGACGGAAAAATAGTGGAAAGATTGCTTGCATGGCCGTCAAAGCACCAGCTTGAGAAGCGTAATCCATTATGTCATTTATAGCATTTGGCTGGTGTTCAAGCCGGCTGTTATGACAAGAAAGCACATCCACCACAAACGATTCAACACATGAATACGTTCGGTCCCGTGGGATATCTATCGGAATATTTTCGTTTTCTAGCTCCTGAATTCCCAGGAAGAGGGGGCGATTGGATAAATGCACGAAACCATCGTCGTCAATGGCGAAGGAGCCTATTGCCGGCAAGGGAATTTTAGCAAGGCTAATAAAAAGTCGACTAAGACTTCGGTACAGGTTGCTTCGCAAAGTAGAGTTATTTTTTTTTTCAGCCCAGGATTCTGAAAGCATCTTGCCTGCCGATTCTTCAATATACTCAACCAACATGTACCCAATGTTCGTGTTACCAGCTAGCTGGCTATATCCCTGATGAGGGACATATTCTGAGGGAACTGGGCGGCCGAGCAATGACAGGAAGCAACAGCGGACAAAGTGTACACAGCGGGACAGTGGTGATAGATTATCGATTCGTGTAAACTAGGCTTAGGTCAATTGGCGACGAAGCGCACGGGAAGATCGGGAGCGTACCATTCGGCCCGTGGACAAGCCAAAACCATAAAGTTTCGGAATCGGGATCTCAGGACACTGTCCCTGAAGCCAAACGTAGGTTCCTGCCTCAGTCCGGATTTTCTCGTCTCCATTTCCAGGTCGAAAGGCCTCACCATCACGATAGGGAAGAGGCAATCGAAGTATCACGCGATCCCCGGCCTGCTTTTTTCCTTTCCAGCCTGCAACAGTTACGGGAACACAGAGATTGTAGGTTCCACCAAGCCAATCGTCCACATTGGATACAGAGCATGCATCATCGGAGGAGAGGTTCAGATGGTGGCTCACAACGGCTTTTATCCAGCTGCTCCTCGATTGAACCAGGTTGATAAAGTCAGCTTGCTGACTGGGATACTTGAGCTGGTGAAGGATATTCACTTCCTCCTTCTTTGCGGTTGAATACGTGATTTCCCGGCGAAGAAGCTGTCTGGTTTTGGACATCGTAAACACTCCAACGGGCCAACTGATTCAAGCCGAATGATCATCGAAATCCCCCTAGTCGCGGTGGCATCGTCTACGGTACCTCGACCATTGATTTCTCCAGCGCGTAAACAGAGCCAGCAGTTAGCTCACTGCATTGTCCTGAGACTTTTGAGGGCTGATGAAGTAAACATGTTGCCAATTAGCAGTTCGTCGTGTCAAGCTTGCTCTCGGTGTGTACGATGTAGTTAGTTGCTATGGAGACCAGAAACGAGAGGTGAATGGGCGAGCGAGGCTATTCCGGATCGGGGGCCGCTAAACCTTGTTGGGCAACGCCATAACACGGCATCGCTTGGACCACCAGACAAGAGAGCCTGAGGACTCGCCCTGGCACGCAACGACGACACAGCTCGACAATCGACACTGCGCACTTTGGCGGGTCTAGATACGCGCGACGACCAGTTCAGATGACCCTTGATACTTCGCCCACGCCATTGCCCGCAGGCCAGCGAAGGACGGCTTACAATCCGCAATTGACTTCGATACACGACCTCCATCGCAGAACCGTATCAAGGCATATGGTCTCCCACGGATCACCAAATGGCGTGCCTGTAGAATCTGGGACGAGGTCTGAGGACATGGCGCGCCCTAGAGCATTCTCAGCGGGTGATAGCTCGGATGATGACGACTTCCCCGAACCGATTAAATTCAGTGCTGCCGCGAAAGCGTTGCTAGAGGAGGGTGTGTCGGGGTTAGATACGTCGCCGAGACGGAGCCCACGGGGTGTGATAGAAGGCGAAGGATATCAAACGGATCAAGTGCGACGACAGCAGGGGAAACATGTCAGAATTGCATCGCCAGGACAGCGGATGAGCGCGAGTCCGTCGTTAAGGATAGTTCGTCTTGCTTCTGAGTCTCGACGCTCGCCCAGCTCATTAGGAAAGGAATCTTCGTTTATGTCGAATAGAGGAGAGGGTGGATATGACGGGTCAATGGGAACTGGGAATGATTTCGTCACCCCAGCACCAAGGACAAGGAGTGTGAGGATCGCGACCGGCTCAAGGAGTACGACCCGTTCAACGTCTGCATCGATTCTATCAGCCAATGGGGGCTCCTCCAGTGATGCTAGCCGGATTGATGAGAGGTCGTTATTAGAGGAAGGAGTGAAAACAGGCCTTGATGAACGAAGCTGTGTGCGAAGCGGAATGGGTACCGTGCCCCGGGTAAGGGGGGAAGTTGACACTGGAGTACACGGCTCTCTACGAGTGAAGCGAGTGGGTAAACTGCCAGGGTCTTTTCTTAACGGACCGGCCAGGAGAGGCGTGCCACGGCGGCAGAGCGAGGAAGAGACGCATCCAGAATACCAAGAAGAATCGTATCTCAATCCTGAACCTCACGCCAGATACGGAGAAGGGCAGGTGCCAATTTCGCGCCTGGGAGATTCGATGCTACGTGGCGATGCGCCTTTTGAAAGACGGCGGGAATCGCCACGGCTCTCAGATCATAACATGGTTGGCTCGGCGTCAGCGATGACCCCTCGATCCATACCAATCAGAGAACGATCGCATCAAAAGGAAAACGGCAGCAGTGCCTTGAAGAACGGCTCTCCCCTACCCCTAAACCATCTCAAGTCCTCGTCTGGGTCTCGCCATAGTGGCTCACCTAAATCATTTACTGATAGCCAACCAGAGTATCGCGCTCCCCGGCCCGTCGAGTTACCAGCCAAAAATGACCAGGAAAATGGCGCGCCGTCTACGTTCAAAACCTCAAGACCTCATGGTTTCGGATCATTAAACGACAAAGTGTCGGTTTTGTATGAGGGGAACAAGAGTAGCAACAGCAAGCCCCCACCGGAGACAGTATCCCCACGAAAGCCGCTAGGAAAGATGAGCAATAATACTCCTCGCCGGCCTGCGCCGCTCCCACCACCTAAAATGAGTGTGTTGGAAACAGCTACTGCTGTTGCAGGCGCCGCCACATCCAAAAAAAAGCGAGCACAAGTATCCGTCAATCGCAAAACCTATACACGAATGGATTGTATTGGACGTGGCGGAAGTTCCAGAGTTTATCGCGTGATGGCGGAGAATTGTAAGATATTTGCGCTTAAACGGGTGAACCTTGAGGACGTTGATCCCTCAGCTTTGATTGGATATAAAGGGGAGATCGATCTTTTGAAAAAGCTACGCAATGTCGAGCGTGTTGTTCAGCTCTATGACTGGGAGATTAACGAAGAAAAGCGCGCCTTGAGCGTTCTGATGGAGATGGGAGAGTCGGATCTTCACGAAATCCTCAAGTTTAAACTAAATGCCGAAGACGCTGCTTTTGATCCGGTCCTCACCCGATTCTACTGGAAGGAGATGCTCGAATGCGTCCAAGCTGTGCATGATTTTGACATCGTTCACTCTGATCTCAAGCCTGCCAATTTCCTTCTCGTCCGAGGCAAACTGAAACTTATTGATTTTGGGATCGCGAATACAATTCAGGACCATACGGTCAATGTACATCGCGAACAGCAAACAGGAACCCCGAATTACATGGCCCCCGAAGCACTCATTGATTGCAACGCAATGTCGGGTCTACCCGCCACTGCTGGCAAGATGATGAAGTTGGGGAAGCCGAGCGACGTGTGGAGCCTTGGATGTATACTGTATTTGATGGTCTATGGGAAACCTCCTTTTGCACATATCACGAAACTCCTCGAACGGATCATGTCGATTCCCAATCCGAAAGTGCCCATCAATTATCCTCCTGTTGGAGTGGGAAATATTCCCGTCCCACCATCAATATTGCGAACTTTGAAGGGTTGTTTACAGCGCGACCAAACGTTACGGCCTACAATAAAGCAGTTGCTCGGCCGCAATGATCCATTTTTATACCCGGAGGCGCATCTCCAAGGCACAGTGCCCATATCACAGGAGATGCTAGGTAGGATATTAAGCAATGTGGTTAATCATTGTCGTGCTCGGGGAACCCCAACGGATGAAGAACTAGCAGGTTGGCCGTCGGGATTCTTTGCGAAGATCCAAGCTGCCATGCAAGCCGACGGGTGATCGTAAAGAACTTTTTCAGCCTGTTGGGGTTGCTCTTTTTTTGGCTATTGTGCCGTTTTGGAGTCTGGAAAGATGGCCTGTCGTTGGTCAAAGGCGTTGTTGGAATGATACCGATGTCTACATTTTTCTTTTGGTCTGTTTAGCGTGATGATGGTGGCTCTTTTCTTGGAGTCTGTGAGCTGTTTGTTTTCTTTCCTATGTCGGCACAATTTTTGACTACACCGACTGAAGCATTTATATTTTGTTTAGCGACGGACCCATTTCCTGGCGCTATTGGATTAATCTGTTTTCTGGCTATACCTATCTTTTACCCGGCTCTTTAAACGGAGTTGAGGGTGAAGATCCCTCGCAGCTTCTGCAGCATCCTTTTCCTTATTTTCCGCCTGCGATTCCGCGCGCCGATCTTTTTGTTTCCTTAATTATGGGAAGAAATAGAGAAAACCTTTGATTATAACGCCGGTTATTTTTGCAGCGAGTACATTTCTATTTATACATTGGTGGATTGGACATTCAACTCCCAGGCCGGTACGTATCAAGCTCAAACCGAGCAACGCAAGGTGAAATCAAGATTCACATCGTACGATATCCTCTCTCACTTCTCAATCTGTGCGCCCTCTGCCACCAAGTCCTCCACCGTTTTGACTTTTACATCCATAACCTTCATAATCGTATACTTGTGCTTGCTCCTTATCCGCTGCACATGTCTCTGCCGCCTCTTCGTCTTCTCCTTGATCCGCATCGGCTCCGCCTCCACGCCCATCACCCGCACCCGACACTCGAACATGCGCTCGTCAATATACGGCGCGCCTTTTAGCGTGAAGTCGCGGGACCCGATGACCGAAGCGCGATTTAGGCGGATGATATCGCCCGACTGGACGTCGGGCATGAGGAATGGAAGGCGTAGGGTGTCGCCGGCTGTGAGGAGGTAGGGGCGCGCGTGGATGTGTGCGGTGATGTAGTGTGGTGCTTGGGCGGTGAGCTGCGGCAGGAGAGAGAGGATGGAGTTGTTGAGGGTGAGAGGCGAGTCAAAGGTTGGTGGAATGGCGGGTTTGGGCGTCGGAAGGGTGGTTTCTGGGACGGGAGGGAAGTCATTGAGAGGAGCTGACGATGTCGTCCTTGTCGTCGTTGTTGATGATGAAGCTGGCGAAGGGGCCTGGGGGGTCGATTGGCGGGGAGGGATCTCAGGGTGGGATTCGCGGAATTGAATTGTTGAGGAGTCGTGGTGGAGGTATACTCTTCGTGCTGCGAAGGTCGAGCTGGGAAGAGCTGTGGAGAGGGCTCGCAGCTCGAGCGCAGCCCGCACAGGCAATCTCGACAGCATTGTTGCTCGAATAGCTAGCTATCTGTGTCCGATCAAAGTTGGCGGTCTCTCCAGGCCACTAAATTGTCACCATCCGAGCGTTGCGTGCTGAAAGACAATGCCGTGTGCTCGTCACCAGGTGAAAATCCGATTGAAGTTCGACGTTGAAAAGTTGCTGCGCTTGGTGGCCGCAGCGGTCACCGTAACTAGTCACGTGCACTACTGTTTTCACGTGACTTGATAAAATCGAAGCTGATAATGCGATAAGAAATTTTTGTGAAGAGAGCGAGGAAGAGGCCGTCGAGTACCGTTCATCATGGTGGGTAATCCTTGCTGCAGTTCACAGACATGATGATGCTAATCCTTATTTCAAATTTAGCCTCAGAACGAGTTCGTCCAGTCCCTGATTGCCTCTGTGGGAACGACCGTGCTAATCCAAACATAGGTATATCGAGCGATGGCAGAAGCAGCACGGGAAGCGGTACGTTGATGCGGTTCATTTTGAGATGGCTTTTGCTACAACAAGTTTTTTCCGGAGGATTTATTCGTGGAGGTTTACGGGCATTGACAACTAATTTGGATATTATGTAGCCTCGACCACGAGGAGCGCACCCGCAAGCGGATCGCCCGTGAATCGCACAAACAGTCCCAAGATGCCCAAAATCTACGCGGTCTCCGTGCCAAACTCTACCATAAGAAACGCCATGCCGAGAAGATCCAGATGCGGAAGCGCATCAAGGCGCAGGAAGAAAGAGATGTCAAGTCTGCGGCGCCGAACGAGCCGTCGACCACGCCCCTCCCGCAATATCTGCTAGATCGTTCACAGGCCACCAACGCCAAAGCCCTGTCGAGTGCGATAAAGGATAAGCGGGCGGAAAAGGCGGCCAAGTTCTCCGTTCCGCTGCCAAAAGTGAAGGGCATCAGCGAGGAGGAAATGTTCAAGGTGGTGAAGACCGGAAAGAAGACGGCGAAGAAGAGCTGGAAGAGAATGATCACGAAGCCTACGTTTGTGGGGAGTGACTTTACGCGGAGACCGGTCAAGTACGAGCGGTTTATTCGGCCGATGGGATTGAGGTATAAAAAGGCGAATGTAACGCATCCGGAGTTGGGGGTGACGGTGCAGCTACCGATTATCAGCGTCAAGAAGAATCCGCAGAGCCCAATGTATACGCAGCTGGGAGTGTTGACGAAGGGAACGATCATCGAAGTCAATGTGTCGGAGTTGGGGTTGGTGACCGCCGGTGGGAAGGTCGTTTGGGGAAAGTGGGCACAAATTACAAATAATTGTGAGAATGACGGATGTGTGAATGCGTGAGTGTTTCCTGGCCGGCTCCGGCTGATTTGAAACTTCGATGACCATTTTTCACTAACTATGTGTAGGGTCCTGCTCGTCTAGCTGAGATCAGCGGTGTTTGGAATCATCATATGTTGTTTTCAGATTCCATGTTTGCAGGAAAAGGAATCCGTGGCGGATCAGACGGCGTTTGGATGTTTAAAACACGGGCCCGGCATGTTTTATTCTTTTTCCTTGTCTCTTTTCTTCTGTACCTGTCCAAGGATGACATGGACACAATATCCCTGTTTGTCAGCTTATTACTACTACTATATCCTGTGGAAACGATTGCACAAAAATTTAACCTTCTTTCCTTCCCTGCTATCTCTGTTCATGCAGGCTGAGGCAGCTCAGGCAACGGGCGTGCAGGCATGCAGAATCGGATCACCATTCTCAAGAATCATCTGACTGAACAGGCCACTCCTTTTCGCCCCCCTTTTGCGCAGACCTCGCGCTTGCAACGATAGATTTCGGGCAGCAATACAGAAACAGTCAGGACGCAAATGGCCCAGGGATGGAGTTCAAGGAGCCGCTGGTTTTGTTCGACAGCTCAGATTGAAATCCCGTTTGATGAAGCAGGAATGGCATGATCGAGGATTCCGTAATAATGGTCACCTTGCGTGAAACCGCGCCCGCCATTGGGTCGGAGCCACAGCGCGGCACATCTTGACCGACCCGAGTCCATGTTCCCCCAGCACCCCCCCCGGGTCTGCTGCCATCCACAACGCAGATCAATGTGGTTTGTAAGCGCGCTCCCTGCATGCTTGCGATGAGCCCATCCCATCGGCTCCGCGTTTAGTCATCATCAGGGTCTGATTAGCTAACAGCACATTACATAATGCCAAGCCCAATCACACGCGGCCCAGCTGCAACCTTATGTAATAGCTCTCTGCGCTGATTGGCTCCGCATTTAGCTCATAATTCCCCGCGAGCTTCTTCGGGCGGGCGGGCTGTGATTGGCCCGACTCTAATTAACCTTGTCCTGCATTTGGAAACACAGGGCGTGGGGGTTGGCATTACATAATGTGTATCGGGAGAACCCGGGAGGGCGCGTCGGGAGCAGGGAGAGCTCGAGCCCGCAGCCAATCAGCACGCGCAGGCTTATCGGGAGGGCTTGGCATGACGCAGCGGGAGGAAAGTGGCTTTGTCGGGGTGTGGCTCAGCCGGCACAAGTCACTCGCAAGTCACTCGCAGGTAGCGGGCAGGGAGCACATCGGCCAGGACAGGGAGGGCGTTCTGGCCGCGGCGTGGTTGATGTGCAGGACTGCTGTTACGTCTTCGAAATTGGAATCATCAACAGCCTTACGGAGCTTTTTTGTGCCGGGTTGACTGCTCGACTCGCTTCGGGCTGGGAGAGAGACAGGGGCATCTGGGACATCGGGACAATGGGCGGCCGCATGTGGGCATCGTCGCAGAGGAAACATAATCAGATGTGATTTCATTAGCTAGCGAGAAATGGAGATATTGTGTTATTAATCTGTTCCAGAGCTTTCAGCTCCCATCCGTTCTTTGCCTTTCTCTTCCCGCGCTCTCCCTCTCTTCCCCTCATCTCTGCTGTCTATCTGGTCAACGACTCCGCCAACCGTCGTCGATGGACTCGAGAGAGCGGAGCGCTTCCTTATGACAGCTCCCTAGCTACGAGTGGGCCAAGCGGGCAGATCCTCCTCCCATCCAGATCAACTTGGCTGCAAACTCGATACTACGCCGTATTGCCGTTAGCTTCCCCGATTCTTCACGGTATATTCCCTATCAGTCGCGTGGTTGCATTCCCTTTCTTCTCTCTCTATTATTAGTCAAAAGCTGATTATCAATCCTCGGAAAGATCAGTGTTGACTCCCTCTGGTTTTCGGTTTGTGAGATCTGGGCGAAACCCGTGCGCTTATCGGAAGGTGGCCGTTGTCTTTCTTTGAGAACCCGCATCACTCACGGCGTTGGGAAGGCTATCTGCGTGTTGTAAACGGGACTTATCAGCTGCAATCGGCGGACCGTATCAGAAGTACCTCTTGCGCTTCAAGGCTTCTTACCGCGGCCCTTGAAACTTTGATATCGCCCGGAAAGATAGGCCGAAACAACGCACCAGCCATGGCGGCTGCCATCTCTATCAAGCAACAAGCCTCCTCCTCATCTTTTCACTCGCAGCCAGCCGCATCGCCATCCTCTCCGCAGCAGCCTCCCGGGGCCCCTTTAAACCGTGGACGCTCCGGGTCCAGCGTCTCGGCTCCCTCCCCCTCCCTTGCGAACAAGAATGTCAGTCTGACCTCTGAGAAGAATGGCCCTGGAAGTGCGACGTGTGATGCCTGCTATAGGAGGAAAAGCCGTTGTGCAATGAATGAATCCATCAACAAGTGCTATTCGTGCGACTTCCACCGGCAGGACTGCACCTTTACTTTGAGCAGCCAATTGGGGAAAAGAAAGCTTGAGGAAAGTAGCTTGGAGAATGAGTCTATAAAAAGGTATGTCGCTCCCTGCCACCATTGCTTGCGTTCAGATACCTGATCCCGCTTTAGACACGCGGCAGATAACTCCGTCTCCACGCCGGGAGAGAAATCAGAAAGACAGACGCATAGCTCTAGCCACACAGAATACCACGAAACTCCATCCTTGACCAGTCAATATATCGGGATGACGACCGAATTGGAACCTCTCCTGTTGGATTACCTCCCCCTGGACCAGAACTACGAAGGAAAATTAGCAGGTTTGCGAATACGCAAATTCTCAGACAGTGGCACATATATGCGGATGATCGATGCCTCTTGTGGCGGCCCAGAATTGCAATCAATCTCGGTAGAGGCAATCGAAAACCTGGTTACTCCCTTTGGGCCCTCTTTGATCGAGAAATTCTTTCAGAACCTTCATCCTACCTTTCCAGTCTTGCTAGAAGATAAGTTTCGGTCTCTTTATCAGACACGGAATGTACCTCCAGTACTCCTCGCTTCGATATACCTTGTCTCTTTGAAATGGCTGGACCCAGGGCCTGGAATTCAAACTCTACGGAAACCGGACGCTGCCAGATTGGAATCGACAGCTCTCAAGCTTTTGAATGATTCATTTGCTCGCCCTCACATGTCTACCATCCAAGCAGGACTGCTCCTTTCTCAAAAATCAACCCTCTTCTCTCCACGATTGATGTCACAATTGGTGACGGCGGCATTTGATTTGGGGATGCACCAGGATTGTTCTACGTGGAAGATTGAAAACTGGGAAAAAGGTCTCAGGAAACGGCTTGCCTGGGCGTTATACGTGCAGGATAAATGGTGCGCCTTGACACACGGACAGCCGTCGCACATATTCGCCCAAAATTGGACTGTTCAAGAACTGTCCCCGGATGACTTTGAAGGCTGCTACTCAAAAGGCCCAACTGCACATGAACCACCAGCGCACGGAGCTGGTCCACTCCTCTTCTCTCGGCTTATTGTTCTCACAACCATCCTCTCCGACATTCTTGATACATTCTATACCCTCCGAGCCACCCAAGATTTCTCCCACGCTGGCGATCAATCTACGCGCATCATCCTCGAGCGCGCCAAACCCATCCAAATCCGTCTCAAAAACTGGTTCGCCCACCTTCCGCCCGAGCTTAAGATGGACTCCTCCCTCAATCCCGTTGACACCGTCTGCACTACCGGCACCAGCATCGCCGCCAACGGCGGCCTGCACCTAGCTTACTTCGCCACCGAAATCACCCTCCATCGCTGCATCATCCGCTCCATAAACCCCGCCAGCACTGACGACTATCTCACGCACATCTGCCGCTCCGCCGCAAAAACGCGGCTCATATCCGCCATGGACTTCGTCAATCGACTGCGTCCGAACCACCTACGCGCCTTCTGGCCAGCCGCTGCGCGAACTAATTTCGCGCTCATCGTCGCTTTTGGGATGCTACTCCGTATCACGGCGCAGACGAGTGAGGAGGAAGAGTTTTACCGATATCGACTGGGCGAATACAGATGGACGCTGGAAGTCAGCAGACGGCATGCAGCGTTTTTGGGATGGGTCGTGGAGTGTCTGGATGTAATGGGCAGTGTTGTACGGGGTGTGGGACTGAAAAAGCCGCCGTTGGACGAGTACATGGCCAAGTCGATCGCGCCCGCGATACAGCGGACGAGTGCGGTGCGCTGGGTGGGCTTAAGAGAGCCCGATGCGGGTGACGACGAAGGGTGCTCATTGAGTGGGAATAGCTCCGTGACGCGCAGGGGGTATAACCAGTCCCTAGTGTCGTTGTCATCGTCGACTTCGCCGGCGATGGTGTCCCAGTTGGCTTCGCCGGCCACGTCTGTGTCGGGTGGGAGTCGACGGGGGAGTAGGAGTGGAGGGGGGCATGGGGGAGAGCGGAGTGTGATGAATGTGGCGGATTTGACATGATTATATACGTTATTTAACTAATACACATGTATTTAATGAGAACGATGAATGGATTATGGTAATGATGATGTTGGAAGTATTTGTTCCCAGGGAATATCTACATACTTTGTGCTCTACGATTGCTCTGACTTCTCCTTTTTTTTTTGGCGGTCATGTCTTATTGATGCAGGTACAGAAGCAGTCGGCCGACCTGTGGAGATTTCTTCTCGTTCAGCGCAGCAGTACGACCTTCTCCTGAAAATGATCCAGTTCAGTGTAACTAACTCCCTCGCTGTTGCATCGCACAAGTCTATGAAGAGATATATGCACTGCGCTTCGTCGACTAAAGTACACAATTTCTTTTTGCTTTCCACTCACTCAATGAAATGCAAGTATGATTATGCGCGCAATTCCCATATATTCACTAATCACTATATACTACTTCAAAAGCTGAAGATTATATAGGCAAAAAAAAAAAAAAAAAAGCAAAAACTTTGACTCGAACTTCGCGGAAAGGAAAGTAATAAACTTGTCAGCAAAACAAAATATCAGAGAAGAATTAGACTAGCAGCACCGTGCACAGTGCTCCCACGTCTCTGTACAGCGCCCAGTTGCTCTCCCTTATTTTCTTCCACCGAAGAAATGTCTGCTCCTGAGCTTACCACCAATGGCACCACCGGGCTTGCCCTTGGTAATTTCCTCAAAGATTTCCATGTCGCCGATCTTGGGGAGTTCAGGAACGTCTCCAACGATGGGGGTGACATCTCGGCTGGCGACTTCCACCGCCAAACCAGGCTCGTCACCGGCGGAAGAGTTGACCAACTTCTCGACATCGATTTCCTTTCCGTTAAAGTCCTGCACGCGCCAGTGGAGATGGGTCTTGAGAAGAGGCACGACGTTTTCTTGAGTGATGTCCTTGATGATGCCGTCGGCTTGCGCTTTGGCGATGGCGTGGGAAAGTGGCAATTCATTGAGGGAGATATGGGCCATGGAGTTGGGCTCGCGCACGAATGGACGGAAAGTAGAGAAGGTGGCGACAAGGTTGGAGGCGGAGGACCAGGTGCTAGCATCACTTGGTGGATCGCCGAGGAAGAAATGGATGTGGAACGGGTCTGGGAGGGCGAGCCTGTGTCGGTGTTAATCATTGTTTGCTCAGGGGTACGCGAGAAGCGACACGGGTACTTACACGTCGACCTTGATGTTGGCGAACCACTGCTTCTCTAAGTTGTTAACACCGAGTTTCTCAAAGTCTTCAGTAGTCATTCGAGCAAGATCCTTCAAGACGTCTGCGATCTTGAATGTCGACTTAGAGATAGTAGCGAGATCAAGGACCTTACGGTCACCATCGGCTCGTTTCTGATTTGCAGCCCTACTGTTGTAGAGCTCGTTGACCTTTCGGATAACGTTTGCTCGAAGTTCTTCCTTAGTGACATTCCAATCCTGAATTTCGGGATACGTGTAGCCGAATGATCTTGTCGCGCGTGACGTGTTGGAATCCCAGAAAGCGCTACCCTGGGAATGGAACGGTTTTAGGGCTAATTGTGAAGAAAGTCAGCCATCATCTCAATCTGTGACTGGGACGAAACGTACGAGTAGAGCCAGTTTCGATTGTTCCGCGTGGAGTGACATAAGTATTAACGGTACTAGCCAATCGTCCAACCCAGGAATCCGGATAGATCGCCTGCCACAAAGCTAAGACACGATCAACGTTGCTGTGCGAGAAGGTTAGTATCTAACATTACCGGTAAAATGGGAGCTTGGTGAAGACGAACGCATGATGAAGCCAGAAGACGGGGTCAAAGGCAGACCATGGGACAGCCGACATGTGTCCGTTTCCACCAACAGCAACATGGATGCCGTCATGGATAGACTCAAGGTTACGGCTGCTAGCAACTCTGGTTGAGAGCCCAGTGTAGTCCGGTTGAGAGGTAAACAGGGCGTATGTGCTCTGGCGGATGCTATATCACGAAATTAACAATGCGTAACAGCATCTGGGTCACGCAATCAAAACTTACTTTGCGCCCCTGTTTCTCAGGTTGCTCTGGACAAGATTGTGATTCGTTTGGCCTCTGGAATCTGGGCACCTGACAGTGGTCCTGTATCGGGAGAGCTAAATGCGGTGCGTCAGTCTATACTAGACTATCAGATATAGTGCTCCTCAAACTTACAGGGTCATTGCTGGGGAACCCCTTCCCAGTTGTGGGGTTGATGGTATAGCTGTAGAGCGGGTTGGTAATGGATTGTCTTCCCTGGGGGGTGGTGATCTGAATCTGGGTATTGATCAAACTTGAGGGCAGCACTGGATTGCTCGCCCAGTCCCAGTAGGGAATTCGCAAGTTTTCAGCAGCAGCAATATATTGACTGCGAGTGGAGGCAGGGTACTGTTGCGCAATTTCGAGAGCATACTTCGAGATTTGCATCTAAACTCAGTGTCAGTATTCAGTAGGTTGAAGTAGGCCAGGAAAGGTTGGTTGTTGACCTCAAAAACTGAAAGGTAAGGACGATGCCAGGTAGGGAACAAGGTCGAGGCATGGGAGCAATATCCGTAAGGTCCGCTGCCTCTCACGCCATCCCATGCCTTGTAAGGTAGACCGTGGATGCCTAAGCATTGGATTAGCAAAGCTCCAATTTTCACAAGGGCGAACTTGATATGCGGAAAAGTTACCCACCAGCAATTTCGAAGAACCCCAGCATATCAGTCTGGCTCACTTGGAACCTTTGAAGAGCCTGAACATAGAGGTCAAAAGCAGGACCCGAATTCTGGAAATCGATAAGGTCCTGTCTTGCAGGCCGTTCACCCGACGGCTTCACTCCAGTTTGAACACCCGTAATATCGTAGGCATAGGTTTGGAGAATTGAGATGCAGGACAGGGCCGCCAAAAGCCGGGCTCCAAGGACCAACATCTTGTCGCGCAAAAAGAAAACCCGAAAAAGATAAATAAGATGTAGGTTAACAAAAAGTAGCAAAGCTCACGTCCAAGCGAGTGATGAGGAGAAGAGCGAATGTGTGCCTTGTGTCTACCAGTCAAGCACGGCGATCCGTTGCTCTATATATACTCGGTATGTCTGGCTGGCCCCGTGGTTAAAGTCCAACCATGCGAGCAGCTGTTGGACCATCGCGAGTTTCTCAAATCAAAGCTGTTGCAGATCAATCTGACCAACTGTTGGAGAGCGAAGCGCTCCCTGAACCCCTGAAGCTGAGAATGGGAAATCTAGAAGGGTAGAGCTGCAGCCGCGAAAGCTAATCCTCCTCATTGGGAGGACAGAAAGAGCTTTTGATCCAATCAATGGCATACGTTCAGTTCAAGCTTGCAGGCTTGGATCGTTGCTTTTTCCTGGGACACGACATGCAGGTGTTCGAAGCCACTCCACTAGCTGCACAGTGAATTGTAAAAGCCCATCAAAATTGGTTATCTTATGACAAGAAAGACATGGATTCCAAGTATGGAGAGCTCAACCCCCCATGTTGCCTTCTGCACCAGGGCTCCGTCGTATTCTGATATCATAACAGGAATATACGGAGACCTGCAGCATTGGCCAACTGCGGATACGGCCTATAGCGCCCGAGTAACACGGGTTCTCTGCAAAGTACTCGACCAACCAACACCTTCGCCGATAAAGTCTTCCCCAAAACGGTTGGCCGTTGCTCCAAAGGATGAGAAACCATCCCCGTATTTAGCATGGGGTCTTACTCATTGTATTATTGGTGCATTCCCCTGCAATAAGCAGTTCACGGATGTCAGCCCATTATTGCTCAAGCCGCTGTGATGACTAGCTCGAAGCAGAAAAATCGGTGTGATTGATCCAAAGAACGCTCTGCCGGGGAAAGGCGTTCCCTAGCGCGTCTTCTTTTTTTAGGCTCGCGACTATTTGGTGCAATGGCAAGGCTTCTTTGTTGGAGATGTATCAAGAGAGTAAACAACATGATTGTTGATTTTTGAAAGTGACAGTCGACTTGAAGTCTCGAGAGTTGACGTTAAGCGAAAAGTGGGCTCGGAGAATTTAATCGCGTGCGCGAGAGCTCAGGGCCAGGGAGCTGCAGCTCGGATGTCATCCCCCTAGTCTCATAGCCGAAGTTCCCATACCAAGCAAAGGACGGGGACAGCTTTCTTTGGGCCTTTGACTCCACTGCAAGCCTTCAACAAGGACTTTAGTTAGTCGGTCGATCCAAGGCGCTAGTCGAAAGCTCAAGGATGAGTTTCTTGTTAAATCTTCATTATTGCAAGGGGGGAGCGCGAAAGCTGCTAACATATCTCGTACTCATTCCACAGCCACTCTGTCTTCTCTTGTTCATCTACACTAAAATATCTGTTTGTTTCATTTGTGGAGGTGTCGAAACAGTTCTGGATGCTGCATCGGAGATTTTGAGATGTCGCTGGAACCAATCCGCTCCGCCCTGGCCGAAATCCTGGTCCTTGTCATGGCATGGCCGAGAGTTGGTCAGAAATCACTTGTTCATCTTCACCCCGTATCGCATCTGGATTTTGAAGCTCGGCCACGGGTGATGCGTCAAGCCATGCACCGCACTTAATTTTCCGATCACCATGTGAGCCGAAATAGCAGCACCACGGGCAGGAACCATGATCGTATCACGGTGGAGATCAAACACCTGTCCAACCAGATGAGGCTTACAAGCCAGCTTGACGTCCATGTCGATTCGGAACCGGCCCGGTCCCCAGCAATGCATGGCCATTCGTATGACGCTTATTACGGGTGAGATGGCATCCGGGCTCAAGATTCTGCAGGGAATGGCCTGCACTTTCATATTACTTGGGAATTTCTTCATGATTCTCACAGATCGATCGCCTTTGCAGAACGCGTCTGTTTGAGTGGCTGGAGTTGGACAATCCGCGGAGGCATTCTCGACTGAGACCAACGGTTACGGTGTCGACCAACCCCTTGCAGACATAGCAGTCATCCCCCTTTACCAGGTGAGGCTGATGTACAGCCGGCTCGTTCGGTTTCTGTTGCGGAAGTGCGGAATATCAAAACCTGCCAAACTAACAACGACTTCCATCGTAGCGTGTGAATCGCACACGAGGAGCCTAACTAGCATTGTCCAATTGTTTGAAAAGACCAAGACTCGAAGAAAGAGATGTTAGGAAAGATCTGGAGTAGCTTGATCCTTTGCATTGACAACCCCGTCCCAGTCGCATTTGAAAGGTCAACAGGAACCCTGCAGCCTCAGCCGCTCCAACATTGAAATTCATTATCCCAAACTCCGAATGCTGGGGACCAAACAGCACACAAACACGAATAGCGTCCGGCTATCCCACAACAAGCTAGAAGAAATAGAACATTCGACTGACGGAAGCGGCGGGGAAATCGTGATGCAACCCATGAAATAATACATATGAGGAAACTAAAGCGGAAGGCGGAATTGATAACCTTGTCTAGAACATTCACCAAGTCCAAAGCAGCCAAAAATACCAGGCAAGCGAGATGCCAGCAACCCAACCGAATGGCGGAAGGAAATGGGTTCGAAACACGAAGAACGTCCAACGGAATCCACCCCTAGTCATCTCTTTGCCAATGGCATTTTTGATACCGGGCCATGGCTTCTCTTTCGGCGTATACGAACCATCCCAATCGTCTTGTCGGGAACGTCTTGGTACTTCATCTAGTCCAGCTACCCCACCAAAGTGAACATACTTGGCGGGTCGTGTTCCGTCGTTTGACGGGGATGCTGTCCGGGAGTTTATGGAGTTTCCGCAGCGATTGCCAAATCGATTCTCGCCGTTAGCGAGTGACGAGGCGGATGTGGATGTGCTCGATGTCGAAGAGGAGGGAACGTGATCCACGAAGCGGTGTGTTAGCGGGAGGACTGGTAGTGCAGATTCGAAGACATCAGGGGTGCGGAATGTAAGGGCCACGGCATGGATGGAAAGGGCGAGCAAAGTAAAAATGATCACGTAGGCATAGTAGATGAAGACAGAGAGTTGGTCAGGCAAGAGGCAAAGGTGGTTCTGGATCGTTGGAGAAGTTGCCAACTTGAGAGCCCTCCCCGTCTGTGGGTCGATTGGATTCCATAAACTTGCCAGTTGGACCCCAGGCTTGCGCACGCTCATCGCAAAAGACGTGCTCTTCACTGTAATCTCCTTCGGAGCGTCGCTAAACTCCCGATGGGTAATTTCGCAGTAATCATGGTCATCCCCTGAATAGATCTGGACCACTGGCCCAGTCTTGTTCATGATATCGTTAGAAATGGTTGGCGTCAGTACGTTTTGATATTGATACCCAGAGCCGATTCTGATAGCATTTCGCTCGTCCTTTTCCGGGGGTGGGTCTGTACCCGAAGGCGGCCAGTGCTCGCGAAGCGGACCGCAAGGTGTGCCCGCTTCTCGAAATAGAGGCACATGGGTGAGAACAACGGTCGGAAAGTCCGCGTCAGAAGTGGCGGGCAGCACTGTGGGTTTTGTGGGTACAGTAGCGTCAACAACGGTATGGGGAGACAGATATTTCTCTGGCTCTCCGTTCATGGACAACAGTTCTTCCCTGATAGCTTTTGACCTCAATGTCCGGAAGTCGTTCAAGAATGTCTCTGTCGGTTTCCATACTTCCTCGGAGTACAGATGGCCTCCACCCGAGCCTCCGGCGGCAGAACCAAATGCATCAGAATGCGGATCGCTTCCGCTTGAACTTGCAGCGGCAGGGCCTGCCTGGTCCATTGCACTCAAGGACACGGAGTCAACAGAGGCAAAGGTGTGATTTCCAACGATGTCGACCCTATTCCCTTCGCCAAAATATGCCCGAAATCGTTGAAGAACAGGTAGTTGGATCCCATTTCCAAATCCCAGATCATGGTTACCGGGTAAACTAGCGATTATCTTCCTACCTCTCGGACTCGCCGGCGAGGCAGTACCGCCCAATTTGAACGTGTCAAAGTATATCCGTGAAAATCGACCGTACTCTTTCATCCATACATCATTTCCATATGATTTATACCTCTCATCAGGGCTTGAGCTAGTTTCAGTAGCCCACTCCCTTCCGCCGTCGAATAGATCCCCAAGGAAAAATGTACTATCGGGACGGAGCTTCTTTTGAAGCAAAGCGTGCGTTCTGAATAGATAAAGGTCGGTCATATATACAGTCAAGGAAGACAACGGCCATGGCCGGCCAGGGTAGGTATGTGCATCGACGAGTTGAGGATCGGCTATAAGCAAAGTATGATGCGGAACGGCGTCCTTGGGCTAGACGAACAGCACACAGACAATCGTTAACAAAAGTACATTCGACAAACATCTCTCCACTGGCACATGCAACCAGATGAAATCACCACCACTCACCCATTTCTCCCATTCAGACCACGCACACTCCTCAACCGCATCTCTGAATACCTTCCTCTCGCCCCACCACAACGTCATTATCCATAACCCAATCAACACGTTCTGTAAAGAAACCACCATCCGCAAAACCGCCCTGAGCCTCCCATGGCGTCGATGTCGACTCCTCCTCCTCTCTATCGCGTACCTTGTAGCGATCGACCCCCCCTTGGCCCGCAGCGCCGCAACCACAGGTCTGAGGACAAACAGCAGTACAGCGCACGCCCGCTCCATGATGCCGGGAGGTTCCACGAAGTGATCCCGATAGGACTGGGGCGCACCAAATATCGAGGCCATGCAGAAAGGGCGTTTCCCTTGCTTGTTTCACGCCCCGGAAACGAGCATCGAGGAGTTTTCGAGGGAACGGAGGGGCAGGTCGTTGGCCCCTAGGTAGGGATAAAAGTAGTCTGTCTTGACTATGTATTATTGGCCCATTGTGTGTGGCGTATGTTGGTTCTGCAACCTGTTGCAGATGGTGTATATATTTGCGTTCTCTTGCGGCGAATTTGACGAGTGTCGTCCGTCTAGGTAGATCGAGATTGCGGCCAACTGAGTCACGTGGCGAGATGCTTTTTAAGGTTGGTCGAAGATCCGGTGCAAGGATGCAGGAACAGACATTGAGCAACAGGATAGGGGATGCACTTCGTTATGTTGGGAATTCTACATATATAATCCACCTGCCTGCCATCCAAACCAGACGCATGGACTCTAAAGATTACAAATATATCGAAGGGCCTACCGGAATAAACTCCTTTTAGGGTGAAACAGATGCTATAAATAACTAGATGAGAACTATCTAGCAACTAAGAATGTTGACACAAAAGCGGAGAAGAACCGAAATTAAGCGGGCCTTTTTCGATCGATCAATCACAACATTGCCGGCCCGCAGCGCATTCGTTTCCACATTCAAGCAGACAAGCAGGGCCATCGACGTTCGGCGCAGTTCCTGGAGGCGTATTCGGCCCGGTGCCATTGATAGGGAAAGAAGTCCCCGTCGCAGCGTCGTCATCGCTGTCTGGATAAAACTCGGGTTGAATAGTAGATGAGTGGATGCCGTATGCATGCAGGCACTTGCGCACGTCTCTGGCCAGGGCCATGTACCGGTCTGAGCCTTCTCCCTTGATATCGTGGCTTACTTGGATATGCAACGATGACACCAACTTAGTGTCACTAAGTTGCCATACATGTAAATGGTGACAGCTGATAACGCCTGGGAGTGATTCAACATCTTCAATGATGTGATCAATGCTCAGTCCGGCGGGGACGGCTTGTAACAAAATCCGTGAGGCTGCTTTGCAAAGCGGGATCGCTGACCAGAGAATAATCACGGTGATAAAAAGCGAGATTCCAGGGTCAACATAGAACCTCCAAGAATAGCTGGTGAGCCAGATAATCAACGCTGAGGCAATGACGCCAATGTTGCCTAGTGCGTCGCCCATCACATGCAGGAAGACACCTCGCATGTTCAAGTCACCGTGGGAATGGCCGTGTCCGTGGCCGGCCTTCTTGTCAGAGAATTTTGGTTTGGCATGGTTATGCGCAACATGCAAGTCCTCTTTGGAACGACGGCTGCGTATTTCCGCAGCACTGTCATATGGGGTTGTCTCATTACTCTGCTTGAGTAATCTGGAACGTTCTGAAATACGGCCTTGCGCAGTTGCATCCTCATTATCATCGTCCGACTCCGAATCATCAAATTTGCTTGCTTGGATAATGTCCTGACGCAAACTAGCCGGATGGCCCTGGATACTACCTGCGTCCCGTGAATTTAGACCGGAAATACTAAGCCGATGGGTGCTGTGATGGCGCCCCCGAATACGATCGTCTGGAGTCCAAACCCTCCTGACGGTTACTGGACTCCCTGGCGCGGCTGGTCTAATGGTGCTGGCTGATCCATCTGTTTCGCAGGCATCGATAGCATTCTGCGGCATCACGCTAGCAACAGTACCTCGTGGATCGGATATGGTAGCTGTATCTGCATCCTGCTGGGTGGCAAAGCCCTGTTCTGCAGACTCGACTGATCCTTCAACAGGCGCATGACCACCATGTCCATGGGAATGGTCATGGAACAGCAACAACCCTACTATATTGGAAAGAAGGCCAAAGCAGCCGACAATCAGGACAAGTTTCGGGCTTTTGACTTCTTGGGGTTCGAAAAGGCGTTGAGTAGCTTCGAGAAAGATGGACAAACATAACGCGACGAGGAACACTCCGTTGACGAGTGCTCCGAGGGTCTCGGCGCGTTGCCACTATCACACATCAGTCTCCGTATAGAAATCGCGGACTCTTGGACCAACCCCGTAGGTATACGACTTGGAAGTAGTTTTTTCGTTTGCGACCTTGACTGCCCACAAACCAACACATAGCGACAAGACATCGTTCAGCTATTTGAGAACGTAGTTGAACGTTAGCACGACCCAATACCGAGTGCCCGTACCGACCAACATACCATATGGAACGAGTCTGCCACTAGCGCCAGCGAATGGACCGCATAGCCTACACCATCGTTGTCAACGACCCAGATCTAGCCTCAATCAAATATTGCTGCTACCCACCGACAGTCAGTTCGATCAAGAAGAATACACTGTCAATGGCTAGCAAGATGATAATCCGTTGCGATTTTGACAAGCCCATGACGGCAGCTACCGGCTAAAAGGCAACGATAACCAAGAGCGAAAGCGGGAAAACGAAAAGAGGGGAGGATTGAAGTAGTAACCAAGACGAGTCGGGGTCAGGCCGTTGCTCTTAAGGAATCGTCGGAGGCCGGCTCATTTGTTAGGCGGGTGGCTGCAGCAAGGGGTGCAGGGGATGGGAGGAGCGGTCCAGTGTGGGTGTGTTCACAATGTGATTTCACTTCTACCGAAGGGTGCGTGAAGCGAGTGTCAAATGCCAGGTTGAAAGGTTTGCCATGGCGAGGTTGAGCAAGCCGACGTAATGATAAAAGAGAAGTTGCTTTCTCGATCACGGAGCTCGAACGCGGCGTGGCGAAAAGAAGAGAAGCGGAATCCCTGCTGCGGATCAGATGAGTCAGCGGCAGGCATCTCACACTGTTCAGCCTCTTTGATCCGCAAGTTGTTCATTCAAGATCTTTGTCCGGCATGCTCCCATGGCTACCGTTCGCAAAAGACTGCCTTCGCGTGGTGTGACGCGCAAAGGCCGGACGCTGCAATCTAGACCTGGAGGGTTTCATAAGGTGTTTCTCAAGCCAGGGCCCTGGCCAACCAGTGCATAACACCCTGCGGATCAGGACAGTCGATTGGGCGAAGCTACCCTGGCAGCTCCCGCATCATGAACCGCTGGGCTTGATGCCATCGGTTTACATCCGAAAGAGGGGTGAGAGCACTCTTGAAAACTCCATTATTGTTTGTATACAGAGGACAAGCTAGATAAATATTTGACAGCGAAGATTCAGCCTCTTGAAGGACGCCAGCAGTGAAACCGTCACACCAGATGCAAGTGGTATCCCTATCAAAACACCGCAGACCGCTTTTTTGAGACCCAACGCCAACAAAACTCCAGGGGATATCGTTTGGCGCGCTGAGAAGAAAAAAAAACATTGGAAAACGACCTAATTGTGAATCACGAAAAGTTGTCCCTTTTAACGCTGATCAGGATGACAAGTATCAACAAAGTGAGGACAATCTCGAGGACACTATTAGCGAAAGATACGCAGGAGAGACGGGACGGGAAGCATACCGCTGCGGCTAAAAGAGCTACCACCATCACCTCCCACCCCCCGGCATGTATTTTACCCCTTGACAGCGCAGATTGCTGCCGTAGAAATCGAAAAGCGCCAAACAAGGCGATTACCATGGCGAAACCCTGGCAGACGCAGGATAGCGGCCGGCCGACTTTGTAGAACCCAAAAGATGGATTATGGATCTGCGTGTGCTGGAGACTGAAAAGCTGGGCGATGAGGACACCCAGAAGAGAGAAGGCGAGAGAGGTTCTCATGTGGGCCAGGTAGGTTCGTTCCAGAGCTGTTTGGCTGGGATTAGCATTGGTTTGAGATGAAATTGGGATTTTGCCTGTCCGAAAAGCAAACAGTCGAGACACCCTGCATCACGACACGGCGTAGCTGAAGGGGGATCTGGAACTCGTACAGGTGCTACCGCAGCACCAATCACGCAATGTTGACGCTGCTGTGGCAGCTCAAAGAGCATCATGCATAAGAGATGCTGCTGTGAATCCATAGAAACAAAAATTCAAAAAGAAAAAAAAAAGTAATGCAACACCGTTATATAAACCAGGCTTTATAGTCCATCCATATTTAGATCCCACGGACAACGATTGGAAATATCCTCTACTTACCATAATGATCACGGTTCTGATTCTGCGAAACCGACAGAACCACATTGCGCCTCCAGAACTTTATGAAATGCCGAAACCGACCAGTGGGCTCGCGGCTGCTCCTGGTGACCTGGCTACTTCGCGTCGACCGGCGTGTTACAATTCGAATTGACCCCGAAGAGATTGTCGACGGTGACGAGCTGCGTTGTACGTGCGTTGGAATCTCGTGGATCTCCGGCAATTCGTGCGCATCCTGCAGGTAGTCTGGCGTGACTGTTCCCGGCGTGGGAGAGCGTCGTTCGGGGCTGGAGACGCGAGACCTGGCCCTTAGCGATGCAGAGGCGACGAGCACAGGCTGGGGATGTTGCGGATGCTTCCCAGCATGGCCACCAGCGGGATCCTCCATGGAGCGTGTGTCCAGCTCATTTCACAAGGAATAGTAGGGGGACTTCGGTTTTGAGATAAAGGCGAGCAGCGCGGGACAAGTGAGCAAAGAGTGGCGAGTGCAGGAAATATTTTAATTATAATGAGTTTCCAACACGCTAATGGCTGCCCCTTACTATCAGATGGATTCCCACAAGGCGACTTGCGATCGACGAGAAGTTACGGACATGAACAGGTATATGCCACGCTGCGAAGGAGAGCGAAGGGACTATCTACTGGAGGTAGCCTCGGGTATATATGTACTTGAACGGGGGATAACGGGCCCCGGAATTCACCACAAATTTGACAGCAATTCTGCGGATTTGCCCGTCTCCATACTTTTTTTTTTTTGGGCGCACCCAAGTTTTCCAGCTTCTGCTCGTTAGTCGCATCCCAAGGTTTACAAAGCAATCTAGACCCAGGGGCCCAGGGGGCAGCCAACGGCGAATTCTAGGGCAAATAGACCGGGGACCATCAGGCGATGCACCGCGAGGATGTCCTTTTTTTAAACAGAGTGGGCGAATGGAAATCGACATGCTGCGTTCTCTGAGGTGTTTTCTCTTCTGCGATTTGCTCTTCCTTATCGTGAGAACAGCAGTCCCAAGGAAAGACATTTCAATGTTTTCCTTTCAAGAAAAAAGAAACAAACGAGTTTAATCTGCCTTGGCGTGAAGCTTGGGGATCATCAACGGGGATCATGCTGCGTGACGTCTCGCCGATGAACTCTTCCTGGCGTCGGGAAAATTCAAGGATACGCAGCGATCCCTGTGCGAATGACGCCAGCGATGACACTGGCCGGAGCGTGTCCAGGGTGATATCTTAGATCTGCAGGCATTGATCGCTGATATCACGTCTGTCGTCCCTCATCAGCCTGTGTGCTGGAAATGCTGTCGGGGACATATCGGCCCAATCGGCGAATAACGAGATCACGACCAAATGGTGATATTGAATATCCAGTCTCGGGTCTTTTGCCGAGTCGGCCCCACAATGTCTTCCATCAGCACTGCGAAGACTGGAAGACAGTCAAAAGGGGCGCTACATCAACTACATGCAGCCTGTGCAACCACAAGACACTCAACGCCATCTCACCGCTGGCGGCACTAGGGCTATGAATACTCACATTGCTTTGTATGTACCCAGAACTGCTTCCTCGTATCCAGTTCTCTTCGTATCTCGATTGACCCAGCCTGGCTGTCTGTCCGGGGACTCATACGCCGTCGTTTTGGAGAGATCTTGGGACCGCGAAAATCGAG